CAGAACAAATCAGTTAGGTACAAAAGCGGATTCGATCAGGAGAAATAAGGTGGGTGGGTTCAGAGTTCAGACTTTACTTTGATTGATCTATTATGTTTAGACACTTATGTGTCAAGCTCGCACAGGTTTATATAAGCTCCGAAGATACAAAATAATGCACAGTTGATTGGGATTAGTTATAAATGGGGGAAGATGAAGAAGAATACTGGGTATGCGGCAGTATAATTAGTGCAGAAGGAGGGTCCACAATTACGCCTCTCACCGCCACCTCCCAATTCACTTCTAGAAAAGTGTACCCACCCAGAGTGCAGTGATTCGTTGAGATCTAACCCCGAACTTCTTGCCTTTTTTTGGATTCTTCTCCTTCATCTGTATCTATATTTATATAATATCTTCATATTGATTGTTGTTGGGTTGGGTCCACTTCACTCTATCTCATCTCTGCGGCACCTTTCGCCGGTGACCAAGGTGTTTTGGATGCCAAGATTATAAATGTTATATATTTTTTCTCTCTTCCAAAGCTTCTCTGACAAATGTCATGTGAGAGTGGGTCTACTTGGGGCTTTATCTTTGAAAATGAAAATTTTGATGGCAAAGCCAAGAGCTTTTGTCTGTGAGTCAACAGGAAAACGAAGTTGATGTTCATGCACCGACGTTCAGCCATTGATTTTATATACCTTGAGCTTTGACCTTTCACAAAGCCAATAAGATCGGCGATGAAGGAGGAGGGGAACCTACACATATGTTGGGCGGTCTCTATCGGCGACAACTAAATAAAATTTGAGATCAATCATAAATGAGCGTTCACCTGTAGATATTTTCCCATTTTCGCTTTCAAATAGATAACACAGAGAGGCGCAAGTTGCTATAAAAAAGGGTTCCCACTCCTGCTAGATTGTTGGTCGGTCTCAGAGATAATAATCCTCTCTGCAATCTTCTGCTCTTTCTCACTATTTTATTCATTCTTCTATCTCCTCCCTTATCACTCTCAGCCAGTCTGCTTCTCCTTCTCATCATACAATACAATCACAAACCTTGGCTTCTCTTATCCCCATACCCTGCTCCTTTCGACCTTCTCCACTTTCTTTTCCTTCTCTTTCCCTCTTTGCCAACCTCCCTCCTGCCATCCCTCCATGTCTATCTTGGACGTGGACATGCACAAAGCTTCAGGGTGTGAAGGCAGCGGCATGGACATGATGTCGATGATGATGCAAATGGAGAAGTTTCCAGCTGATCAGTTCTGTGATCCTTTCTTTAACAATCCCACCGATTACCCTGAAGCTGATGAGTCCGGTAATATTGCTGCCACTACTCTCCCTTCAATCCTCAACCCTAACGAGGCTTCTGATTTCATCAACACTCCAATTATTCAACAACCCATGGCACCGTCATCATTTCTTCAACCTCAATCCGACGGTGTTCCTCCGACGAGGCTCAGAAATAAATATAGTACCAACACACCATGTACTTTCCCCTGCGCTTCAGACAAGAGGAATTCAATGGCGGCCATGAGGGAAATGATATTCAGGATAGCGGTGATGCAGCCCATTCATATAGACCCAGAATCAGTGAAGCCACCGAAGCGGAGGAATGTGAAGATTTCGAAGGACCCTCAGAGCGTGGCGGCGAGGCACAGAAGGGAAAGGATAAGCGAGAGGATCAGAATTCTGCAGAGATTAGTTCCCGGCGGGACGAAAATGGACACGGCTTCTATGCTGGACGAAGCAATACATTACGTGAAGTTCTTAAAGAAACAAGTGCAAACTCTGGAACAAGTAGGGGCTAGTAGGCCCATTGGTGTTCCTTTTTCTGGCGCCTCAAGTACTGTCAATGTCAATTATCCTGATTTCATCAAGGGACGTCATCCAGCTTCTCCAATGGTGGGTTCTATGGAAATGCTGAGTTGAATTGAACAGTAGAATAAAATTTTGATTCTCATAAATATGATGAACGATCACTTGTACAAGTGTTGCATGAAACATCATTGTTACTGGCTGCTCAATAACATCCTCTTCTTGTTGAACCGACAGGGGAACTTAAAACTAATTTCTATGAATATATGTCTTAGTCTTGCTTTTATTTGATGATTTAATGAGTACGCCAACAGCCTTCAGAAGATATATAATTCCCCGGGCATGTTCCTAAATCGCAAATTGTAGTAAAACCTCCGACGACAAGAACGCAAATATTTATAGGCAGTTTTTTAACTTCTTTTTTGAATGGGTTGGACTCTTGTATGATTGCATATGATCAGGGAATTAAACTAAACCGGCATTCTTAAGCAAGAAGCATTATATTGACGGATAGATAACATACTTTCTTGTCATTTGAAAAAGGGGGAATTGCAATTAGGTCCACCTAAGGAAATTAAATACAAAAAGGTCTCTTGAAATCATGAAATTATTCTGAAGTCCCAAGAGACTTTTTTACAATAAATTTTATTTGTTTAATTATCAAATTACCATTCTTCTTTTTTAAGTTTGTATTGATAACTGAAAGATCAGTGATTGACAATTTAAAGGTAAGGATTAACAACTATCGTGGCTGATTTAACAACATACAACTATCGCGGTTGGTTTGACAACTTAGATTGTGATATGCTGAGAAAATATGTTGTCAAAACAGTCACAATGGTTGTCAAAATTGAATTGTAATTCTCAAGAAGCACCTGGCTATTAGCTCCACGTATCGGGGACAAATGCTCTGCCTCGAAATTAGTTATATTCCTCACGTGATCTCGCTGACACTAATGGAAAGCAAATGCAAACATAAAATTAACGCTACTATTTATGCGTGATGGCCCCACTGATGCGAGGCTGACAGGAATTAAACTGACAGCCTCTTGCTCAGTTTTCCAGAAACAAGCTAAGATCGAGGCATATATATTCAGGCTAAAACTAATAGTATTATATAGCACTCATCTCATTCTCCCTTGTTTACGTGCATATACTCTCTTATTTAATTAGAAGAAATGGTGTTATCATAATTACGTGAAATTCAAGATGGGACAATGACAATATAAATCAATAACTAATGTTTTGATAACTGTAATGACCACAGCCCTGACTTCAGTACCGTTAATATTGTTCATACTTCCCATTCGCGGAAAAGTGATAAGCAAAAACTTCATATAACAATTAAGCAGCAATAACACGAAAATACAACAGAAACTGATGTTCCCGCGTTTGCCTGTTTATGGATTCTTTGCAAATCTTTTACTACCTCTGGTTCTAAATATAAGAGTTAATTGACTAATTTAAGTAGATTAAAAAAACAAGTTAGATTAATTATTCGTAATAAATATGTGTTGTCTTTCTTAAAATATCCTTACTAATCAAATTTATTGGTTAGAATTATCATTATTAAAAGGACTATCTTAAGAAAAAATTAATAAATATGAGAGACAAAGTGGATTGTAGTCTTATATTTAGGATTAAAATAAAAATCAAATGAGGTCTTATATTGAATATTAGAGGTAGTATTACTCAACGTTTACATATATATTGTATAGAAAGAAATGTTATAGTACTAGTAATTTGCAGCTGATATCAACTACCATGAAATAGGGTTGTTCGGTATATCTATGTGGTCATCTGATGGGAAACTCAAGTAGTATGAAATTTAAGGGGTGTTTGACATTCTCAAAACCGCGGTTTCAGAAGCATTTTTTCACAAAACAAGATAACCTCCTCCACATATTTACTTCGTAATCCATAAAAGCACTTCTGAAACCATGATTTGGTTTTTATCTAAACACCTCCTTAATGACAGATATGGGTGCTCAAAATAAATAATGCGAGAAAGACATTGAAAGGGTTGGCAAACGATTAACCAAGTTGGATATGCAAGCAGTGTTGATCAATTGGTATTCTTTATTTCTTCTGTACGTGGTCTGTGCGGAAGGGAGTAGGTTGCCTCCCTGAGCAACCTCGAATGATGGGAGTGTTGGTGTCCCCAGGATAATGCCTCCGGACAGCTCCTTTCTGTCATTATCATCTACATCGTATGCAAAGGGATTTGAATGTTGAATAATAACAATAATAATCAACAATTAATAATAATGATATATAATAAGAAGAAGACGCAGATAAGGAAAGGGCAGAAGGGGGCATGTGAGAGTGAGATATCGATGGGGCACAGGTGCCAGCACAGGCAATACGAGATATGAGATGATATAGCATTAAATTATTAAATGGAGGAAGAGAGAATAAAGACGAAAGGGGCCAAATTTGCGGATTAAGTACATTGCATCTTTTCTATCACTGACACATTCCTCATCCCATCAATTCATTCCCACACAAATCATTTTCTGCCTTCATCCCACCCACCCCTCCTCCAATATTAATTATTCTCGGTTGTCATCACTGTACGTCCCTCTGGCATTATGGTTAATGTGAGTGTTTCAATTAAAACCGGTCGACTATATATACGGCTCAAGGATGGGCCTAGCATATTGGTATACTGGTCACAGAATTATGCAACAAATAAGTTTTCATTACCATAAATTTTTTTTATATAGAGGATTCGAACTTAATTTTACGTTTAAGAAAAGACTCGAGGAAAATCTTTTTTTTTTTAATATAATGCCTGTTTTTGCAGCGCATATGATTTCTGTTAACCCCTTTTTAAAATCAAATATAATCAAATATTTTTTTTAAAATCAAATATAATCCATGCATGTCCCGTGTGCTTCATCATTAATGCCGTCTGTGTATTTTAATTCGATGTCCTGTGGGGTACGAGGGTTTATATATACATCATCATCAATAGCAAGGCCAGGCTTCCCCTTTCCTATTTATTTATATAGTCCAATATAATTTTAAAAAAAAGAGGTTTTGTTAGTGTTTTCCTTCAGAACTCGTCTTCTCACCTTAATAAGGCTATGGACGAGAGTAAAAGACCATGCCAGTATTTTGAAGAGGCGAACATGCTTTGAAATCTCGATATATTCCGTGCTTTCGCTTTTTTCCCAGTCGAAGTGGAATTATATTTTGATTTTTCTCTGTAATTTCTTCCATTTGTTCAAGTGAAAAATGCGATGCAAAGATAGATATGCATGTTTCCCTTCCCCGCTTTCCAACAAGAAGACGATAAGTTTTCGCGGCTTCTTTATTTCTTTCTGCTGGCGGTGGAGCCCTTTTTTTTTTTTTTTCAAGGTATAAGCATATTCTCCTATCGAAAACAATTCTATTCAAAGCATTAAGAGGCAAGGCAAAGCCAACATAATTATGAAACTTCAAGCATGGGTAAAATTCAATTGTTCAAACTACATGGACTAACAATTAAAGTACATATCTGTTCTATTATTTTTATACAAAACTTTAACTTTATTTTTAATTTAATAATACATTTTTCAGTCCTTTCATCGATTACTTCCAAAGAATAAGTTTTGTATCAATTTTTAATATTTTAAAAATTTAAACTTTCCGGTAAAAAAAAAAACTTAATTTGTAAGTCTTTAATATTTTGTTAACATTTAAAATTTTAATGTCAAGTAATAATGTTAAGGTTAGGAGACTGAAAAAACATTTTACAAAAATAAAGAATCAAAATATAACTTTGTGTAAAAATGAAAAGACTTATTTGACTCTAGGTCGGATTGGAGAGAGAGGGAAGGGGAGTACCAAATGGGTGCTTGGGGATAAATGATAAGACATGTGTCTGAATTTTTGAGACTCCATTAGGGGTCACGTTTTTTCTTTTGTCGGGCTTTTGCTTGCCCTTTCATTGTGAAAACAAAAAAGGAGGGAAGGGGTTCGAGAGGTTAATATTATTGGGCTTGATGTGGGCCGTTGGTGGTTAAATGAGAGGAAACAGCCCAATACTTTGACAACTGGGACGGACGAGTGGGTCGCTTGAGGCCCAATGAAGGTCTCATCATTGTTCAGTGGATATCAAGGAGGACGGTGGTTTTCACGTTGGCCCATAGTTTGTGAGTGATGATTGGAAGGAAGAATGAAGCGTAGAGGAGGCGTGGCTGGAGGCGGGGAGAAAACAAGTGGCTGTCCAAGTCGGAAAGTGCTATTCACAGCAAGGCTCTGTGGTCTGTGCTTGGGACACGTGGCATCATAATGGAATGACAATTAATCAAGGGAGGATTACAATGAGGTCCTAAATAAAAAAAACAATTACTAAAAAGTCTTAATAACAAACTAAACAGCTCGTAATGATAAGCTCCTAAATAAAAAATAACAATTTTTAAAACTTGTTTTGTAAATCTCCCATTAATCAAAGACGAAGCTTAAGCGGCTTATTAAATCCATATGTCGGGACCGGAGGAATAATATATAATTTTGCTATGAAACGTTTTACCAAAGTGCTTTTCTTTTTGTTACATTACATAATTGACATGTGTACGTAAAAAATGGAGAGTCACTTATTTGATCCGCTTGAAATGTCAGGCTATTAATACCCATCTTTTATAATAAAGAATGTTCCCTTCATGAAATTAAAGGTGACAACACGGAAGAGCGCTTGCCATCACTTCCACTCAGACTGAGATACTCCTCCGGTCCTAAATGTAAGACCCTTATACACAGTGTGTATAAGGGTCTTACATTTAGAACCGGAGGAGTAACTATTAGCGAAAAAACATGGAACACGAGTGGCGGTGGACCAACCCCTGCCCCTGTAATTCCAATCCCATGAGAATGTGAATCTATTCTCTCCTTTCTGTAACTGCCCCTTCCACTTTCACATTGCTTTCATTCCCTCTCACATCGATCATATCGCCACTCCACTTTGCTTTCCCCAGTTGTCTCCGATCTCAACAATCTTGTTTCCATATTCGTCCCCATACCCACATGGATGAACTACACAAGCAGGACAATTCATTCTCATTTATGTGGATTAATATTTTATATACCACCAGGTCAGGATTTTAATCATATTAATTCTAAATGTAAATATTAATACTCGCATTAAAATTAGTTAATTCAAGCATTGTACTTCAGTCTGAATAATTCAAAAATAAAATGCAAGAGATATAGACAACGTACGTCCCATGATTAGTGTTCCTTTTGCAACACCCATGTTCCATATAAGTGCATCATCTTAAACATACAAATTTCAAAATTAACGTTGAACCATGTTCGTTTTGTTTTTAGAACCCAAAAAATCCAACTAATATATGTTGGCGCAACTCAATCATGCTAGTAGTGTCCGAGTTATTTACCTCTTGTTCCGCAGAAGAGCCATCCTCTGTGTCAACACGTGCTACCTCCCCAGTATAAAAATTGATTGGAGCTAGATTGGATTTAATTTTAAACACTATATCATTTTAATTTACTTTGTTCTTATATTCATTATTTATTTCAGACTAACTCATACAAGTTACAAATTGATGTGTGATATAATGTTATAGCGTCGAGATATAGATATTTTAATTAATTCATGGGATATTTGCTACGTACAACTGATAAATACGACTCAATGTCTCAGTCCTTCATATGCCATGGAAAGTCAATAAAGAACAGCCCACTTCCTTTATAAAACTGTCCAAAAACCTCTAAGCTCTAACAACCACATGCTGACGTACATCACCGCTACGTAATTTTTTAGCCTCCTGCCCGGTCCCCCACAAATTTTCATTGCTGTTGTTTAATTACTTGTCGGGAACTAAAAAATTTGTTTGCTTTGAGATTCTATCAACATCATAATAAAAAAAAATGAATTACGCACAATAAATAGAATTTGGTTCATTATATGGGTCTCTATTTCATTATATTATCAAGATTGGTCATCCACAGGCCTTGATCATCATCGCTGTTAAGTATTTTAGATTAATGGTGCTTATCTGATCTTAAATATAAGAACTATTTTATAATATAAACTATACTATAAAATGAGTCTTATATTTAGAATTGTAGGAGTATATCGGTTGGGAAAGAGAGAACAAGAGCCAGCAAACGAAAAAACAAAATTGCTCTCTGACATCTGTAGTGTCTGTATAAATATTCAGATCGGTACATAAGTATCGATATAAATTATAAAACACATCTCAACTAGCATCCTCCGTGTTCCATGCGCATTATGAGTTCTTGTTCCATATGTTTGTATAGTAAAATATGATATTTAAGATCATGATTAGAAATTTGGAATTTTACATAAAATTATGATTAATTAGTCTTGTGTTTATAATAAATCCTGAATATTGGAGATGACCAGGTTCTGAATTATTATACATATAATAAATAAAACTTCATTCAATCGGGGGTTGAGATCGTTAAAAGAAAAAAAGGGATTTTACAAAAAGTTGGACAGTGTATATTTAATTTGGTCCAACGAGCTCTAAATATCGGACAGAGCCAACAAGGCAAAGCAGAGGAGCCGTGATACAATATGGTCATCAACACCAACCATTATTTTCCGTAGTTCTTTCCGGGGAAGAACAGAGAAATTTCCAGCCCATCTCACTTTAGTGCGCACCTGCTTTTGCGACAATCTAATGATTCTCTATATAAAGCCATGCAGCAAGAGATTTAACCAACAAACAACCACTGAGAAAAAGCTTAATCCTTTACTCTCCCTGTACTACAGTTTCAGTACATATCAGATTTGGATCGATCGGCACGGCCATGGCATCGCGAGGCTGCCACGGGGGTTTTTCCAGCACTTACATGTTACTGAAGCCCGAAGAAGTGCGTTTGTTTGATCTCATTCACATCTTGTTCTTCCCCAACTTGCATAAAACAAAGTTCGTGGATTCCCCTGAAGCCACTTTCAACGATGGCTTCCGCCACAGATGGCTTATTTTTATCTCTATCTTCGCTCAGAAATTTCTTCAGTCCGTAGCCAAACCCCTCGCTTCCATTGGATCTTTCGCTGAAATGTGGCTCAACCTCGTTTCCAGCAACCACAACCTCTTCCAGCTCCTCCTTAACTTCCTCACAGGTTTCTTATTTCTTGCTACTTAATTTACTCTATATTTGCTGCGCTGCTTAAACATGCATTGACACTCCTATTTGCTTCTGTTTAACCATTCATATGGAAGAACTCTCTCTTTGACCTTATAATTTATATAACTAGAAAGAGGCAGATGCAGTGACTACCCATGAAACTTATTACTGTGTCGATACCGTCGCTGCTGCTTTGATAAACCTACGTTCACATGCCCATCTACTTCTATTTGACAATGGGTGTGGGACTTTCATTGGTCGTATAATAATTAATCTGTGTAATTGAAAAGAGATAGATAAAAGCTAAAGAGGTGGGGAGAACATGGGGTCAACTATCGGCAAGTCACTGAATATTAGCCAGCCTTGCATGCATGTATATTGTCTCATCTCCACCGATCATTTGGCAATAGCATATGTGCTTTTTAAAAAGCATAACATCTAACGTACAGTATTGATGGGCCAATTAGTTGATATATAGTATTAAACTTTGAAAGATCACAATACCCTCTCAATATATAATTCATTTATTTTGATTTTTTATGTGACTCCTTTAAATGGACATATTTTAAAAAAATCATTGATCACAACCTATTTTAACGTGATTATACACATCTGACGAGAATATATAATCAACTAATCGAATTAATGATGGATATGATTATGAGCAGGCAAAGTTGAGAAGCCAGATAAGACGTCAGCGAAATATTTGTCGTTTATTGGAAACTTGGACAAGCGAGTGCAGTTGGATGATAGAATCAGGCGTGGGGACAGCGGGTATAATGCTGCAGTTTGTATGATGGCCTCTAAAGCAGCCTATGAGAATGAAGCTTACCTTAGAACTACTGTCCAAGATCGCTGGAAGGTATATCTATGTACACATCTACAAATTATTCACAAATAAGCTCTCTCTTTTTTCATTTCTACATTTTAATGACCAGTTAATTCTATCAATTTTCCTTTAACCTTGCTCCAAAATAATCCTCGTGCATGTTGAAGGAATCGAACTGATCCCGTTATGATATGTTATTGCATACAGATGGAGTTCGTGGGGTCCTACGACTTCTGGAACGGTAAGAATTAATTAATTAAAAAAATTATAAGCAGGTCACCTAACTATTACGGATCACAACAATATTAGAACATATGAATTGATTTTAACATACTCTATAATGCTTCGTGGCTGGCACGATCGAACTTGGCAGAATACCAAGAAAAAGCCACAACTCAAGCTTTCATCGGGCTGGACAAAAGTGAGGAGGTTGATACTTACGTAGTTGCATTCAGAGGAACAGAAGCCTTCGATGCGGATGCATGGTGCTCGGATTTGGATATCTCGTGGTACAAGATTCCAGGCACTGGCAAAATCCACGGTGGCTTCATGAAAGCCTTGGGGCTTCAGAAGAATGTGGGTTGGCCCAAGGAAGTCGCCGTCAGGCACGAAGATAGTGTCAGTGATCATCCCCCCGTAGCCTACTATGCAATTAGGAACATTCTAAGAGATTGTTTGTCTGCGAATAACAAAGCCAACTTCATATTGACGGGTCATAGTTTGGGCGGGGCGCTTGCCATCCTGTTTCCAGCAATCTTAGTGTTGCACGACGAGGCCTTTTTATTGGACAGGCTGGATGGGGTTTACACGTTTGGGCAACCAAGAGTGGGAGACGAAGCCTTTGCAGAGTTCATGGAACAAAAGTTGGAGGATCATGGGATCAGGTATCACAGGTTTGTTTACTGCAATGACATTGTTCCCAGGCTGCCTTACGACGATCTGATGTTCAAGCATTTTGGGACATGTTATTACTACAACAGACACTACCAAGCTAAGGTACGTTCCTTTCTGAGATTAATTATTTATGCAGAGAAATTATATAAAGTTTGTGTTACGATGATGATGGATGGAGAAAGTAATCTTGTGTGTGCGCGCAGGTAGTGAAAGAAGAGCCGAACAAGAATTACTTCTCGCCACTGCTGGCGATACCGATGATGGTGAACGCGTTTTTGGAACTAATAAGGAGCTTCGCAATTGTGTACATAAAGGGAAGTGAGTACAAAGAAGGGTGGCTTCTAAGACTCATGAGGGTTATAGGATTGGTATTTCCTGGGATATCAGGTCATTGTCCCCAGGATTATGTTAATGCCACTCGTCTGGGATCATTTCCTGTTCCTGCACACCACTTCAGTGCTGCAGAGGATCATCCATCTCAACTGCAATCTGTAAACGTCTAAGTTACACGACTGCGAGACGCTCTCCTTGGTTTAATTTAATTTGCAGCATTCATCTGGGAGGTTTACATTCGCGGAATCCAACTCTGCTAAAAACCATCTCTTAAAAAATATTTAGCCAGTTGTAACTAAAAGAAAACTTGCTGTAGTAGAAGTTCTTTAATTTAAGGTTTGTGAGTTAATTAAGAACTTAAGATCCTTGGGTTTAATTTTTCCCAGTTTTATGTGGCTTAAAAAAATTCCTGGTATCAGGCAGAAAGAAAATGAAAACAAAAAAATTTCCCGGTTCTATATGGTGATTCCAAAAAGAAAGACAACGATTTGACATGGCTCAAGGCCAAAATGATAATTTTGATCGAGATTCGGAGGTGCCATGGGTGAGTTACATTCGATAAATTTTAAGATAAGTGTGAAAGATGTTTGGTATATATGGAGAAAGGAACTTATATGTTCTTATTATATATAGTTTCAAATTTATATTTAATTTTCATATATTAATTGCCATAAATTATAGCTTTTTATCAAGATGTAAGTAATCAAAGAACTATTAAATTTAATATACGTACGTACATGTGGTGTATATGCCGTCTTACGTACTGTTATCTGAAACAGCTGATTAATTTAAGTTCGCGTAATGAATGGGCTAAGCATGAACGAGGACTTGGTCAGTTTCGATTTTGTGGTCTCTCTTTCCTTCTGTGGTTACTATACATTCTGCTTCTCTTCCTTCTGCTGATTTTCTCATAGTGATCTATCTGTGGAATGTTACCGTAAGGACCCACTTGGATTATCATTATAATGGAGTGTTTGTTCATTATATTGTCCTTTCTGCTTCGTGTAGAATATTCTAGGCGTCATTTTTGTTGGATAAAATACGCTCATTATTAGGGTCAAAACCACGTGAATTCGGTTGTTCAAGTAATCAATTTATTAGATTCACGAAACTTGGCGGAAGTTGCCGGCTGTCTTGGATTTCCTATATCATAAATTCATAATCATTCAGTTTTTTCTTTTTAATAGGGTTGCCAAACCAATTCACCCACCTGCCGTAGTTCTTAATTTACCCATCTAATTGATTGACATGAGGTTTTACTCCAGTGAAAACCAAAATGAAATTTTATATGTAAGAACGATATATATATTTTAAGACATTTTGATTTCATAAAAGTGGTGCATAATTTTACGCGTGCATTGTTGAGGAAAAATATAATCTGTTAAAAAACGTAATTACTTTTGTGTAGTGCGAACATCAGCGTGTCAAAATCAGCGTGGACAATGCAAGCAAGAACGGATGAGGAAGCTGAGATGAAGGTTAAGGATATTATATTATAAGATATTTGTTTAAGTGTCCCGCGTGCCATGAGGCTGTGAATAAAATATACAAGTCTTTAATTTAATTAGCATATATAATTATATATACTTTTCGCCAACAAGACGAATTGTTTATTGAGCACAGCTACCACGTTGGTCACTAGTCTTTAAGCATATAAAGCCGATGGGCGAGGGGTTAGAGTGTTGAGACAGAAGAAGCTAAGATAGATAACTATTTAGCCATGAGTTACAACAGTAATAGTGAGGATGATCCCAAATACTTCGCCAGCAGTTATGTGATGCTGAGACCTCATGACCAATTGCGTTTCTGGGAGGTGGTGAAATTAGTGGTGTCGGCGGACCTGTTCAGAAGCAACTTTGTCGAGTGCCCTGAGGCCACTTTTGTGAACTTCAGCCGCAGAAGAATCATACTCATTTCCCTGTTGGCTCAGAAGTTACTGCAACTCTTGGCACACCCCCTTCAAGTTCTCGGCCACCTCCTTGAACTGGCCTTGAATCTCTTTTCTTCACATCGCACTGTCTTCTCCCTCTTCCTTCATCTTCTCCGAGGTAATTTAATTTCATCCCTTTCCTTTGCATGCATCCTTAGCTTGCACTTTATGTATTATGCTTTCTGCCCCTTCTTCCTTTCTCCCTTATATTTTATGATGCGAAAGCCACTGCTTGCGTCCTATGATGAATATTTCTTCACTCAATTATACACATTTTCAACCTTTTACTCTCTGAATTAACAATTTTGTTTTGGTGGGCCGTAAAGTAGTGGCGGACCAACTTGGTATTTACTTATAGGTGGAATTGAAACTAATTATTACCTTAAATATTTTTTTAATCCGAGTCAAAAAAGGTGAATTTTTTGATCCTCTAATCACGCAACTATCTTTTATTGAGACTTTTAACTTATTTTTAAATTTACAATGTACTTCTTCAGATTTGGTTGGAAAAATATATTAGCTTAATTATCCTTTTTTTTTTATTTTTATGTGTAGATAAAAAATTTGATGCCCCGCCATAATATTTGGTCTCATCCAATTATACCGAATTTGATAGTGTAATTTATACTGGAGTCGAGCTTTCCCTACCTACCAGCCAGCATCCCTAACATTTAATCACTCCGAAGTGAGCACTTCACCTGCACTCTCTTCTGGAGTTGAAGTCATGCCGAGATTATTTAAAACTGAGATCTAGATCTCTTTAAAAAAAAAAAGCCTTTAGATCAGGCCAAATTCAATTATTGGTCCCAAAATGAAAATTATTCGTCCCACTACCCCGTAATCATTATGAGTAAAATATACACAAGCAGCAGGAGAAATATGCCGTCAATGAAGTCGGACACCTCCTCCTTCTTCTAAATGCCCATCATCATGTGACTTTTCGGTTCTCAATTCTATACAGCTCAAGAAATTTCCATCTTGTAAGATGTCATTAATTTAATTTACTTCATGGCTGGCGTGACAACAACTGAAATCTTCAAAAAGATCAGAAGGTCAACTTTTTGGTTTATATGGTTATATTAACTCTTCGGGCGTAAGGAATAGCTAACGAAGATATAATGGACGTACGGAACCTATATATATATGTGTGTGTATATATATATATCAACTGAGATTTTTTTTTTTTTTTTGGTGGTGCGTGTTTATCACCATCCGCCGGGAAAGACCACTACATATCTACAAGCAGAAATATTGATTCCGACTAGCTGGGTAGCCAGAGAGAGGCTATCATACCATCCACCGGGAAAGACCTCTCAATTAATCTTACTTGTTTGATGTAAAATACTTACTTTAGTTTTTTTTTCCCAAACAACTCATGCTTTTTGTTAGTTCATTTCATTTCCCATACACTGACAACGCCGAGAGAAAAGCATTTTCAATCACTGTGAAAATTAAACAAAGCCAAGAATACAGCCAAGAGGTTAAATTATATTCGTACTTAAACTAAAGCATAAAAATACCCTCTATATAATCCATTTCAAGCGAAATTAACTGAGCTAGGGATCAATAATTAATTAAAATGACTTATTGTCCGAGTAAATAGGTAAAGATGTCATGCCGGATCCGAGATCAGCAGAATATTTATCAATTACGGGGCATGTGGATAAACGAGTGCAATTGGATGGCACCATCAAACGCCATGACAACAAGTACAATGCTGCTCTCTCTGTCATGGCTTCTAAAGCAGTCTACGAGAACGTTGCTTGCGTTGAATCTATGGTTAAGAATCACTGGAAGGTGTTTGAGCTATCTTTTTCTACTTTTGCTTTATTAAACAATCTTGTTTTTACTCATTTTCATCGATCACTCTTCTAATTTAATTTCTCTCTGGAATCACCGTCTTTGTTGTGGCGTAGATGGAACTTGTGGCATGTGGTGACTTCTGGAATGGTAAGATATGAGAACCAAAACAATCAATGATGAATTAGTAAACAATTCCATTCGATCGATGCATATATAGAGTTTGACCCTTAAGTGATTAATTGAACAGACTTTCAAGGAAAACCCACGACCCAAGCGCTGGTTATGTTAGACAAAAGCGAGGAGAAGGAGACGTATGTAGTGGCCTTTAGAGGAACAGAACCCTTCGATGCGGATGCTTGGAATACGGATATTGACTTATCATGGTGTCATCTTCCTGGCGTAGGGAAAATCCATGCAGGCTTCATGAAAGCCTTGGGGCTGCAGAAAAGCGTCATGGGTTGGCCTAAGCAAATTCGCAGAGACGAGAGTCGCCCTCCCGAAGCCTACTATGCCATTAAGGATATTCTGAAGCAGCGTTTGGAGGCAAATGATAAAGCCAAGTTCTTAGTGACGGGCCATAGTTTGGGTGGGGCTCTCGCTATTCTGTTTCCGGCCATATTGTCGCTGCACGATGAAACCTTCTTGTTGGATCGGCTTGAAGGAGTTTACACCTTTGGGCAACCCAGAGTTGGAGATAATGAATTTGCCGACTACATGGATGACCAACTTCGACATCACCAGATCAAATACTATAGGTTTGTTTACGGCAATGATCTTGTTCCAAGGCTGCCCTATGACTACAAGAATTTGATGTTTAAGCACTTTGGGCGGTGTCTACACTTTGATAGCAGTTATGAATGCAAGGTACGTGTGCTTAATTAATTAATTACTCGGAAACAATCTCCTTTAATTATGCAAGCAGGAAGTCATTAAGCACGTATTTATTTCATTTGGAATGTGAATGGGCAGATGGTGGAGGATGAGCCGAATAAGAACTACTTCTCGCCCTTGGCTATGATCCCTATGAGGATTGACGCGGCATGGGAGATTATAAGGAGCTTCATCATTGGTTTCAAACATGGATCGGACTACGAAGAAGGGTGGCTTATGAGAATTTGCAGGATTGGGGGTTTGATAGCTCCAGGGTTACCTAATCATCTTCTTCAAGATTACGTTAATGCCACTCGGTTGGGATCTCTTCTTTCATATTTGGACTAGTAGTGCAGTTTACGGCTTTATACATTGCAAATCTTAGCTCGCCTTGATCGTGTCAATTTGGGGTGCAAATAGACCTGAAACTAATAAACAATAATAACGTCGAGAATATATTTGCTAGGAATAGTGTTAGTTTATATTGGGGGGTAAGGCCTCAGTGTCCTTTATTCATGTATGAAGCTAGGGGGTTCATTTTCAGTATCATCATGTCACCTCGTCCAGTTCTGTCATTGTCTGGAGTTGAGTAATGTCATAGTTATACTTGTCATCTTAGCTTGCATTTGCCACTTCTCTTGAGAGTTTTGTACACTTCTCCTTCATTCAACTTCAACTTCTTACATCAGTTTCATCATCAAATTCAACAGAAAGTTGGTAAGAGTTAGTTTAATTGGGGCGAAATAATTGCAACCTCTTGTTCCATGCTTGTTCTATCAGTCTTCCCAATCAATCTGATGAATCCAAGGTCGCCACAAGTGTCATAATTGACCAGAGGGACATCACCTCGTCATAGTCTTTGTCTTGGGTGCAGAAGTTTAACTTAACGAAGTTCATAAATTCAAGCGAATTCATATATATTAAGTTTGAGCACGGGCGAAAGTTTGCACCGTCTGCAAACTGAAATGGTCATTTAATTTTATTGAAATGTACAAAGACTTTTTCCCCCTTGGCCAACCAACATTGAAAGAGAATGTGACAAAAGAAGTTATATTTGAAAGGAAGCCACCATGATGGGCGAGATTCTTGCACTCCCATCCTAAATGCTGGAGTTCAAGTCCTGTTTTTGGCCCCTGTTTTGGTTACAGATTTGATTCCTATTTTGGTTCATCGTATAATAAGTCATCTTATTTCATAGCTAAATGATTTAATCCTTCTATAGAAATGTTAGAACCTAGCGCTTGCTATGCGCATGTGTTACTATTTTCTAAATAAAAAAACAAAAATGCTTCAAAATCATGTTTCTCTTCAGTGTTATATAAAACACCTTGCTGTCTTAGAATGCCTTCTGATAGTCATTGTGGAGTGTGAACTATGTGTGTCTCATACGGCCTAAAGTGGAATAAGCATGTATTACTGGCTGACAAATTGATTATTTGATTATATTTTATTTCCCCTCATAAATATACTTTTCATGAAGCATGATTTAATCTCTCTCTCTCTCTCTCTACCTAATTTTATTCCAAGAGGGAGCTACTGGCCGTGTTGGGTTTTAGATGTATGCTACGTTCACATCACCCTTATTTATATAACTCTCGATGTTTATGATCTCTGTCTCAAGTGAAACAAATCTGCCTGTCTGAAGAATGCTTTGTCCAATAAGCACAATCTTGGCAACAGTATGCTGGGGGTTATGTGGCAATGCTAAACGTTTTGAGCAAATCAATGTTGGTAGTTCCATTGGGGTCCATCCATTTTATTAGTTGTGAAGTGTAAACACTCTCGTAACTTTCGCCAAAATCGCCTTTACTGTCTAGGGTAAACCAGATCCAGATTAAGATTTGTGAGCCCAGCATTTAGTTATCCCCACTTTAGTGGTAGAATAAATGATGAAAATACAGATGGCCGTTTGTTAATCACTTGCAGGCATGTCTTTGTCAAATGAAATGAGATTGATGGATAATTTAAAAAATAGCTCTATCAATGTAAAATAATATGCCATTCCAAAACAAAATGAATGACTGGATATAGGTCCATGTATTACATAAAGAATGTGAAATAAGTTGTACTATTCAAAGCTTATAGATAGAATAACTTGGGGTATTTGTATTTTATTTTGATGATGAAGAAATAATAAATCAGGGGACAGCAACTAAACTAGGGGAATTTTTCGCTCATGGGTACTTACAATACTCTTTAATGATCCCTTTTTCTGGCTTTTTCCTCTGGGAGGGGACGGCAAAGAAGTTGCAACGACCAAGGGCACGAATGCTCGAATTAGCCGAGATCATCAAAGATACGGTCGAGCAGCAAGAAGAAAATCAAAGAGTGTCCCCGGAAACCATCATGTATTATTTTCACCCTACAGATCTCAGAATCAGGAGACCGATCTACTTGCTTTTCTCAGTCTGTATAAAATGTTTCCATATGCTCTCTACCTATCATTGGACAGCCTGGAAATTTAAATTCCTCAATCAAATTTCTGTGTGTGAGAGGAGGATCATTCATAGGTCTTGGCCGCTGAAGCAGCTTCTTCGAGGCCATATCTGCGCAAATTTAAAAATTTTTATCCTCCCATGGCCTCCCCTTTGTTCAGGTATTGATCCTCTCATCTTTTCCGCTTTCATCTGCGCCCGTCTCAGCTTGTTTAGAATCTTGTCCACTGATGCCGATCTCTTCTTTTCCAGTTTCATCTGTGCCAAACTCAAACGTTTTCATGGTCAACAAACAGAATGATGAAATACCCCCTGCATACTTCACTGAGAAATATGGGTTTAATTTGACCTCCGCTGATGGGGTCTTAGTCCTAGCTTTCTAACACCACGCGATAATAGATTTGCCTTACAGCGTACGTTGTCAGAAAAATGCAAACACGCAAATTTTGATGAATAGATCACCTCAAGTTTCCGTATTGCTGCTTCTGCCTTCGCTTTCTGCAAATTTTCCCACGCATTGATCTTGGCTTCCTCTCTTTGTACCCTGCACCCAAAACAGAAATTTAATGGATATTCTCAACAAGAAAAAAACTGATTTTCTCTAATTTCTTTCCGTGTCATGATGAGTATTTTGGCGCGACCATCCACCCCTTACGGGATAAAAAAATTATCCAGTTGGTAAAAGGCGGGAAAACAGCAAGTATCTAACCAACATACTTGGATGCGTTTATTGTTGAATTTGAATCTGCAACTATGATATCCCAAGATGAATCTTCTGCTTCTGTACTAGTTTCTCGGAAACTTTTGGCTTGCGGCCAAGCGTTTCTAGTCATTTTGGTTGCATGCCTCTTGGACCACCTAATTATAGGCGCTTGACTGTCCACCTCCACGTCTCTTACTTCTAATTTAGTGGAATAACCACCTTGTTGGTCGGTGGCCAAAGGCGGACAAGATATTTCCTGTGGATGCTCGTCATCCTCGGCCTCCGGGCTCATCTGCGTTCCTTTATCCCGTTTTGAAATAGGAGACATCTCAACATTCGCATTCTTGCTGTCATCATCATCTCTCTCTTCTGTAAATAAAAAGTGATTATTTAATAAAGAATCAGCGATGCTGCAGGAAAGCGAGAACAGAGCATCGAACCTTGAGAGTGAGGCGATGAAGGTTCACACAAGAGATCTGACCACCTGGGTGCACTGCACAACGGCATCAAACCAATTCCACCGACCGTTGGACACGGGCATCGAACTCCATTCTCTACCTCATGATGGTGAACAGACAAAGCATCGGGTGCTAATACTCCCGTGGAAAAAGGGGAAGCCGCCATCAAATTTTTGATATCCAAGCCTTCGATCAGAGGTACAGTGGGGGAGTAACTGGAGTAGAAGGCCATTCCATTTGGAGGTGGGACGATAGGGCCACTTTTGGATTTGGGTCGACGATGAGGATGGCCATGTGCTTTGGTATTGTTATTGTTACTGACATAACCTGAAACAGGGCTACAAATCCACCTCTCTGCTTCGTCCCATTTAGAGGGAAACGTTCTTCCACTGTTGAACGGAGTCAAGCCTGCCAAACTAGCGTGCCTTCTGCTGCTCATTGCTCCCTGTGCCACCCTTTCTGAGCTCCATCCCCTTTGGCTTCCATCCCTGTAGTTTGGCCCTAGTAAACCCCCTTTCTGATTCCAAACTGGGCTCTTCTTCATCACGACTCCGATCAGATTCGCCCTGTTTTGGTCTATCCTTCGTCTTGTTGCTTCTATTTTTTTTTTTTTTGACAATATTGTTGCTTCTATTTTTAGGTGAGGTAAATTTCTCTTGAGTTGTGGGCAGAGCTATATAAATACTGCGAAGCAGCGGAGTGGTGCAATAAATATGCCAAGGAATACAAACGGCAGGACGTCAGCAGCTAATTTTATTACTAAACATCCCATCATTAATCTTGGTCAAGTGGCATAGATGGCTTGGTTGTCGCCATTTTCCGCTTCGGTCGAAAATTGCGGAACCTGTGAGACGTTTTGTGAGGCATGGGTGCAATGGCATTGAACGAGAAAAGATCTTGAAGGATAAGGAACACTTTGACGAGGGAAGAGGACGAGACATGAGCTGTGGTACATTGCACAGAGGACCAGAAAGCTAATCTCTGCATTTGTCATGTCGTGTCGAAAACTAGGAAATTCCAAAAGCCATTCACATGCACTGGGCCCTCCTCCACGTCTTTGACATCTGCCTATCAATTGTAAAATCTTCAACTCAAGATATCGCATGACAAAATGTCCCAGAGAAACCGTGCGTCTGCTTGCTATTTAAACTATGCGCAGTTCTATGTAACAAACATCAAGAAATGCCCACGTAATTGGGCCTGAAGCCCGATATTGCATTGGTGGTGGACTCTCCGCGCAGAATGCAGAGAAGACTGAGAAGAGGGTAGAAAGTGGAACTCATACGATACCCACGTTCGCACAGTGCTCAGATTTTCCCATCATGGGCGTGATCAGCGTTTGCATCGAATGGGTTACAAATTTTGTCTGTGTGGAGCCGTACTGGTGGAACGCGTCTCCTACTTCCTAACGTAAGTACTTAACTCGTCTGGCTTGGCCACGGTGCTCCGGAACCACGCCCTTCTGGGGCTTCAGCGGAATCCCCCACACTATTTCTCATGATACGAGAAATTGAATTTTAACTCTTCTCCAAGCCATCGTCGCTGCATATCACTTCAGCATTGCTTCGCCAAATCCATCGGATAGAAAGTTAGGGGATTTCTCCTCTTCTCCACCATCGAAAACGTGCTCCACTTCTGAGATCCTAAATTTTGAAATTTAGGCCCAATGTACATGAGCACAATCCTGCTCACATTCTAACATATCACCGCCAACAAGTATTAGTCCAAGTAAAAGAAATTTAGGTCTAACAGAAAGGGTTAGTCTCGTAACATGACGAATCAAGATTCGAATCTTTATTGAGAGAGGGGTCCACATTTAGTGCCCGATAGTGTTTCGAATAAGATTGCTTTCAATAGGAGAATACTTATACTTTAAAAAAAAAATCATGTCTTGAATTTGATCTTTGGGGTGGTGTGCATGGAAAAAATACGTTAGGACGGGTTCCCGCTACAGCCCTTAACAGTATCCGAGAGATTAATCTCTTCCCGTTCTAATGGGAAGATACTCTAGGCAACCCAAAAAAAAAAAAAATCATTGGGCCTTGTAATCATCAACAGTAAAATCTGTTCATCCCACTGATTTAGTAATTTTTAATAAAATATCGAATTAACTAATTTGAAGAGATAAACAAATTATTAAATTATTTTAAAATATTTATATTTATTTTTTTTAAAACTAATTTTTCAAACTCATCAATTGATATATAATCTAATAATATTATTTTAGAAAGATCATGTAATATATGTTATAATGAAATAATTTTTTAACTTTCTTGATTTGTTTCCAAGTAAATTGGATTTTATATTATATTAAACATTGTTTTTTCTGCAAACACAGGGCTAAAGGGGAAAAGAAATAGAATAGATATTTTATCACTACACAACAAATGACAATAATAAAACTTGTTAAGGATGATGTACAGAGAAACAAGTCAGCCCTTTCTTAGACTGTGGCAAAAACCAACTGCCAGCACTTTTATGGGAACAGGCGGTGAGCGCGCAATCGCATGCCTAAAATTACCTACACTCACAATTCACAAGCTAAGATCTTCTATAAAGAGATTTGAACTCACTGACCAGTTATAACACAAACTAATATGTGTTCATAAGTGTTCGTTCCAATTATATTCACGAGATTCATTGTTTGGTTTTTTTAAATCCATACAATATCTTTTACAAAACTTGACAAAATATGAAATTAGTTTCAGTGTTCATCTCAGTTATAAAGATAATGATGCTTATCACTATTATGAAATCTAAGCCATTCAAAAACAATTTTTAAATAAAAAATTTTTAAAAAAAACTTACTGTCAAGATATTACATTTATTTTGAATTATAAACTTGTTAAAGGTCAACATTTTAAAAAATAAAAATATTAAATATTAAATTTAAATAGTTGAGATTTGATTACTGCACACTAATTATTCTTCGTATGGACGTTTTAAAAAAATACCTTTATCTCTCTTGCTTTTGAATTCTCCATCCTCCCCATATCCCCCGGGGTAGTGGATTATACATCACTCAAATGATTATCTTGGGAAGTCGTTAACAGAATCTTATATAGAAGCGGTAAAGTAGGATAATACCCAGTGCCTTTAACACTTCTAACCGTAGTCCTGATGCTCAACTCAACTGGCAATGAGTTGAAGATTCCATTTTAGTCCTATGTGGCAATTCGGACGCCAAACCTTAGGTCCTGATGGCGCATGTCGTGGGACGATAGAACTCCATGAATTTTCATTTGCATGGCCCACATAAATCTGTTCGGAACGATGTTTCGAAGATAAAGAAACGTGTAATTTGAAAATGGAGGAAAGCCCCTAATTATTCTGAGCCTCAGAATTTCGGAAACGGCTGGCACTCGAAGTGCCCCCTAAGCTACTGAGCAAAGACGCCATTGGTATATGCAAAATATCTAATAACGAGAAATAAAAGAATAATGATATGAGATAATAATCTGAATCTTTGCCTTATTTTTTATACGAGTAAAATAGATGAGAAGAAAATGAGGGGAGGTGTAAAAAATTTAATAAATAGAAAATGTAAGATGAAAAAGTAATAAAGATTAGTTAAAAATTTTTACCAAAGGATCCGTGTGCCGAAGAAGTTTGTTCGCGTGTTTAGCTAGTGCCTAGTGGGGGCCTGCTGTTGCTGCGTTTGACTGACGCGCAATTTCGCATCCACAGGCCCCCCTCTGAAAACAGAAGAAACAACCAATCATCGTCCCGATTATATTGCTTTCTTTCACGGCATTGGTGACATTTGCAGAAGCACCGTGTTTAGAGTTAGGTCAGTGGAACTCAGAATTTGAATATATACCTAAAAAATAAGTTTAATAATGGAGTCTCTAAAAATTATTCTCTTAATTCTGAGTTTTTAAAACTGTATTCTCTTGAAATAATTTCAAAATATTATCTTCGTCATCAAATAAATTTTATGAAGATGACAAAAAAAAAAGTTAGAAATTACTAAATTTCAAATCAGGCTTAATTAGTAACACAACTTTGTTTGGTTGAATTTGCAAATCATAATAAATTTTTGTTAAATTTTTTATTTAGCATTTAGTGATTTTCAATTTTGCTTTTTTGTCATTTTTTTCTAAATTTTAAATATTACTATCCTCTTAAAATAGTTATATAAAAGTGAAAGATTTCAATTCAATATTATTTGGACTAAAAATAATTTGTATCCCATGGAATGACTCACAAGAAAGAAAGGAATGTGGGTTAAAAAGTGGAGTGTCGGTTTTACGATACAATGAAAGCTAGCGTGTCTTGTACGTAAAAACAAGCACTTATCACTCGATATCGGCCAAAAAAATACCTACTAAGATAAAAGCGAGGGCAAACATGAAGACAGATTGGCTACCACTGAGAAATCAGGAGCATGCGAGTGTGAGAGGCACTAATCTCACCCCATAAACAGGGAACAAAATCAAGTAAAGAAGGCCACGGCAATCACCACTCCCAAACTAACTAATAGTAACATACTTCCACTGTATCAGGGCATTTATTGACTATTGCTTCTGTTTTTGTTCCCAACCCAAGCTAATCTTAGCTTTACCAGTTTACGATCTTTTCACTTCTCTTGTATCTAGATTGCTTTCAAGCTGTTAACTGATACTGTTTTCATGATTTGCATCCTGGTATATGGGGAGATCGCGGTAATGAACTCCCATATCCTTGTCGTTTAATTCATATGTCTTTGGCATGCCTCGAAATACATTTTTAGCTCACAAATATCTTACATTCCTTTCGATAATTTAAAAAAAGTATGAGGCAAAAATAACATCTTGCGCAAAAACGCTAATAAGACGAGTTCGGTTTACTTTTGTATTTTGCAATAATATCATTTTGTACTGAAGATTAATTTCAAATTTAACGGATAAGAACTCACAAAAGATATTTTTCTTAAAATGGAAAACAAGTCAATGGCCCAGGAACTTCCATGACAGACCAATCATATTAATATTTTAATCTGGCGGTCGCTTTTTAAAAATGCGCCAGTGTGTGTGAGAAATGAAAGAGCAAATAAAAATGAGCCAGCTAATCCACACCACAATTTAAGTAAAAGAGAATCCAAAATCTGCTTGTCAAATGAATCTACCCGGTGGCCACTGAGCTCGCCCATGGACTGCCACATGGCTTTGGTCTTCTCCTTGATTGGTGAAACCACATTTCCTTTTCCAGACCAGATTTTATGTTCGCTCCAGACACACCACCCCCCCCCCCCCACTCCACCTCCACCTCCACCATAACTTCAGCGTGCACCTTCCTTGTATAGTGCTGCTTCCTTTTCTAATTCGTGCACTTCCTTTCGTTTCCCCATAAATTCTATTCCAATCTTCGCCCAATCTCCCACAGCTTTTTCCTCGCAGTACAAAGCCCGGTTTTTTATTTTTGAATTTTCCCATTAGAGGGGACCTTCGGATTAACTCTGTAGTTTTCTTCCGCGCCATCTGTAACCATGGCTTCTACCTTGTCCTACGGCTCTCTTAATCCCTCAACGACATCTTTCTCAAGAACCAATTTCTCAATTCCTACTTATAAAGAATTTTCATTGGATATTCCACCCGTTGGAAGCAGAACAATTAAGCGTACTAAGAAACTGCTGCCAATTGCAGCTGCAGTGGCAGAAGCGCCATCCGGTGCTTCCCCCTCAACAGAAACTGTGACTGAAAATCACGGGGATCAAACTCCTGGAAAGAAGATTCGGATACTAGTGGCCGGCGGTGGGATCGGAGGTTTGGTTTTTGCTCTAGCTGCAAAGAGAAAAGGGTTTGAAGTTTTGGTGTTTGAGAAGGATCTGAGTGCTATAAGGGGGGAGGGACAATACAGGGGTCCAATTCAGATACAGAGTAATGCATTAGCTGCGTTGGAAGCCATAGATTCGGAGGTTGCTGAAGAAGTTATGAGGGTCGGTTGTATAACGGGTGACAGAATCAATGGACTCGTAGACGGAGTTTCTGGTTCTTGGTAAGCTCTCATACTCGTGATCTTTTTACCCATTCTATTTAGTATTTAAGCTCAAGAAACTTGTTCTTTATTTACAGACGGAAAGATCTAAGACGTTGTATCAACTTTACAGGCTTGTCAAGGATTAAATAACACTTTTGTTATTTGTGTTTCGGGCGTGGTTCTGTAGTCAAAGCAATTCAACCTAAAAATAATTTAATTAGTTTTCACAAACCATGTTGCATGTTTTCGAAACTGTATCCATTTTCGGTAACTTTGGGAACTGACGATGTATGTAATTCGGCATTTAATTTCATGTCTAGGTTAACCAGCTTCATAATTGCGCTGTTTTTAGAAATTTGTAAAATTTACACTACGAGACCACAGATTCAATTATTCAGCGGCACATGTGGAACATGATGTCTGATGCTCTGTAGCTCTTACTCTAAAGCCTTTTTAACATCCTTTTTGCGAAGACTTATCTGATTGATCGCTGAAGATTTAATCTGACATAAACTTGTAGAAATGGATACAGTTAAACTAAGCATGTTATCTCTTGCGTAAAAGCTGAAGGAAAATGTAACGCAAGTCATTGTCTTTTCCTCCAAGATAGTATTTCCCTAATTTTTTTTCCCCTTTAGGTTGAAGTCTTTCTTAACTCTTAGATCAAATATGTCTTCTGTACAGTATGTGTGGAAAATTTAAGCTTGCTGTCCCTTCAATTGATGTATAATTGGTTCTCAGGTACATCAAGTTTGATACATTCACTCCTGCAGCGGAACGTGGGCTTCCAGTCACAAGAGTTATAAGTCGAATGGCCTTACAAGAGATACTTGCCCGTGCTGTTGGAGAAGATGCCATTATGAATTCCAGTAATGTTGTTAATTTCGTGGATGACGGAAACAAGGTAATCAAGGAATGCTCTTGCACTGAAGATGCTATTCACAATGCTATTATATGAATTTTTTAACTTTTTATTTCGTTATTCTGGAATGTGATTAAGAGATCAATGTAGGAACATATCTTTTGGGTGACATTTATTGCTTTGTTGTGCTCTTCTGGAATTCCGCATTTCAGGTGACAGTAGAGCTTGAGAATGGTCAGAAATATGATGGTGATCTATTGGTTGGAGCAGATGGTATATGGTCCAAGGTCGTCTTCAATCTCCTTTAAGCTGAGCTCTTTTCATTAGAAAATTATTTACTCAGCACTAGATGCTCATGATGCATGGCAAATTTTTTATAAGAAAGAGTTGGTTTGATCCTGCATGTGCATGTGGTAGCCTTGTTTTGTAAGCATTGAAAAGTGCTGAACGATTCCTGCTTCTTTGTGGGTATATATGGTCATAAATTTTTCTTGTTTATTTAATTTAACCAACTCTTGGGAGTTGTATGAATAGGTGAGGAAAAAGTTATTTGGGCCAACAGAAGCAGTTTACTCTGGCTACACTTGTTACACTGGCATTGCAGATTTTATTCCTGCTGACATTGAATCTGTTGGGTAAGTTAGCTTGTATTCTTATGTTTCTATTTTCTGTTAACATTGCTTGCATCATATTTTGAAGTTTGGTTGAACTTCTATCATGGAAGGTATCGAGTATTCTTGGGACACAAACAATACTTTGTATCTTCAGATGTTGGCGGGGGGAAGATGCAATGGTATGCATTCCATAAAGAACCGCCTGGTGGTGTTGATGGCCCACATGGTATGTTCTTTTCATATGCTTGTGATTTGACTCATTTGATTGTTCCTGAATGCTTGGTCTCTGGAGATGCAAAATTTACTGTGAGATATAATTCTTATATCTTGTGCATGGCAGGAAAAAAGGAAAGGCTCCTTCATATATTTCAGGGCTGGTGTGATAATGTAATAGATCTATTAAGTGCCACAGACGAAGACGCAATTCTACGACGAGACATATATGATAGGACACCAATATTCACATGGGGAAAGGGTCGGGTGACCTTGCTTGGTGATTCTGTCCATGCCATGCAACCAAATATGGGCCAAGGAGGATGCATGGCTATCGAGGTACGTGTTTATCTTATCTGCAGTATTCATTCCCTTTCAATGGATATGAATTTCCACTACTTCAATTAGTTCCCGCAATTTCCTGGATGTCTAGATCTGATATACCTGCTCTTTAATCCCTTGTAGGTCTTAGTATTTCAGATTCCCCCCGCCTCCAAAAAAAAAAAACTTCTCTCTTTGCTTCTTTTTTTGTAAATTTTTTTTTGCCTGACTTTTTTTGTAATTTTTTCAATCACCTATTCCTATTAGACTGATGCTTCAGGACTGAGAGGCTAATACTTTCTGATTTGCATGTTTTATTATTTCAGGACAGTTATCAGCTTGCACGGGAGTTGGATAATGCATGGGAACAATGTATAAAATCAGGGTCTCCAATTGACATTGATTCTTCCCTCAGGAGGTACTTATTGTTTGCAGTTGGCTAGTCAAATATGTACATGAAACTGACGTTGACACTGAAACTGCAGGCTTGCACAAATATCAAATTTTGAAAATTGAGAGAGCGAGACAAAAGTTTTAGATTTTCATGTCAACTAAAAGCATTTGACCACTTGAGTTGAACGGAGAGATGTTTGGCATGTTCCAGTAGTTAGTCTTGGACTATTTCCAAATTGGTTGTCCTGATAAATCATCTCTTCACTGAACTATTGGGCCTTTTATCCCTCATTTCATTTCGTTCAATGCTTTCAGCTATGAGAGAGAAAGAGTACTGCGAGTTGCCATTATTCATGGAATGGCAAGAATGGCAGCTCTTATGGCTTCTACCTATAAGGCATATCTTGGTGTTGGTCTTGGCCCTTTAGAGGTGAGAAGTTACTTACACCTAACGAGATGATGAAAAGAATAAGTTGATGGTTACTCTGGATATTGGCATGATGCCTAGAATTCATAATTTTTTCCATCCTCTACAGTTTTTGACCAAGTTTCGAATACCACATCCTGGAAGAGTTGGAGGGAGACTAGTAATTGACAAGGTTATGCCTTTAATGTTAAGTTGGGTCTTGGGTGGTAATAGGTAAGAATTAAGAACCATCTTCCCTTTTTAGTTGATTGACCTGGAGGTAATCATGCCCCAGCTTTCTCTTGCAATATGCGTGTAAAAAATGAGTCAAAAGGTAGCATAAAAAAGGATGAAATGCTCAAGGTTGAAATATTTGTGAAAATTATTTTTCCAGTTTTTTTCTTGGTGAAATTCGTCCACAAAAAACTACTCAATGTCTTACATAGTGGCTTCGCAAACCAAGGTTTTTTGTGGTGGCACATTTTCTTGCATCACTTACTCACAAACATGTGACATGATCCTACTTTTGCAGCACCAAACTTGAAGGGAGACCTATAAGTTGCAGACTCTCCGATAAAGTATGTCCATTCCATACTTTTACTCTTTCTTGATGCAGAGCTATGGTGGTTGGTTTTGTTATATGGTCGTGTCTGTTGGATTTTGCTGTGATCTGGAATCTCATAGGTATTTGATTATTTATGAAGGCAAATGACCAGTTGCCGAAATGGTTTCAAGATGATGATGCACTTGAACGTGCTATTAATGGAGAGTATGTCTTTGGTCCAATATACACGAGTACAATCCTTTAAATATCTCCAACCGTACATGCTGATATCATAACTTTTTTTAAAAAAATAAAAAACAGATGGCATAACAGTTGTGTCCATTCTCCTTGCTTGTATTGTAGGTGGATTTTATTACCATTTGGGGATGAAGCGGGACTTCTGAAGCCTATATCGTTAAGTCATGATGAGAAGAAACCCTGCATAATTGGGTATGGCTGCGGTCACGCCCGCTCAGCTTAATTAAAATATTACAAGAGGGTTATCCAGTGCATGTTAACTGAAATTTAGGAAAAGTTGCTGTAAATTACTTTCAAATATTTTTCTTTTGGAGTTGAACGTTTTCAACTCTTTCCTGACAACAATATTTTGATTTGCAGAAGCACCCCGCAAGAGGACCATCTAAGCAGTTCAATTGTAATACCTTCACCACAGGTAACACCAGTGATCATGCTCAAGTTAATAGTAGTTATACATTTAATGATCATCCGTATCATTCTATTTTGAAGGTTTCTCAAACACATGCTCGAATTAACTACAAGGACGGCGCCTTCTTCCTGACTGATTTGCGCAGTCAGCATGGCACCTGGATAACTGAGTGAGTGAAAGAAAGGGAGGCTTATATCCTTTCCTTTCGAAATTTAAATTCCTCATTGTGTATACCTAATTCCACTCTATATTTGCAGCAATGAAGGAAGGCGGTATCGGTTGCCTCCAAATTATCCTGCTCGCGTCCATCCGTCTGATGTTATCGAGTTTGGTTCTGATAAGGTGGGAGATAATTTCTACGCTATAGTTGAAAAGAAGCACAGTTGGTAGCGAAAAAATATTCTTCTACTTCCAGCATATTAATATATTCCTTCCGTCTTAAATATAGGACCTAATTGTTGAGTTAATTTTAGCCCTAAATATAGGACCTCTTTCTTATATTTATCAATTTTTTCTAAATTATCGTTATGGATACTTTCTAAACCATAATTAAGTAAAAGAGGGAAGAAAGATACTAATGAAGATGATTATGATATTTTAGGAAAAACATGTCATATTTTTTATAATTAACTAATTTATCTAACTTTCTTAATCTAATCAAATTAGTTAGATAGGTCTTATATTAAGGATCGGAGGAATATTATTTTGTTACTCAGAATATGCTTACTTGGAAATAGGATTCTTCTTAGATGGTGGGCTATGGGAATGATGTATGAGCGTGTCTATAATCGTTGCAGGTTGCATATCGTGTGAAGGTGATAAGGTCTGCTCCAAGATATTCTGAGGAAGGATCGGAGATTTTACTGGAACGATGACCCAGATTCTGGCCAATAACAAGTTATTTTGGGCTAGACTGTAATTGTACAGCACAAATTTGGGACTAGAAAGCCAGAACCTGCGATTTTTGAGTCGACGGTCAACACAAGAATGGCAATGATTTGGCATCGAAATAGTGTCACACGAACTTGTAATTGTATCATAGCAATTGCTATTTCACACATGTTAATATAAGAAAGCAAATTGAGGTAGACTCATCTCTCTTTTTGATGCGTACTTCGGTGTCTTTGATGCTCACCGCCTACTTTCAGTAATCGTAGTAGCAAGGAGGAATGTGGATGGTGTTGAGGGAAGAAAAAGGAGGTTCGCCAATCCGTTTGAAAAGGGAGTCTGACTAGAATAATTTATGAATAATTTTTTAATCATGATTTGTGAAATATGAGATGAATATGTGACAGGAATTTTATTTCAACTTATATAAAACATGCTTATCCCAAGCAGGTCCTAAGTTACTCGACAACTGAATTCGCTATTTCATCAACATAGAACAGGGAGGAGGAGGATGAATGGGTAAAGAATGTTTAACAAGGAACAAACGCAAAAGAACTGTACCACCGACTTGGGGCGCCCCAAGAGCCCATTCATTCAATGTCACGCACGCTCCAAATCCCCCACCCCAGGATAAGCCTCTACCATGAGCTTGCTGGGGCCTCTGGAATCTGTTCGTACGCAAACGAAAGAAAAGGTTATAATCTTTCTCGGGGAAAATCGTTCATGAATCTAGCTTGGAGATAGTGCGAACCAAATCAAATGTACAGTTGCTGCCGTACGCGCTAGATGCTACCTACCAATGCTTACAAAACGAAGCAAACAAGAAGCAAACGCCTAAGTAGAACCAAGTGTTTGACTGCTCATTGCCCGCGCCCGATGTGCTTCTGAAGCTCTCTGCCCGGCTGTGTGTGGGTTAGGCTCAAAGCTGCAAGGAAATTATCGGGGGCCCAATCACGTGGACCCTCTCACCTCGCAAACTTCCAGGGCTGCCCTTCTCCCCTTGGATTAATTTATTTGCTCCATAACTCGGGCAGGCTTTTCTTCGCCATCTCAAATCCAGAGAGAGAGAGAGCGAAGATCTGGTTGTCATCGCTTTGTCCCTTCAACCCTGCCTGCGAAATCCCATTCATGCATGCACTTCCTTTTCCAAATTCCAAGGGGTATCTATATTGTATTCACTTATTCCTGTCACACAAGTAGCTTCTTAAAAGAAGATACTGCCTTCTCTCCTACTCCTTCCAGTTCCGCGCTCAGAATGAAATCAAATCATGGCTAACTCATTATCCTTTCGGCTTCTGAAAACGGATCGGATCACTGAGACTGAGACTGAGCAAAACGAGTGGAGCCCTCCTTTCTATTAAAAGGATACACGCACGTGCCCTGCCCCCTTGCCTAACCACCAAAATTACATATCGCCGATAATACATTCGGCCGCGAGCAAGTCTAAATGCAACAATTGATTCATTAATTATGTAACGTCTATATTTTTCAATCTAGATTGAATGGCGGAAGGTTCAACACGTGTAATTCCGAATTCATTTCCTCGGACAACTGGCGTTTCCCAAAATGTTTTAACCCCAAGATAGGGGAATGCAAACCCCGAGGCCTCTTTAGCCTTAACACCACCGTATTTTTTAATTTGTTTAGCTAAGGAAAAACAAGAAGGAAAATCTCCCCAGCCGAGCCAAACTGTTACGACCGGGAAACCGATTCCACAAGTTTGCCTATTTTCTCAACCAGCTGGGGGGATAGCTTCTTAGCCGGTTTCCGTTCCTTCTCCGGTCGAAAATCAAATCCTAAGGCCTCTGACACCTCTTCGGAGCTCCACCCCGCTTTTCTAAGAGAGTCCGAATGCTTGTCCGCTTTCAACAGCAGGGCATCCCGCACCGCCTGATTATCTAACAACACCATATCTCCTTGGAAGAATCCCGACGCCGACACCTCCACGATTTCGGATATGTCCGATTCGCACCACCCGCCTTCTCTCAGAACCGACCCTATTTGCCCTATGTACCCCTCTACCCATTTGGGTATTTTGGACCGAGGCACCTCAAAAAACCTGTCCGGCGACGACGATGTCGACGAAGATGAGTTTCTCCTCCGACGATCGATGGCTGCGTCGCTCCAAAACTCGACCCACCTCGGCGTTCTACCTCCGCTAACGATTCCCGTATCCAGGCTTCTCCGAGATAAATTGTGGGATGAACCGGCAGATTTCTCGCTGACGGAACTCTGTTTTTTCAGCATCTGAGGATTGGATTCGGAACTCCTGAACAGGGACTCGCGCTCGAAAAAATCCGAGAGATCCAAACCGCAACAGAAGATCATATTCTCGTCTACGAAGAATATTGGGTTGCCCGCGAGAGAGGGGTTACAGGGAATGTAGCAATGGTTGAAGATGGGTATCAGAAGAGGGGCTCTCTTCAGTGCATTTCTAGCGACCCGCAATGCCTTTTCGGGCTCAGATGGTCTGGGACCCCAAGTCTTGGACCAGAGGGTGTTTCTGGCAATCTGAAAGGAGATCGCGGCGATTGGAAGGTCCAGCGAGGCACGAAGATGAAGACGAGCCCCGACTGAGCGCCAGTCAGGGAAACCGGGGCCGACGGGCAAGCCGGCAGTGAGAACAGCACGAAGGTCTGGAGGAAATACAAAGCCAAACTCGGCCTCGGCTCGAGCAAACTCTGTGTCGGAGAGGCCTTGTTGCACCTGTATGCCCGAGTTGCAGAGGTGGGTTATGACTTTGTCGGCTAGAGAAGAGAACGAGAGAAGACCGTTACGTACGGGAAGGGAGGAAGCGGCGGTGGCAGAAACGGAAGCCGCTCGAGCGGAAAGGCGCCGGAGGCCAGCAATATGAGCCGGGTTTGGACCGGCCATCCTCGTGTCCACGTCGACCATTGCTGTGTGGCTTGAACTTCTATGTTTGTTTCAATAGGTCTGTGCCCCGTGACCTCCCTGCGGTGCCGGAAAGATATCCTTTCGGCTCTTTCTTCTTTTGTGTTGAACGAAGACAGAAAGAACGAAGGAAGCGATGTGATGTGCACGAGAAAGTTGAAATTAGTGAATCTGGGAGGGAGAGGGGAGCTCGGCATTAAAAGGAAGTTAGCAGATTTAAAGCAGGAAAAAAATGGAGCCCCCTGGCGGGACTTTCTCACTTCCCATATTACCCCTTCCTTTTGTGACAATGACCAACATAGAAAAAGTCAAAATACAAAAAGGGTTTGCTAACAGTCACTAATTAATGGAACCGTGGTACTCATTTAAGGATGAGAGTATATTATGGCTGTTGGGCAACGGCTCTTTCTCATTCAATCCTCAAGTGTCAGTATTTTTCTTTCCTTTTTTTAAATAAGGAAAAAAATACAGAGATGGGATTGGGATTTTGCTGCCGTTGACCATAAATACTCTTTTTTTAGGCAACGAGACCATAAATATCCTTATAAGCAAAATACAGCAGGCTCTAGGAAAAATATAAGACGAGAGAAAAAATATTAATGATGGGATATAACAATTAAAATTCAATCCCCTGCAGTCTCTACAGCCAAAAAAAAAAAAAAAAAAAAGCCTGTAAGCCTAATTGAGACATCAATGAATATAGATAGATATATTTTCCCCAATTTTTGAAACATAATTATTACTTATTTTTAATAATATCCCTATTACATGAAGGATAGTAAATGTCATGAATATGATAGATTAAAAATTACATAACACTAAATGAAGGGCAAAACTTAAAAAAAAAGAAGAAGAAGAAGAAGTAATTCTGTCTTTTTCACCAGAAGAAAAGATTAACGAGATGTCTGTGAAACAGAGAGCAGGGTTCATTTGTGCCATGGACTTGCGTCTCACATCAAGTACCGATAAATAATAAATCCCGACGCAAGTTCTGGTGAGATGAGTGAAGACAAGTCTAGGGTTCGTGAATCCCTTGCTCCTAAAACAGATCAAATGATGCTGTCATTGGGGGCAAAACCAGTACAATGGTCCACCCATTAATCACTGCCACGACAAGATTAAATTTCTTCCGTAAGAGGAACGTACTGAATTCGGCCATCTTCGTTCTCTTCAATTCATAATTCATCCACGCCACCTCCTTGTATTTAAAGCCATCGGTGCCAAGTTAGAAGAAAACTGATATCACAGACTCACAAAACTTAAGTTTGAGGATGGCATAGTAAATATAAAATCCCCCTGCAAACAAACCATCCCACTTGGGACGTAAAAACAAAATAGTAATCCTCCAGAAACCATGATGGTTTTGTCGTGAGCTTCCCGTTTTGGGACCACATACATCAGCAAACACCAGCGGTGATATTAAAAAATTAAACTGCGTCTGAGAAAGAGTGTGAAGTGAGGATGAACATGTGAAGCAAAAAGCTTAATTAAAAGACTGACTTGAAAATTAAATGGAATAGAGAGGGACACTATTAACGCAGGGGAGAAAGATTTATTAAAATCTCTCGTGGGAGCGGTATATGATCTATTACCGTCACTCATTGTCGTTCTTTTAGGGAGCCTCACCAACTGTTTGATGTGACGCTCAAGTCATAAAATAATGAGTTACACATCAACGTTTGTTTCGATTATATATGTGTTTGGTAGATGTGTGAGCGTGTGTGTGTTTTAAATAATGACAGTTGAGGAGGCAGGCATGTTGATTTGGAAGGAAGCAGAAGACTGTGGAGAATGAGGATGAGTGTCTGGTGTTTGAAGGGCGTTTTCTTCCCCTTCTTGAACGCCATACGTACTTCTACTACTGCGTGCTTCTGGGTGGAGATCCATGTGCAACTCTCTCTCACACGCACATTTGACTACATATATGCACTTTAATAATTCGTGACGTAGTCACAAAGGTTTGCGTCAGATGGGGTTCGGGCTTTTGAGGACCGTGTCCACCAATAATCGTTGCACGCCTCCTCCCCTCCAACAAAACCCCACACATTTATAATCACAGTTCACACATATATATATACCGTCAACATGAAATATTTTTCAAATCTGTTTTAATTTGACATGAGAATATATGAATAGGCAATTACGGAGATGAATCAAGGAGAGTAATATATTGCAATGAGTATCGTATTATGAAATCAAACGTGGGCATCATTTCAGATGGGTTTAATGCTTGGCGGATAAGACTTGGCCGAATAAGGTGGACTTAAGATGCTTAGCAATACGGTTATATCCAACTAATCACACATCAAAAGCCACTTCTAATCAATGGTCCCCCCATGCAACAGGATCCCTGAATTACGAAGCACTTAAAAATGCTTCTTATTATGAATGAAACAAGTGGATCGGTTTTAATTTGTTCAAATAATTAGTTGCCAACCTTTGCTGCTTCTTGGCATACACAGGAATCCACATCTCAATTCTCCGATGCGAGAAGGTTAAAAAAATACCTCTTCAGGTTTAGGATCATCCTTAATATTTAATCCTCTGCTTGTGAACCAACCACAACCAATACTATATTCCCGTCTATCAATAAAATGTCATGCTGACGCATACACGTTCATCATATATAAACAGGGTCATTTAATTAATTTAACACTCGTGGCTGAAATGGAAACTTATAGATATGTGATGTGACCTCGTTGCCAATTACCAGCGGAGCGAATTGCATGCATTTGAGGGAATCATCATTGTTATATGGCAGCAGCTCAAAACCCATTCATGGAAAGCCATTCATTCCACTTTTGCCTTCCTTCCATATGGCACCAAACACTGCACGCATGCGTCTTCATATGGCTTTTCGCCCTAAGCATACCACTGATTAATTATCACTCGCTCTTCATTTATTAACTACGGATAGAGCAGCTTCAAAATGAAAGCGAAAGAAAACAAATAATTGGTGCCATTTCACATTACTAATTCAAATGGCAAGGATAAGATAAAATGCTCGTAAAATTCATAGTTAAGCAAATTAAACAATGAAAGAAAGTAATCTATATCTATATTTATGTGAAGAAGATAAAGAAGGCCGGGGGGCCGCCAGCTATTTCATTCAAATTGGTGAAGCAAGGGATCGATCAAAGACGTTTCATAACTCAAACGCACAATCATCATGCGACTGCCTCCAAGAGAGAAGGCGACGCCAGGATGGTGTGTACGTATTTCCGGGATCAAATTTGAATCTTCTGTATTTGGTTAAATGATATTATGTGTTTTAAATATCATAAGCATGTGAGAGTCTGACAGATGACAGTAGTGAGTGCCTAGAAGAATGAGATCATATGTGAGCTAAGGAGCTTTAGCCGCTTCTCAATGTGATTTTATTCACTCTTTTTTATAATTAATCACTTCTTAATTAAGTGGGGCATCAATAAATTAGTATCTCCAAGATAGATACGCCACGCCATGTGCATGCTTCGCTTTATATATGTGGGCGTGTATTTCTTTAAACATAGTTTATTATACTAATTATTCAAGTGGGTCGAGCTAAGAAGGGTCCCTGTAGCGAGGAATAATTATGTTAGTTAAAGCATTTCAGATATATAATTGGTGAAATGTGATTCATTACTTCATTGTATATACAAGCTAGAAAAAAGGCCTAATTATTTCTTCAGTGCTCAGGCCAAGACATTCTCTCGCCCCAAGGAATACAAGGGAGCACATTATTGTTTAATTTGTAAAATAGCGGGCTTTTCTACCAGCATAATGTAGTGGGTTAGACAACTAATTTACATGTGTTTTAATCTAATTGAACGGATAATGTCTTAAAAATAAGAAAAAAAATGACAAATAGCTAGGTATGTGCTTGAATCGTCTCTCCGCAATTACGCTGTCGTCTCCTTCATTTCCTCACTTTTTGACAGTTTGTGGCGTTCCACTTTCTTTTGTCTTTCGTATTTAGCTTAGCTTGCATACTCCCTATATCCTATGCGTTCGAAATCATTGGACTTTACTTTCTAAATGTTGGTGCTATTATTTTAGTTTATTTTCGTGAATGGCTAAATTCATTGGTCATGCCCTGTCTTATTTTAATAGTTTGTTCAACTAAATTCAATCCAGTTATATATATATATATATATATATATATTTTTAACAAATAATGCTTCAATATTTCAACACTCAAATGAGAAACGAAAGAAACAGTGGCGAAGCGAGAGCGGAGTTCTGGTGCAGGCGTGACCCTCGATGGAGGTGGGGAAGCATGGAACGAAGACAACGACAACGAGAGGAAGAAATTGAAGGATGAATATTCCTGAGAGTCCAAAAGATGTTATGGTTTTCATTTAATCTCAGGGGCATTTTAGTCCAATCAAATTAATTAACAGAGATCAGGGTTCTTGAATGGAAGTTGAATAATTGGAGGCCCCTGATTGTAATTGATCATCTTACAGGATGCGTAACTCATTTTTCTCAACAATAAATGATTGCGCAGAGACTAATGAACAGGGGGCATCGTGTGCCATAGGTGACGCTAAGGCTAAGGGGCCCGGAATTAAAAATAGATTGAAAAGAAGGAATTACGTAGGGGAGGGGGAGGGGTTGGTGAGCGTGGGGGAATTTTATAATGGGAGAATCAAAGTGTGGGGAAGGAATGAAGTAAAGGTGAGAATGGAAGGGATAAAAAGCAAAGTGCGAGTGCCTTCCTGGACTCACAGAGGTAAGAAGAACGCGTGGGGTTGTGAAAAGTTAGGGAATAAAGTCAAGTTTTAGACTCACTCGACTATGATGGGATTCCTTTATTATTAGGATTCACTTTAGAAGCTGATTGACACGAGATCACCTCTTCTGAGACGAAGCCCTGCAATTCCCGTGTGGCTCAAGTGAAGTGAAAGTGAAACGCCCCACAAAAAAAAGATGAATAAAAGGGCAAATAAAGGAACAAGGCTTCACAAAAAGGACTGGCAGGAGCTTTGGATAAATTCATGAGTCTCTTTTTAATGACTTGTTGGCCTACACCTAATCATGCCAGAGATGGAATCGAATCTGTTATTCGATTTTCACTCTCGTATTTTAGGCTCTCCCTGGTCCCACCAAATATCAACAAGTTACATTTAGACGGTTGGGAGGAAAAGTTAGGGAGCCATCTGTGATTTGACTCCTAATGATGGGGAATCGTCAGGAATTGCGTTTACTAATCACATTGTTCAACTTCAAATTCACTCTCTTTTGTCATCTTCTGGGGGGCTGACAAGAGCTAAGTTAAGGATGGTCTGGAGAGGGTAAGTGGAATCTGGAAGCAGACAGAGGCTAAAGACTGAAGAATGAGGAGTCGTCACATTTTCAAATTGAATCCAACACCGTGGTGAAAAGCAAATTGCGTGGCATTCTCGACTGATGCATCTTCCTACTGAAGCCAGTGGCGTGGGAAAAATGAACGCAGAGTGGGCGGCGCAGTAATGTGCTATATTGGGGTTCGCGTTATCTTATCGTAATGAAATTCTGATGACTTGAACAGATACGCACATATCCCTTCTCACGGGAGGCTTTCGTAATATCGGCCGGCCAAGTAAGCACAGTGCCTCAGACTGAAACCCACCCACGCCACATGCTCTCCCATACTCAATTCCCTGTATCACATCGGCCTTCCACCCAAAACCAATTCGCCACGAAATAAACCAAATGCCAAAAGCGGCAGTCGTTTTGACATCAAACTCCACATCTTATCTTCCATGATACAGGAATCCACAGAAATGCACTTGGCCTCACTAGACATGTATTTGTTTTTAACCGAAATGCTTTTTAAAAATCGAGACTGTAGGAAACAGAACCTGATGCATTAATAATACATTTTAATACTATATATATCAGTTGGCAAAAAATATATATATCAATATGATTATTTTTATATTGATTCCTTTTTAAATTTTTTTAAAAAATATGGCGTAATATTTTTCTGATTTTAAGACAATATATCGTACATGATTTAGAAGAAGCTACATTATTCATCATTCATAAAAAGTGCAGCATGTCTCCGACCTCGTGCAAAGCATAAGGTTTACATATTATTTTTCCTTAGATATTTTAATAGAATTTCATTACAATATTGAAGAATAAGTATAACTTAATAAAATTTCTCAAGGGGACATTGGGAAAAAGTACTGATATTTTCTATGTATAAAATTTTTTTTAGGTCCTTCTCACTTCTCATCAATATAATTTTCAACGAGACCTTTGCCTAATTTTCCCATTTTATAAATCCTCATTTGTAATAAAATCTAAATTTGAAAATTGAAAGCAGTGATGATTTGCGAATGATCCAGATGCAGAAACCATCGTTCTGTGGCCCCTGGAGGATGCCGTGGTTGTCCTCTTGGGACTTGGGAGGAACGCAGATCGGATGTTCAAACACTTGGCCAATGTCCTGCCTTTCATCATCCCAAGCACGCAAAGAGGGATGGGTGGCCAACAAGGAAGGACATAGTAAGATCAAGGCATATCATCGAAATGAATCAAATACCATCCGTCACACGAATGAATCGGATTCCATCATATTTGAAGGATGGATTGTGATTCCTTCGACAATCATCATCATCTCATTCTAAACACGCAACGCAATCAATCAATTACCATGAAGTGATAACAGGTACATGATTGACATCGCACATCACAGATAAAACACGATAGAAACTCCCTTTGCTTTTCCCGTCTTCTAATATGCTACCTACTACCATAGTCGCCGTCACCAGACTAGGCCCAACCCAACCCAACCCAACCATGGCTTCCTACATCTATTATCCATTCCTATTAATTTCCAAAAAGTAAATCACAACATAACTGGATCTCGCTGTGCTAAGAATATCTGGGTAATTCCGTGGGTTAAAGATGTCCATTGGATGTTTAAACCTGCCTTCCCGATGGAAACAAGATCGAAGACTGACATGCCATAACCATGAGAATCAGAAGTAAGAAGATAACAAAGGAACGAATCTATATTTGCATTATGGATGTCTCATACAGTTCACAAGTTCTCCTTAACAAAATCTGTGATACAAAATCAAAATCCAGGTTAACCTTTTCTTCATCTTCCTCCTTAATCGTAAGGAATTTGGATATATGCAGCATCACATACGAAAGGAACATCAGCATACATCCCAGCAAGAGCACATCGTATACACTCCAACACTGTAAACAGATAGGCAAAAGCTACAGCTGTCCAGAAATGCATTCCTAGTTTACCCCAGTAGATTGCAAGAGGCATCCAACGGCTCACTGTCCCTATCACCTGAAGCGAAATCTCTAATAACATTCCCATCACAACATGGAACCGGAAGAAGTGAGGCCACTCTTTTCTCCTCACAATTCCAAGATAAGCAACAAAAAAGTAAGCCATGAGGAACCAGCCCGGAAGACTCCCAATTGCCATAAGGAAAGGGTATGTCATGAATTCAAAATTTTCCAGAAAGGGATGAAGATGGTATGCCGTCTCCGCATACATCCATGTCTCATGGAGAGGCATAAGGTATGGGAGGCATGCTAAAGTCCTCCACCACCATCTTGGCTTTTTTGTCATGGCTGGAAAACGGAAGCTATATGGGACATCCTTTGATGCTCGAGGAACCATACAAAACTTCTTTTGCCTAGACGGCAGGGGGATTCTAGGATACAGAAGGCCAACACTTTGATCCCCAGTTAAATGTAAGCTTGATGCAGCAGAAATGTTTGAGGATGGCATTCCTATGAGGAAAATTTAAAATGAAATAAAAAAGATTAATCACAACTATTACAAAGATTGGGTAGAGTAGACAGGTCCCTGACTTAGAACATCCTCCATTGCATATTTACACTCACAATCAAAAAGGTATTTGAAGCAACAGCTGTGAAAAATATGCGGATCCTACACTAAACCCTTGAAGAACTTTTTCCCCCAACTATCGCATGAAGAAATTCATTAACATCAGGGAGAATAAAATACAATGAAATATTCTCACAAATCCCGAGCTAAGAACAAAAACAGTGTAGATTTATCAGCTCAATAGTTCATATCATATCAAAAGACTTAAAGTTGACAACCAAATTAAACAAGCCATATACCTTTTGGCAACCAGGACTTATGCCCTAAATAAGGCCCCGAGGAACACTGGATGCTTGAGGCAGCAGCCATAGCTGGCATCTGAGAACTGCAAGAGAACACAGGCCTAAAAGGCAGCGTGGGCCTACCGACCCTCGATGAACATTGGGTCATAGGGCCACCATTTCCTATCATGGTAAAACACCTGATTGAAAATCATCAGAACAAAAACAGGCATTAATTAATAAACAAGGGAAGAAAAAATTAGTTGAAGAATGAACAGAATACTCATAAAAAATTAACCAGGAACCAATCCAACATGTTGTCAGCATATATAGGATCTTAATAATCGCATTAGTTTCCTTGAAAAAGATAGAGAATGTCCATTTATCCGAAAATCTCTCATGAAAATATATATTTCACGATCTTCAAAGTCTTAGATTTCGGATTTGCTAATATAATTCTAATATACATAAACCAGAGCGAAGGCAAGACAAATGAAAGCACAGGAAAAAACTAGAAGCCCGACTGTCCATCAGAAAAACGAAGGCTGAAACATAGACAAAGGGTGAACACGAACAAGGAACACCACCACGAAGCAGGAATCCAGAATCACAGAGTCAGGAAGACCACATCAAGAAAAGAATCCATAGGAGCTCGCGGAACCAAGAGCCAACAGATGCACGACAGTCAAGAATTGTAGACTTGGACCAGGTCAAGTATGTTTTTACTAAGCAGTAAGCACCCTGTAAACAATATTGCCCAAAAATTTATAAAAAAAAAAAAAAAAAGCGCTAGTGAAAGATATGAGATCTTCGTGTTCACCACACCTAGCACCTAGGTCGTACGCCGCTAAGTTTCGAAAATGCCACGGGGAATTGATTATCAAACACGCTAAAAGCCCCTAGACAACTCAGCAGATCAGAATTAAAGAAAATCAACGTTGGTTTCGAATAGAGATTTCCGAGGGACAAGTGCCTTACCTCGTGGGTGCGGAGAGCGGTAGCGGTTAACGGCGGCTGCTATAGTTCGACAATGGTGACTGCTACGGCTGGTCGTGAAGAACGGCGTGCGAGAAAGCGGAATAGGGGTCGCAGGAGAAGGAGGGTTTATCCACCTTCCGCACGATCATTTCGTAAGCCAACAAGCCATGGTGGCTTTTCTAGTTTTCTCGTGTGATTTTATGAAATGCATGTACTGCCTCCGCTTTTTACAAGGCACCAGATAATCCAGGAGGGAAAAATAATAAAAATAGACTAAATGTAATTTTGTGAAAATCATAAATTATTTTTAAAAAAATGAGTTGAATTGTACTTTTAATAAATTATCTCATTAAATATTCTCAGTTTTAACCCGGGTAAAAAGAAAAATCTCGGTAAATATTTCAGATTGGGAGTTCAAATCTGCCACGAATGGGGATAGGATGGAGCATAAACTAATTAATTTATTAATTATTTTTGGCCAAATTATTAATTATTTTTTTGGAACAGAATAATTGTAACTGGGGAAGCTACATGAGCGCGGTATCTTTGGTTGGGAAAAGGTGGGGATTCTCATTATTAATTCTTCCGATAATTTAAAAATCATCAGACCACATATTAAAATAGCTATATCAGAATCGACTGCGGCTTTTATGTCAAAATGACATCAGACCGGAAATCTATGGGTAAAAATTATGACCCCGCACAGGTTTTACTGAGTCAACTTATCACGCAACTCAATTTCTGATGCATTACTAAGCAAGTAATTCCCTTTAAAACTGATCCATCCTGTCATGTATAACAAAATTACCTAATAATAAGCAATACACTCACTAGCTACACCGCACTCAATCAACAGGACATGATTAGCGTCTCTCTCCAACCCTTGGGAGAAATCAAATCAAACATATAGACTAATTACACTGATAAACCTCTCCTCTGCTGTATGATCACCCAATCTTCAATCAGCGCCTAGAACGGTTCCTAAACCTGAAATGGCAGCTATTAGAATAAGTCTTGATGCACATGCAGCTGTCAAATTTCTCAGCAAGCCAAAGCCTTTACCTGGGAGAGCTGGAAGGCGATCGAGACCTTGAGCGCGGGCGAGAACGAGAGCGAGACCTAGACCTGGAGCGAGAACGAGACCTAGAGTAGTATCTTCTAGAACTCCTGCTTCTACTAGGACTTCTGCTACGCCTGTATCTTCTGCAGTTAATCATAATATCAATGCTTCCACAATCAAACTAACTAGAGTGGAAAAATGCAGGAAGACTTTCCAGTGCAGTTAATTGTCAACATCTTGATAATTCTACAACATCTCATCCCCAATGTAAGCAGTTAGGAAACTACCACCAACCTCAATCAACTCAAAAGTACTAATTTGGACATGGGAGTTAATTCAAGTGCACCACCATATTAACCACACTGGAAATATGTTGAACTAACTACCTTGGGGGGGAATGGCTGTAGCTCCTACTGCGGCTACGGCGTCTATGCCGACTAAGCCGGCTCGTTTCAGCAAGTTTTTCCAATCTCTGCCGCTCTTGTTCCCTCTTCTTAGCTAGTTCTGCAGCAGTATCTTTTTTAACTGCAATATAGATGCAAAGAATTGATGTTAAGAGATTCCATATAAACACTGCTTACTCCTGAAATGAACTGACAAATAGGATCGCACATGAAGGCAGTGGAAGACATTGAAGGATTAATTAATGGATCACTAAAATCCATAATTTAAACATACTTTGCTTGTTTAGTTGCCTGTTCATGATCCTTTTAAGTCTCTCTTGAGGAGTTTCTTTCTTCTCCCCTTGCTGCTGCTTCATGAGTCCTCCAGATGCACTCGCCTTACTTAACTTTGCCAATGCAGAGGATGTGCTGTAGAGAAAGGACAACTAACTTTAGAAGCATCAATCAAGAGCCTTCACACTTCACATACACAAGGAGTAAATCAATTTGGCATACTTGACAGATGGCTTCGACGCTTTGCTGCCCATGTCCTTATCAACAGATACACCAGAAGCAGGATCCACATGCAAAGCCTCAAGTATTCGACCAGATGATGGCCTGCAAGATGGTACGGGAGTCAGATAAAACTATAGCAATAATTCCATGCATCTCGGGAAGTTATGCAAAATTTATTTTACAAAAACAAAATTAGCTTCAAAAGGGAAGCCTCTTCCCTCCTCCTCTCTGCAGTTACCATCCTAGTCCTGATCTATTCTAAACCACAAAAAAATTGCCTCAGGCAACAATGTGGGTGATATGCGGCAGCAGAGAAAAGACTGTCCAATCTATCTTGGCAAGAATTAAAGGTCCAGTGCTCCGACCGGTTTAACTTATCAGCTAGAGATGGAGATGGTGGTGGAGAAAATCTCTCAAGCTTGGGTTCATCTGCTTCTCCAGAGCCCCCAAATTCAGTGATATATTCTATTTTAGGAGTCCGTGGTTTGCTTCGGTGGACATCATCTGCATTCCCACCACGAGAATAGCGCCTTGAGTGTGATGGAGAGTAGGACCGTGATCTGGATCTTGACCTTCAAAAGGAAGAAATAGCAAATAAAATTTACTTCATAGAAAGAGACATCAAATGCGTATAAAACCTTCAATAGAAACCAGAAAAATCAGGGCTCTACCTTCTAGACCGAGAATAAGCTTCATAAGTAGGACTTCGTCTTGGTTCCCTGCAGGGATTCAGGTGCATCATTAGCACATAATTTTTAGAAATTATAGAATTTTTAAAAATCATAGCCGTTCATCCAAGTTTTGGTAGGAATCAGAGTCATATTTATTCACTCAATAGTTAATGTAACATATAAACCCAGCAGTTTCTACCGGTAGGGATCATGATGCAGCACACGAGTTCCAGATATCCGAGCAGCTTCTCTCTCTCTTTCCCTTTCAATCTGAGAAGCCTTCCTCCTTTCCTTACGACTCAATTTCCTCTGCAAATTTAGTGAAATACTTTCAGAAACATGTAATTTATAATAATCATAAAACATGAACAAAAACAACGCTTGATCTCTCAACTTACAATTGCAGGATCACCTTTGATCACCTCTTTTTGCCTTTTTTCTTCCTCCTTAGCTTTCTTATCCATGTAAACAAGCCACCCATACCTCTTAACCCCATACTCTTTTGCTATCATTTCCATTCCTTCATCATTGCTGTCATCGCTGTTAAAATCCTCTTCATCATCCTCATCCTCATCTTCATCATTATCATCATCATCTGAAATCTGGGATTCTTCTTTTCCATTCCCATCATAAGAAAATCCCACCTGCGAGTAAGAGCCTTTACTTGCAGGAGGCTGTGACAGGTGAGACCTACCAGCGTGCAATAAAAGGAAAATCAGATGGTTCTCCAAGAGAAGAACCGATAAAACATTCATCAGAAATTGATGCAAAACTTTAGATTCCTGATATACTTAAATTGTTCACAATTAATTCCACCCAAATAGTAAAGTCTTGGTCCCCTCAGATATTAAAGTATTTATGTGACCTTGCAAAAAGTAAGAAAACAACAAAAGAAATCTCATCTAACCTATCTGATGCAAATGGAGCTGCTGCTTTGGCCTCCATCTCTTGATTTACATGTAGCAAAGCCTCCTCATCGGTAACTGTTAACGTAAAAGCTTTGTTTGCTAAATCAACTTCAAATTATATTGTGGCTGTAGTCATATTGACTTTGAAACTAGAGAAACTTCTGTCTTCCATTGCTTTATCATTAATTCACAGTGTTTGAGTATTAAGCAAAAGGATGGGGGAGTGAAAGAGATATAAGACTAGTCAAAGCTTTTCAGAATCAAACACTTTGTCAACAAATAAAAAAGTACCGACATCCTCTATGCCGATGCTTTATTAAATCCCGATAACGCTCAAAATTAACAAACTCTTCTAATTCTTCTTCTTCTTCTGACTTTCCCTGCACGCGCCTGGACCCGGTATCCCGAATGAAATCAAGGAGGGCACGACCATCAAATCTGATCAAACAAAGGAGGGGAGTCAATTCTAAAATATCAATTAAAATGTTAAAAAATACAAATCGTACTGCTCCAACAGTCGAGGATAGTAGGAAAAACCTTGCACCTGTCAATCAAAATATCCTGCTTCCCATTCCATGGAATCCTGAGACAGAAAGTATCCATTAGCAAACCACATATAAATTACATGTTTCGTAGAATATGACATCCCCCCCCCCCCAAAAAAAAAAAAAGAAGAAGAAGAAGAATAAACAGAAAGAATAAGAAGGGGGGGGGGGATGGACCACTGAACATTCTCAAATCACTATTATACCTCCACGCATTCAACCCTAAGCCATATGCAATCATAAACAGGTTATTCTTCATCCTAAGGTTACTGCTGTTACAACAAACAGAAATTAATTCCGAGTTTGCAGGACCACTTGAATATAAATTTCAATACTTAAACCATATAACTTCAAATCAACGAACCCAATCCTTTACGAGCAATCTAAGATCATAGTCCACAACTCCAATTTAGCTTCCGCACTAAACTAATTAGAAGAGCATATGTATAACAGTTGATAATGAAACCGTAATCCTTAACAGACACCCATTCTAGTTCCAAAACGTCCGCATTTAAGTCGACCAAGCAAATCTAGACAGCGAAAAAGGCGCCAAGGAATGTGTTAATCGAGTGAAAATATAGAAACTGACAGGCCCTGTTGATCCTGGATGGCTTGGTAGAGGCCGTCGTCTCGATAGGTTCGGCAACGAGAGCCAATGGCCTGGATTGATTGCTGAGGATCACCTCGCCTCTTTGCCAAATAAACAGCTCGCCTCTGAGCTCTCTTTCGAGCTGCGTCCATCATGTCATGGACCTTCCTCTCCGACCTTCTCGCCTCATGCCACATCTTCTCTCTTTCCAGTCCGATCAATTCCGTCGATCGTGTTTGTCACAGAAACCCTAATTCGGTTTCGATTTTGCGTCCCGATTCCAGCGCGGTGAACGACAGCAACATGACACAACAAGACTGGGATGACACGCAAATTTCCCTTGTAAACGTTGTTCGTGACCCTTCTGGCTTTCCCTTTATCTTTGGACCCGGATCTTCCTCGTCGCACTTACGGCCCGATAAATTATAATGGCACGTCCGGTCCAAAATATAAATGAGTTGGTTAACTCATTTAAATAAATTAAAAAACAATTTAAGTTAGTTATTTATAATAAATATTTTTCTGGTTAGATACCAGAGGAGTATTATTATATTTCTAAAATATCATTACTAATTAAGTTTATTAACTAGAACTATCATTATTAGAAGGATTGTCTTGAAAAAAAATGAATAAATATGAAATACAAAGTGGATTGGGGTCTTATATTTAAAACCAAAATAAAATTTAAATGAGATCTTATATTAAGGAGTAAAGATAGTATTACTCACAGTCTTAACATAAGAGCTAATTGACTAGCTTAAATAAATTAACAAACTTAGTTAAGTTAGTTATTTATAATAAATAGATATTATTTTTTTAAAAAAATTATTCTAACTAATCAAGTGTATTAATTAAAACTACTATTACTACACATGTCATCTTGAGAAAAAATTTAAATATGAACAGCTAAAATATTAATCTAACACTTAAAAAAAAGGAAGAGAAGAAAAGAGGATAGGAAGAAAAGATGAGAGATTTGAATCGTTTCCCTTCATGAGTCAAAAAAAGAACCACAGGTCTTATTTAGTACAAGGCATTGAAAAAAAGAATAAAAACTGGGATTGAGAGTAAAAAACTATATAAAAAATATTTAATATGAATAGTTGTTTGATAATTAGGATTAAACAAATCCATATATGTGAGGTTAGGAAGTACCATAGAGGAAAATGGTATTTTCTAATCCATCTAAATGAGATTGTATAATATCACGTCATAAAAAATTACTCATACTAACTATTTTTTTAATATATTTTTTATCTCAATCATATTTTTTATTTTTTATTTTTAATGTTTCATGACAAACGGCGTTATAGTATTCAATTGAGCCGAAACCCAAGACGCCAGTCCTAAACAGAAGGGCATCAGAGTGCTGGGACCATTAGGAAAGATCCATAGAGCCCGTATTCAGTAATGGGCTTGTACGATCCTGAGAGTCCAATTTGACTGTACAGGCCACCTCAACAATATTGTTGGATTGTAAATTCACTGGCTCTTTTTTGTTGAATTAATACAAGGCACGCACCCATTAGTGTTGGTCCAAGTGAAAAGAATTTAAACACCTTAAACATCATATCTTGAGTTTGACTTTTAAAACAGTGTGTGGAATAAATACTGTTGGCAGGGTTTCCTACTACGACGCTTGATACATGAGAGATTAGTCTCTCACTACTCCGGTAGGATGATACTTTGGGCAAAAAAAAAATACAAGGCACGCGCTTGCACGCCCGAGCGAAGCTCTCGATTGTTACAGTATAATTTTTTACACCGACTGCTAAGCTAAATTAAAAGTGAGATGCTCGTGTCTGTAAAGAGCAATAATATAACGCGACAACCCCGTTGATATCACGGCCACTCTCCCTGGTTTTGATTCGTGATGCTCGCTTCCTATCTCTTCCATCTGGCTTGATGATATTGCTGTCTTTCAAGTTTCAAGCACCCGCGCTATACAAAACAGCGCCTTCCCCCCCCCCCCCCCAAAAAAGAAAAAGCCTTTTTCCCTCATCACCTCCTGCCGCGCCCCCAATTAATTCATCAATATTGCTCTGCTCCACCATATTTTCGATAAAGGGTTAGTTATTTATTATTAGCTTCCATTTTTAATATAAAAGTTAATTAATTAATTTGAATAGATTTAAAAAAATTAGTTAAGTTAGTTATTTGTAAAAAATAGGTATTGTCTTTCCTAAAATATCATTGCTAATCGAGTGTATTAGTTATAATTATTATTATTACAATGATTATTTTAAAAAAATAGATAAATATGAAAAATAAAGTGAATTGAGATATTATATTTATGACTAAAATAAAAATCAAACAAGTTCTTATATTGAGAACTGGAACTAATATTAGTTATGCAAACCCTGCCATATATACTTGCTCCATGCCCTCAATGATGCCTCATGATCTGGTGAAATAATCCCACACCCCGCGGAGAGGCATCTGGAATTCCACTCTTCTGTTGAGGACCGGTCAAGTTATGAAGTCACCTGCATTGTATTTTATTATAATTAATGACTTAGATTAATTTGTTCGGCTGTTTCCAAGTAGTACACAACCTTGATTAACTGTGCTCAGCGCTTTTTACAAAAACATCGCACATGATATCTTTAGAAGTGCCAGGAGCTTTCCTTTTTGGAAACGATATGCAAGCATTATTCGATATTCATCACTTGTCTCTTTAATCATCTCATAAAGAAAACTGGAACGGAACTTTAGGCTGTGTCAGTGATTAGGAAATGGACTCGAAACTCGTCGAATAGCTTCTCCCGAATTCTCTAATACTTTTCACCTTCTGGCGCTTTCCTTTTTCTTTTTCTTTTTGGGGGGGGGGTGTCAGTGACAGAGCTCAAATACGTACATGGGGATATGTGTACAGGAACAGAGAAAGACGGCGATCTTTTTGGGGTGAAAAATGATTGGGGAGGAGATCAAGTCCGCCAGTTAAGCGTCAAAAACAAAACATTATTCAACGGCCCCGTTGTTCGACTTGAGATCGTACAGTATATGGGGTATCGGATAGAACAACTGACGGGATATTTGATTCAAAACAAAATCATAATTTTAAAAATATTTTTACAGCATACAAAATAAATATGCAGCGGAGTTTATCTCGATTTATCAAAAAATATTTCTAAAAAGTATTTATAGGATTAGGCAAAATACCTCCTAAAGCATATTATAGTATTGAATTTGGAAGTGATTTGTTGATTCATTCAGTCTCCGTGGATCAGATTGATTGGCAAGCTCGTGACGTTTACGTGCTCCCACTTGCTGCCCACGCAAGCATTCTAAATTTCTTAATTAATTATTAATGCTCAGTTAATTTTATGTACTGGGAAGGAGCAGCTAGCCGCCCAAGCACCGACATGTATTATTTTATTATTAAGCAGTTAAAATGCACAGCATGGTGGACAATTACGAGGATAAGGATTTGCTTAATTGAGGCCATCACTTGCGTTTTGCTAACTAAAAAGCTTCTCGAGACTACAATTTGGATAATTGAATAACCAAAACATGGGACTAGCTCCATAACATGTCTATACCTCAGTGTTTTGCGAATGCGTCATGAGCATCACTTCCGCATATCCCTTCCATTTGGGCTTATTTTAATAATTAATCATCGCCCATCTAATCAAAGGCGGCGGCTTTATTATATACATATAGAGAGAGGGACATATACTCACACTTGTATAAGTATCTCCAATTATATTGTTTCCAAGTTGAAGCCAACTCCATCAACACTTGTATAAAATATATAAATATTAAAAACAAAATAAATTAGAGTTTTATATTTAAAATTAAAATAAAAATCAAACGAGATCTTATATTGAGAACAAATATTTTTTTTTTTGTTTGAACTTTGAAGTGAGGAGGGGATGACCGGGTGGGGTTCAGCGACGCGCTTGAATCACAGCATTTGAAACTTTCCAAGCACTTACTGGGTCTGATCAGCACGCAATACGGATCGATATTGTGAAAACCCATTGAAATAAAATTTTAACAAAACAATAATAAATCGACAAGTTGGCTAGGTTCTTTGCATTTAAAAAGCCAAGCAGCGTCACTGATGTTGCTCTTTTAATCTACAGTCTAACTTCAAGCATAGGCTTTTAAGTTTTGAATGAACCGCTGACTACGGCACAAGTTTTTGCTCACATAACAAATAAATATTCAGGTAACTAGGAATATAGTAAGTTTTTCTAATCCCAATTTTTTAAATATTTTTATAACTAAAATGACGAAATTTAAATAATGAGGATTTTTCTTGATCACCAAGCTACGAAGACGTAAAGATACGTGGGCGGGGGTGGAGGGCAGCAAAGCAAGGAGGGATATCGGAGGAAAGAGAAGAGAAAATACAGGTAATGATGAGGTGGACGAATGAAAGAAGAAGAGGGACCCGAAGGGCTCGCCACGTCAGCGACTCAATCCCTTAAAGGGTGGCGACCAGGCAGCCATAGAAAACCACCGCATCTCAACCCTAATAAGCTATAGAGTCCTCTAACCCATCGTGCGAGGTCCGCCGACCTCCGCACAAGTCCCATCCCAAGGGGCTGTGCTCGGGGTCTTCCTCCTTCTCCACCACCCCCATGCCTCTATACAAGCAGAAATCCTGGTCCCCCGATGACCTCCGCGACGAGGCTTGGCTTCGACGCAAAGGCCACTGGAAGAACCGTCGCTCCAAGAGCGTCACCGATGAGGACGTTGACGAGCTCAAGGCTTGCATTGAATTAGGCTTCGGGTTCGATTCCTCTCCCGAGCTTGAACCGGACCAGCGTCTGTCCGATGCTCTCCCCGCTCTTGGCCTCTATTATGCCGTCAACAAGAGCTACGACTATCTTTTTTCCAAGTCCTCCGCCCCTACCACGCCGTCTGACTGCCATTCCACTCCCTCTCCCGTCGCTAGTCCCCCCTCTACCACGCCAATCTTCTCCCACGGTATTCCTAATTACTTCATTTCTCGACATTTTTTCTTCCTTTATGCTAGGACGGTGCTATGTAGGTTTAATCTGATTTGATTCTAATGATACTAATTCGTGTAAGGTTTTTCGGGTTAATGAAGGCGATAATCCCCAGACGGTGAAGACGAGGTTGAAACAGTGGGCTCAGGTCGTTGCTTGTGCGGTGCGTCAAAGTCCACGGGCATGATGGTGATGCCGGCCGATGCTCATGATGATAAGGAACCTCCCTGCATGTTTGATCATGATTTGCCACCCACACACCAGGGAAACTTTATATATTATGTTATATAAGTAAAAGAAAAGGTCAAATCACCTGCAGTAAACAAAATTGTGCTAGTTGGGTATTGATTAGTTAGTCGATGACACGGCGCTGCCCGCGGTGTTCACAAAACTTTCTTCCCTTAGAATGCGAGATCCGGGCAGATTAATATAATAGTGGTGTAATGCGTAATATAGTAACACTGGCGCGTACGAAGCAGATTTTTGTGACAGAAAATTCGGTGTGACAAAATGTCAAAAGATGTTGTGCTGCTTTTGAAATTCGCTGCCTTAGGTAATTTGAGGTAGTCAAAGCTGACATGGAGAATTTAATGGACGGAGGGAGCCCATCGATCTGACGAAGAATGCGTTGCAATTCACAAGGGGGCAGAATTGACGTCTTCCTTGAGAGGGAAGACTCTCGGGATTTTAAAGCTGTGAGTGGGTTGGAATTGGAATATCGTTGTGGTGGCAAATTATTCTGGCTGAGGCTGTCTCTTAGCTGGGGCGTTCATCTGTACGCGTGATTTAGGAACTTGCATGTACAGCGCTGGGGCATCCCACTGGACTTTACTTTGACCTGAGCTGGCTCTTTCATTTTTAACAAGGATGCAGGCCCAGACTACTGCCGTACTGCTAGGCGAGCAGGAATATTCTAGAAGGATCCTGGCTACTCGTAGCATAGACCCCAAGTCACCGGGTCCTCGGCCACTTATGCACTAATTACTTCCACAGCGCAGACCCTTCCATCGATTTTCTTAATGAGTTTTCTTTTCCCACAACATATAATTAAAACATATTTCTAAACATATTTTGAACTTTTTAAAATGACAAAAACTGTTCAGCACAGGCTCCAGCCCATTAGTTACCTTCGTCGACGAAGAAGGTTTTGGTGTCATCATGGCCCAGAGTCATTGGCTAAAGGTGTGTTTAGATGAAACTAAACCATGGTTTGGAGAATAGCTTCTGGAGAATAGATTCTGAAAAAAATAGATTTTGGAGAGAATAGATTTTGTGAAAAAGTGATTTTGAAAAGTGTGAGTGTTTGGATAGTTGTTATTAGAAGTACTTTTTATATATACAAATTGGCATAAATTAATATGATAATTATTGAAAAAATATATTTTATGATATATTTTAATTTGAAGGAATAAAATTGTTAATAATATTTTTTATTAACATATATTAATAATATATAAGATAATATAATTAATAAATAATTAATATGTATATATATTTATAAGATATAAGATTAAATATGTTTATAAAAAAACAACAAGATACATATCCTATAAGCTCTCACACTCTCCCTTTTTTCTCCAAAAGTAAAAAATTTCTGCTTTTCCCAAAACCATGGTTTTGATTTTTTTAAGGGTGTTTGGCTAACATTTTTCCCAAACCATGGTTTGAGTCCCAAAACCATGGTTTGGGGTGCTTGCCAAACACACCCTAAGAGAGATATAGTTGAGATTGAGCATTTTTTTCCCCGGGTAGGTAGCGATCACCTCCATTAGTTTCGACCTTACAATTCAAATTCATGCTTTCAAGTTTCAACGTCTCGCCAATGGGCCGTAGCCCGTATGGGTTGTACTGGGCCTTCACTGATGCCCCATACACGTGATAGTGAAATTGATCATTCAAGCGTACATTATGTTAACATTCAAACCAACAGGATAGATTTAGTAGAAAGGGCTAGTTACTTAGATCATGGCAAATTAAGTTTTGAATTTTTACTGAAAAAGATCTCCACATTTAGTGCATAATAATGATTCAAATATGATTGTCTCTCATAAAAAGGTACCTGTGCATAAAGGGGAAAAAAATTCAAAATTAAATGCTTTGATATATTAAAAAAAACAAAGACTCATGCGTACTAAATTAAAAGTTGAAAGAATCCACAAGCACCTCAAGCATGCTTCTCTCAAAAATTAATTGAAACGAGTGACATCGACATTAATCCTAAGCTAAAGAAAACAAAATGACTCATCTTAATACCAATTTCTAAAGTTGTACATGCATGACCCTGTGATTAAGCAAATTTAAACATTGCAGAGCTCAAGTAAATATATTTTCGGTGTGATTTTTTTTTTAATTGTCCACAAGGTTAGGTAATTGACTCTGCATTTGTGACGTTGAAATTGTTTTATTTGTGGCAAGTTCTCTGTTAAACAGATCAGCTTCTGTATTCTAGACTCATGGCTTAGGTCTAACCTATTGGTTTTATCTGAGCCATTCTTTTCGGGGTTTAGGTCTGAGTCTTTTGAAAATCTGGTCTAACCTGAAAGCCCATTGAAAAGAAATGGTTAGCTATATGTCACTATGCTTAAATTTTTTGGAAAAATTATAATCAAGTCGTAAGAAAAAAATTTAATTACTTTAAAGTCTCTTGATAATTAAAAAACATGCAATTATAAGTTATAGAATTCATGCGAGTCACTTGTTATTAAGATTTTTTTAGTGATTAAATTTCTTTCTTAGGATGATCCAATCTAATTTTTTTTTAACAGAACATCGCTATACTTAAATTACAACAGTAAAAAAACAAAAAATTATACATTAATACAAAAACTATTAGACTTTCAATTTAGTCCCAGACATAAGATAAAAATTCATTTTGTCTCTCATATTTAATCATTTTTTTCAAAGTAGTCGTCATAATAATTGTATATGTTAAACATTATATCAAAACAATAGCTAATACACATTATTAACAAAAGTATTCTAAAAAAAACATGTATTTATGACAAATAATTAATTTAATAAACTTTCATAATCTACTCAAATTAGTCAACTAACTCTTATATTAAATACCGGTATTATGCTTATGAATACTTCCCTAGTCCTATTTATAATGAAGAGAGGGAAGACATTTTTTTGTTACCATATATTTATTATTATATTAATTTTATTTACGTGAGGAATAATATATACTAATATAGATAAAGTTGAAAAGTTATTAAATTTTAAATTAAAATTAATAAGGTTTAATTTTTTTTAATATGTGTAAAATATATTAAAAATGATTTATAATTAAAATCAGAGTAGTACGCCGCACGCGCGAACAGTCAAGAATGGTGGGTTTAATGATGCTTGGGTTGTGTGTGAGACTGACTTGTTTAATTTTTGAGGTCAAACCCAAATCAAGCCGGGAAATAACCCATCCGAGTTGGCTTCGGCCAACTCCTTGCCGTGACGTTGAAGTGAAAATTGAAATGAGGCGTTGAAGCGTCCTGAAAGTTGCTGGGACAAAGTACGAGCGGGCGTATTATTCTGAAAACAGTACAAAAGAACGGGGGAAAATGGGTTGTTAAAAGCCAGTTACGGTGTGAACACTCAATTGACTTATGAGTTGGGCACCAGTTTTCCACAAGGAAAGCTTGTCGCTGTATTGATTTGTCTGTTAGTACGGTTTATTTGATGCTCTGCTTATGCCCATATTAATTAATTGGCATTGACTATGCCGATATTAATATGACTATATTCATAGTAGCGTCGCCTCCGTGGCCGTAGCCGTACCTGTAGACTGACCGTATATAATATCCACCTCACACACCCCCCCCTTTTTCGTCCCTGTGTTGTCGCCGTCTGTTATCTCTCCCTCCATTCTCAATAGCTCCAAAACACCCACTTGCCCATACAACTTCCTTGCTGTTTTTTGCCACGTGTTATATTTTGGAAAAATTACAATCAACAAAAGAGAAATAATTACTAAAAAGTTTCAATAACAATCTCAATAACCTATCATGACAAGTCCTATGATAAGAATAATAATTTTTAAGATTTATTTTTTAATTGTTTTTTTTGTTTGGAATCTCATTATAATTTTTTTTAAAATTTTTTGCCCGCGTGTCCCTATATATCGCAACTCATAATGGGGTGATCCTTATTGAGAGGACTGGAGGGGCACTGGTCCTGGGGATCAATAATTGATGATGCTCAGATGCTTCCAGAAATGAGCTGCTCAAATTATTGTGGCGCAGGGACGCTGGCCCCACCCCTTCCTGATTTTTCTATGCAACTCTCACATGGAGTGGACACATAATTTCTTTCAAGAGAATATATATAACTCCTGTCGAATCCATTCCTCCAACAATTATCTGTCAAGTACTTTTTTAAAACTATAATTTAAAAAATAATTTTACTATATACAAAATAAATTAATTTATGTAAAAGTGTTTTTTTTTTAATATTTCAAACACTCTTTTAGAATCAGAATCAGAGGCGCTTGATGCGCTAAACACGACTTTCCAGAGTCCCAGATACCTTCCTCGGACGCTGGCCTCGCTTAAGTGTATACTGCCCCATCTCACACCAAATGTAAACAAGCTTCACATTTTCAAGACAATAATATAGCATTTTGCACAGGTTCATGTCCTTAGATGGACTGAAGGAAAAATAATATAACATTATATACTACCTTACATTTTTAATATAAGAGTTAGTTAGTTAATTTAAATAGATCAAGAAAATTATTTAAATTACTTATTTATAATAAATATATGCTGTCCTATATAAAATATTTTTGCTTATCAACCGTATTAACTAAACATATATAGCTATTATAAGGATTGTCTTAAGAAAAAAAATATAAAAGATAGAGTGAATTAAAGTTTTATATTTAAGATTAAATTGAAAATAAAATTAGTTTTTATATTAAGAAAAAGAGGCAGTAAGTCCTTCAAACTCTCATCCTAGTTGTTAATTTGAGTTCAGGTAATCTTGTTCTTAACATGGAGAATAAGTAACTTGGTCAATTTTTTAAATATGCCTGGATTAATTAACTATATCTGATATTTAGAATCAGAAGAATGTATTAAGGAGAATTATTACTTAAGCGCTGGTTAAAAAAAAAGAATTATTACTTAAAACATTCGCTAGAAAATTGTTGACGCTGTTATTATGGATACAATGACTCCTTTGAAAATTGATAATCATGATTTCTCATCTTTATCTGGCAAGGGATGCTAGATTTAGGACCTGTTTAGATTTTAATCATAATTTACAAAATACTTTTTTGGTCCTTAATATATGACCTAATTATTAAATTGATTTTAGTCATAAATATAAGATATATTTTTTATATTTATCAATTTTCTCTAAATTATCCCTATACATACTCTCTCAATTATAATCAAGTAGAAGAGGGAGAGAGGGTATTAAAAAAGATGATTATGGTGTTTTAGGAAAAATGTGTCACTTTTCTTATAATTAACTAATTTACCTAATTTTTTTAATATAATCAAATCAGTTAAATGAGTTTTATATTAAGTCTATAAGATGTATAAATTTTTGGACATGATCCCGAGCAAACGCTTGACACTCGGGGCCGAAGACTTATGGCAGAGACGGAGACCTAAGGACTAAAGAGCGGAAGGAGGCACGTGGCAAGATATAAAATTTAAAAGTGTTAATTGGATCTTCTTTGGGACCTAGGCCCAAATGTATCAAATGGATGAACAGAGGCGTCAACCACATCTCCGGCGAGTGAGTGCGTTGGAGCGTGGAATTCCAACTGAAAACGATCCGGAGACAAACAAGAGATGTCCCTGTTGTTTTCTGGTTTTGAATCCGGCTCTTCCAGCCTTCCGTACTTTCAAAGCTCTCCAATTTCAACCAATAAGAGTTGGTCCAGTTGATAAGAAGTCGGCTCATAACCTACAAAGTCGTAAGTTCAAATCCTGCTGCCGATGTGAGGATCTTGTTCGTGAGTAATCTGTAAGTACCTCTATAAGCGCTCTCTGAATTTGAAAGCATGTCCTTGCCCTAGTGAGCCCCGGACCCAACTCAACTAAACTTTTTCATGGCAAAAAAAATCTCTATGATTTCGTATTTTTATCAACTTTTTATTTATTTATTTTTTCACTCGACTGTATCTAAAGATTATGGCTTATACGTACGGTTGAATCAGCTTTTGTCCAATTTTGATTTTACAGATCATGTTCTGTGAAGATTTCAATTTTAGGGGTGTCTGATCTAAGTTTGAAGCAATAGGAGTAAGCCTGTAAAAGAAGTTATGTCTCGAGTGAAGGTATTTTTTCTAAGTGTTTAATCTATTTTTGGCTTTGATTCGGCCTCACTTCATGGGATAGTTGGAGGGTCTAAGCTTAGGGTCAGAAAGGAAAGGCATAACGGAAGAAGATTAAGAGAGTAAGGAAGAGAGGGAGCGACCGATTAAATAAACTAATAATAATTAATAACAGAAGAAATGGGCAGCCAGGGATGGCGATGAACAGAAGCAATTGAGAAATGGCAAGTGTTAGGTGGGATGGAAGAAAAACCCACCTTACCCACTTCTTCAAGCTTCTTACTCTTCCCCCTCTCTCATCTTCCTTCCTAACAAAACGTTACTCCTGAATTATATACATAGAAGCTACTTAATAATCTTAAACATAAAATCTAAATTTATTTTATCTTTAAAACAAATTTATTAAGTATATAACCTAACGTTATCGATAAACACTTATTAAAATCGAAAGATTTATTTAATTTTATTAATATGCTCAAATTAACTAAATAGGTTTTGTATTAATAATCTAGATAATAACGGGGTCAAGTTTAACCCCAAACCCACGCGTCCACGCATATTAAAATATCTGCTATATGTCAAACATGATGAAAGCCCGGCCTCTGAAGAAAAGCCAAACAAATCAGCTCCCACTTTCCACGTAGAAACATAATAGAAGCTTCGTCCAGGAAAGCGTGTGACATTCTTTGAAAGTGTCTCGCATTCTTTTCATATCCCTTCCTTTGCTTTTGAAAATTAATCAAAAGATGGGGGGGCCACGCCAGTGGGGGGCTTATGTCTCCCCGGAAAATTGTAATAAACACCTAAATTTATAATAAATTAATTATTAAAAAGATGGTTAAATTTATCAGTCACGTAATTTAAATCTATGAGTCCAATGATAAATATTTAATGATTCATATAACACAAATTTACCACAATAAAATATTTAATACTAGTATTGTTGATCATTTAAACAACACAAATTCACTAATAGAACCACAAGGATCTCTAGAAATAATTCTTTAAAAACAAAAGGATTCGACATTAAATATCCATAGCATTTCTTCCGATTCTGAGGGCGAGGGTTGCGTACAAAGATTATTGCGCTTCTCCAAATTTCTAGAACCCACGTCACGCTCTCTTCCCAGAGTGGTGATACGGACATTCTGTATTAAAGGCACCGGGTGGCGCCCAAAACTAACATTCCGGGAGGGCAGGGTTTTTTCTGTTATGGAAGAGTCCAGTCATGAGACTTGTCGCCCAGTCTGAACAATCATGAATTCTGATCGTCACCCACTTCAATCTCGCTTCTTCTTTTCTGGTTTTTATTGCTGGGGCTGGGAGTTCTTGACCGCTCTCCTCCTTTTTAGTTGCTCGTCCCAAGCAGGCTTTCCCGAAGGGAGGAAGGGATACTAGCAGATCACAGATATACGGGATTTTTCTCCTTTTCTTTTGTTTTTGTTTTTGATTTGGTTGGCTAGTCTGGTTTGTTTTATTTCATCATCAAGTTAATTAAGAGTAGATAACCGAAGTGGGTGGAGTGAAGGGAGAGGAGATAGATCGGGAGAAATGGCTTCGCAAAGATCGGTGCCGGCGCCGTTTCTGACGAAGACGTACCAGTTGGTGGATGATCCGGCCACCGACGACGTCATATCGTGGGGTGAAAGTGGGAACACGTTCGTGGTGTGGAAGCATGCGGATTTTGCCAAGGATTTGCTTCCCAAGTATTTCAAGCACAACAACTTCTCTAGCTTCGTACGCCAGCTCAACACCTATGTACGTTCCCTTCCTCTTCTCACTTACATGATCTCTTCATATTTCCTCCCTTATTTACTCTTTCATTATCGCCTGTGTTAATTTCCTGGCTTGAAATCTCTTGCTCTGCCTTTTTGCCAGAGTTGATAAATTAAATTAAAGCTACCTCAACAAACATAGTTAAGTTCCGATCCATCAGAGATGAGAGATTAATTGTATCTTGATTTACGATAGAAACTGATAAGTCTGGGAATCAGGGATCACTTGGGTCATCTTAAGACAAAAAATACGACATTCACGTGCCTTCAAAACGCATGTCATGTTGGTTTCATGGGACAACTGAAAACTCAGTTTGTAAAATAAATAAATCAATAAATAGGGCTTTTCTCCTCCTGGCAGTTCCGGGCATCGAAATTCGGAAAAACAGACAAGTATTGCATATGCCGGTTAACCAAGAGGAGGAGAGCCGGAGGGCAAGAAACAATTATTCATACGTAGGGTTTGATGGCAAGCAACGTCATGGCAGTCTTATATGTTTGGTGGCCTATCAAAGCAGAATAGTTGTATCTTTCCAAACAAAAGCCTAAATGTGCGTTCCGCGGGAAAAATACTTAATATTATTGCCTCAACATTTCCCCTCATGAGTCATAACTCATAAATTCAACTTTCTTTAAAAGATATTTACGAAAACGTAAACAGAATAATGATTAATTTATATTTTTTGTTGTTTGTAGAATAAATAACGTCTTATAATTAAAAATAGAAAAAATAAATAATTCTTAGGATATTGTGAAATTCTGAAGTTTTTTTTTGGCCCATAATGATATAACGTGCCCAAATATTAAATATCTAGTAGGGTAGTACTTGATAGTATTTCTGTTTTTTTTTTGGCCTGAAGTATTTCTAGTTAAATGAATCTTCAACATTTGAAAAATAAATAAATAAATTATGGACCTTGCCAATGAAAGTCCATCGTTTTCGCTTAACGACAAAATAGGGAAAGTATGTATCAATTGTTGCCTTCTAGAAACGGGAAACCCGATTCATAAATTGATTACCCAGATCCTGACGATCGTCGTGTCGTACTGTCGTCTGTCTGCTCACTGTGTACTGAATATGGTGAACTGGCACATGCAGTAGGGCCGCATTGTTTAGATATTTACAGCTCAAGGTTCACACTCCGATGATGAAAATTTTCACTTACCGTTCATGATTGACTGCTAATTTTAAACTGGGGGTTCTTTCCAGGGATTCCGTAAGATTGTTCCTGACAAATGGGAATTCGCCAACGAATATTTTAAACGAGGACAGAAAGAGCTGTTGGCGGAGATCAAACGTCGGAAACCCGTGGTGCAATCCGCGGCGCAGGCGCCTGCGGCGTCGAACTCCGGCGGGGATGACATGGGATCGACCTCGACTTCTTCTCCAGATTCGAAGAATCTAGGAACGGTGGAGACGACGAGTTCTCAAATGGCGAATTTATCGGGGGAGAACGAGAAATTGAGAAAGGATAACGAGGTGCTGAGCTGGGAACTGGCGCAGGCGAAGAAGCGGTGCGAGGAGCTGATTAGTTTTCTGAAGGAGCACGTGAAGATGGGTCAGGATCAGATCCATCGGATCATGCGGCAAGGAAGCTGTGGGTCCAGCCGCAAACATGAAGGTGAAGATGACGACGAAAACGCGGTAGGTGAAAGGGAGGGATCTGGTGGGGAAAGCTTGAAGCTGTTTGGGGTTAGGTTGAGCACAAGCCATGGCAGCGTCGCCAACACCAAGAGAGGGCGCGAAGACCAAATAGGGTGTGGTGGCCCTCACTCTAATAAGCAGCTGAAAGCTGTTGACTTTGTTTCGCCCGTGATGATGAAGAGCAGCAAGGTCTGCAACTGAGTCACCTCTGCTCTCCTCATCAAATCAATACTCTTTCTGCAGATAAGATGACAGAATTAATCACCTATAGTTCAGTGGCGGGTGTCACCATGAAGGACAGTGTCACGTGCTCACCCTCATCCACTGGTGCCATTTTTTCCTTCCTAGTTTAATTTCGTGATGCTCTAAATTTCAATGTACTGCGATTAATATCCCCTCCCTAGATATGCAAAGGCATAAATAGAATAATATAGCAAGGATTTAGGAGGAATCTTTGCTCGCCATACACGCATGGTTGTTAGTTTGGTAGTGCGGTAGAAGGGGAGGTCAGAAAGGATCTCTCATTTCATGGCAGTACCCCTCTGTTCAAGATCTGGGTGTAAATAATAATGTAGTGTGAATTTAATATTGTGATGTTTGTAACTTGTTTACCCCTTTTGAGCAAATAAGTTGACAAGGAAACTCATGATTAACATATTTTAACCACGGCGAACGTTGAAAGGAACGACACTGCCTTCTCCCTCAATTGGGCATACCATCCTCAATGAGCAACAGGGGCGTGAGGCCGCTGCTACTTGCTGGCCAATCGCAACAATGTGACCCTCTTCATTTATCCCTGCTTCGAGACCAGAATGAAATGGGGATTATTCTTTCCCCCTTTTTGTACCGCGGTATTGGATGAAGGGTTGAGCTTTTGAAAGGACAATGATATTGTACGAGTCATGGAGCACAATTGACGCCAAAATTGACAAGCTCGAACTCAGGATGCTGGTTCTACATTATTCCACCATCCACATCTCCTCAATTTTCTTCTGTAATAACAATGCCCGAGGTTGTTTTGGGTCTTTGGAAATCAGCGAATTGCTAAAAAATTTGCATGGGGCCATATGCAGGGGAACAGTTTGGGTGGACATGGATTGTACTTTTTGGGCCGACAACCACCGGTAACCCTTCTCTACTTTTCGGTTTCCTTTTTTCGTTTACTTCTTTTGGGCCAACCAGGACAATGTTCGTTAAACAAAAGATTAATTTAACATTGGACAATGTGGTGAGTTCGAATCTCTGCCAACGTGAAGATTTTGTTGGGGGATAATTTGTAAAATGATATAAAGGCTAAAAAATTATCTGCAATTAAATGAAAAAAGGAGTTTAAAGAAATGCATCTGTTTGGGAGATAATTCCTCAGGTTCCATTCCATCTTAGGAAAATTCCTTCAGACTTCAGGGAACCTTCATGCCAGGGTAATAATCATCTGCGCAAATTGCATCAATCATCCGCATCTTGCATCCGAATCAGGCGTCAACTTAGTTATAGTAGCAAGCAAAATCACCGTTCAATAACGCAGTCATGGTCATTTGCACATAATGCTTCAGCATGAGACCAGCAAAGCATAGACCAATTGACTCGACTAAACCAGCAAGCAGCGTTGACAAAAGGGGGAGAAAAAAAAAAACCAGCAAGCAGCGACAAAAATCACTGTTGAATCATACACTGACCCCGGCAACAGTTTCAATTGAATTGGCAAGCCACAGTGAAGCCTCATTCAACAGAATGAAGCATCATTTTGAGTTTTTCATGGCCAATAATGACTGTTTTTTTTTTCCATTTAAAAAAAATAAAAAATGACGGGTTTGAACTTTGAAGAGAACGGACCGTACATTGGAACAGTCAGCAAAATGAAGCAACATTCCCTTTAACTGGGTCGCTGCTACGTGGGAGAACTTGGAGGAAGATGTCGAAAATCAGATCGGGAAAGGCCCCTGCATTTTGCAGCGGTTTCCGTGCGTGCGTCGGGACGCCTGTGTTGATGGTGGTTTCTGCGAGAAAAGTCAAAACACGGTCAAGCTGGGATTCCACTTTCCAGGGTTGAACTCGCTTGACCAAAAACGCAACGTTTATCACGCCAAGAAGGGACGGCTGCGATCGCTTCTCACCACGGACGGTCCAGACGAACTCAATCGGAAAGGAAATGAAAACTCACCCTTCTTTTTAGCTTTGTTGGACTTGAGGCCGTGGCTGAAGGCCCATCACGTCGCGCGATTCATCTAACGGCACACATCAGAAGAGTAGTGCAGCCTAACTGCTCTTTTAGAAAGCCGGCGCTCCGATCATCACTTTGTCTTTCTCGTGCTCTTTCTTCGAAGTCTGCGGCAGGGAAGTTTTCAGTCCAGGATGGTAAGTTTTCCTCCATCTCCTCCTCTGTCTCTCTGGGGAGTTGCCTCCTTTTCACTTTTGGCGACTTTCCACCCTGCGTAATGGAATCTTGGTTCAATCTGGGGTTTGTGCTGAAAATGATGATTCTACCCCTGGTAACTGCCTGCTCTTTATTTCCTAGATGATCTGATCTGTTCCTTCAGTGAAGATGACTGAAACCGAGAGGAACCTTGCATGTTCGGAATTATACGTACTACATCATCTCCCCCTTATAAAAAATAGTTAACTAATTTGATGACGAGACTAAAAAAATACGTTAAGTTAGTTATTTATAATAAATATGTGTTATTTTTTTAAAATATTCTTCTTAATCAAATGCATTGATTATAACTACTAATATTAAAGTTTCACAAATACGAGAGATAAAAGTGAAATGGGGTCTTATATTTAGGTTCAAATTAAAACTCAAATAAGCTCTTATATTAAGGATCGGAGGTAGTATTAACTATCAATTATTAATAATTCTAGAAGCATTTGCGAAGTGGAATGTTAAAACAAAATATAGCGGTTGAAGAGATTAAAAGAGGGGAATAAAATTACAGATCAAATGCAAGGTTTAACGATGTTCTTTATTCCACTGACCCTCTGCCATGCTGGGTAAACTAATTGACCATACATCAATTCTTGAAAATAAAATTAAAATAGTTGTGGGTTTAAAGTTGATGACATCTCCAACACCATATGGGAATGTTAACAAAGTATGAGGCATATGTGATTGAGGAAAGAGAATTAATTTTGATCAATCATTATGTATTTGCTAATTAAATGGAATCCTGTATCAGGGCCCGTTATATAGAGGGGAATCTACGAGAATTCATAAACCTAGAGGGCGCCATCATGGATTGAGCCAACAGAAGAAGCAGGAGATTAGGGAAGCATTTGAATTATTTGACACGGATTGTTCAGGTTTTGTATACTTAAGTATCAAAATTGAGTTTCATTTGAATTTCAAATAATTTTTATGACATTCCTTGTTGATTTTTAGGTACCATTGATGCCAAGGAGCTGAATGTTGCCATGAGGTATGACTGTTATTTCAAAACTCTTAGGCTTTGTCATCTCAACCAGCCTTGTAATATCCATAACAGACATCTTATTTTGACAGGGCCCTTGGTTTTGAGATGACAGAAGAGGTATAATCTACAATCCAGTACACTCACTGAACTCTGCGTGTGTATTTGTTTATTACGATGGGATGGTGCAACCGATGATTTACTCGTTGTGAGGCTGTGGCCAAGGGTAAAAACTCCTTGTAATGAGGAAAAGATACGTCTATAGTTTTTTGGCCTTGTAATGAGAAGAGACATCTATCTCCTTCTCGATCATTCCTGCCTATCTCACCCTGCCCTCTTTCAATCATTTGGCATTGTCTGCAGTTCTCCTTAATCAGAGTTGTCTCCCAAGTTTGTTGCTTTTGAATGCGATGAAATCTAATTTTATGATGTCAATGGATTTTTGTTGTTTTTGTTGTTTTTTGCCTGGATGATGTCAATGGTTTGAGTATATCTTCTTTAGTATTTTTGGATCTGGGATGTTATTTTGAAAGTTTTGTACGCATGTGTAAAAATTGGTCCACTGTGTTATTCCAGCAAATTAATCAAATGATAGCAGACGTGGATAAGGATGGCAGTGGGGCAATTGAATATGATGAGTTCGAGCACATGATGACAGCCAAAATTGGAGAAAGGGACACTATGGAAGAGCTAATGAAAGCTTTCCAGATTATTGATCAAGATGGAAATGTGAAGTTCTTCACTTTGTATACATGATCTCTATGCCTTTTCTTCTTCTTCTCCCCATTTTTCAGCCTCTCATTTAGTGTCCATGCAGGGAAAGATATCTGAAGCAGACATTCGGAGCATTGCAAAAGAGCTAGGTGAAAGTTTTACTGTCAGGGAAATTCAGGATATGATTGAGGCAGCAGACCTCGATCGTAAGTTTTCCATATCATAATAACATGGTTAAAATTTCAATTCATAGAAAGTCAATTATCCGCATCCAACTGCGCATTTGTTTTCATTGGTGAAGAAGACTTCGTTATGGTATTTATGTTATTTAATGTGTAGGCGATGCAGTTTTCTTATATTGGTGATGTTAATGTATCATCTCATTTCTCTTAAGTTGCTCGATGCGGTTAGATGGGTCATTCTCTTGGCATGGGTGTTAAATAGGTCTTGTTAACAAATGCCTCCTTGTGGCTCTGATTGTTTGCTGCACTGAAAATACATGTGTGATGTAATTTCATGGTTTTATTATATGTATGTGCTGGGTTCTGCTTTATTATTACTGATTTTTTTAAAGCAAAATGTTTGGGAAACACTCTAGTGACAAAGTATGGTGGAACTGTTAATAATATATTCAAGGGATATGGATAGCCAGTTTACTTGGGGCATTTTTTTTAATCCGGCAAAACTTAAACTTCTTGTTATTGAGAAAATTAGTCATTGGTTTCTCATTTGGGGACGGATGGAGTAGTTGAGGATGATATCGTCAATCATTGGTTTGAAATGCCTCGTGCAGAATTGGGGAAAAGGGGACTATGAGAATTCACATCTCTACCTCATGGCATTTATATTTACTCTGTTCTTTCATCTTCCTGATTATTAGAGGTCAGTGATATGCATTGAACAGTATGTGTGGATCTATTGAAATACGAGCAGTAGCTTATTGTTTTGATGACAACTGCAATTATAAAATAAGAAAAATGGTCTGCTAATTCTCTATGCCATGACTGAGATGTATGATGAGAAAAAGTTCATTATTGCTTTGATAATATCGTCACGCTACGATTGGGTAATTCTTCTGAAGATCCTTTTTTATTACTTCACAATTTAAAAAAAAAAAAAAATATTTCTGTTTCTCGATCAAGTATTGATTTGCTTCATAATTCTGATAATTGTTTAGTCCTGTGACATTTAGCAGCATGATTTTGACAAAAAGAATGAAACAATTTTTTGCAGTTTATGGGTTCTATATAAAGAAAAGGCTGCTACTCCCCACATAAAAAGGGGGAAAAAAATGCTTAAGCAACATAGCAGTCTAGTTTAAATAGCATATTGCGATGTTGGAGAGAAAAGGGGGCAGGTTGTATGAAGGGGCCGGTAAAATTACTGTTTGTGTTTTTTCGATGAGTTTTTATCATTTCTTTGTTTGTCTGTGACCTGGTACATTTTGGGCTAAAAATGTGCAGATGATGGGGAGGTGAATGCAGAGGAGTTCATCGGGATGATGAAGAGAACTAGCTATGGTTACTAGTAATATGAATATCCAAGCGGCCTGCGAGTAAAAGGAATAAAATTATATCGAACAGAAGCGGCAAAATGTTATGGGGACAATTGTGATCGTGTTTTGCCCGTAAATAGCGATAGCAATTTAATAAATAATAATAATAATAAAAGTTGGCTTGTGGGCAAATACTCAGTACTCTATCATTGTACAAGTTAGAAGTTTAGAACCTTGGGGCTTGCATGATCGGATGCAACTTGAGATTGAATTATTATTATTTTTTTAAGCCAAATGAATGTACTTGTATATAGAGTTAATTTACAATACTACCTCCGGTCCTTAATATAAGACCCCGTTTGACTTTTAGTTTGGTCCTAATTATAAGATCCCAATCCATTTTGTCTTTTATATTTATGCATTTTTTTCCAAGATAGTCCTTTTAATAATGATAGTTCTAGCTAATATACTTAATTAGTAAGGATATTTTAGGAATGACAACACTTATTTATTACAAATAACTAACTTAACTTACTTCCTTAATCTTCTCAAATAAGTCAATTGGGTCTTATAATTAGGACCAGAGGTAGTATAATGTTATACTGTATTTGTAAGGGTGACAAAGTTGCTAATACAAAAAAGGAGGGAAGGAGGGAGGGAGGAGTGGGATCAAGAAAAGGCAGGCACCGGCATAGGACTGCGGGGAACACATTGCAGATGGAAGAGAATGATGAGGGAGGGCATCGGTTAGATGGGCTCAGCCAGGCTTGCTCTCTCTCTCTGTTTTTTTTTTTTAATGGGCCAGGCGTGCTTTTTAGTTCTTACAATTACTCCTTTATAATCATCCTATTCGGAACTCGGAAGAGGGCTTAATCCTCACAGTCCAGGCCAGGAGAAACGTGTCTCCATCATATCCGCACACTAAATCAACGAATTCAGATGCTTCAGCAGTTAATGAGACGGTGCAGATCAGCTCAGTCTCTTTAATCATTTATCCAGCTCCCAGTGAATTTAGAGGTTGGACCGCGCCGCTAGGCTCGCCAACCAACGATGCATTTGTTTGTTTGTTTTTGTTTTTTTTTTAATGTTTTAAATTTGGTGCTTCTTTTATCAAAAACAAAAATTTGGTGCTTTTGATCAAATATCTCAAGGAAAAAATTTCATTATATAATTTTTATATTACATAAAAATGTTACAAAAACAGAATTCTCATTAACAAAGATGTAAATAGTTGTTAGCTCTTGCGTTATAGGCTTAGCCTGGCAAGCTGTATCCCCACCCCTGCAGTGAAAATAACTGAATATCGTACCCGAAACTTTGAGAAATTTGACGCAACCAGGAAATAAACCCCCTTCACAAACAAGTTTACCGCACCATATACAACAGCAACACTATAATTATCCAGTCTGCAAATGAAATTTTCCGACGCCCAGAAGCCCAGAAGCCTGAAGAACACAATCGCGCGATTTGCTTTGCATTCGTCGGCGGTGGGTTGAAAAATCAAAATAAAAAGCGAAGATATCTTGCCAGCATTTTCCACCATTGATGAAATCTCACGCTTCAAATATCGACAGGTGTTGCCACGCATTCCTTCGGAGGATTACCTCCTCGCATGGACTCCGGATCCATCCTATTTCTCAAGTGAATTATGTAATTGGTCGTGCGGCAGTCGTTTTGGGCACTGATCGCGCGATAAGGACGTTGCTTTGCCGGACCGTCTGCTTGAAGACGATGGCCATTGACGCAGGCGAAGCTTCGTTTTCACCTTCTCAGAATAGCCATTCCAGGTTCCATCGATTTTCCTCCTTTGCCCTCTCTTGTGCGTTTCTTCTATTGCTCTAGTCAGCTATTGCAATTATACGTTTCTCCTCCAGTTGTCCTGAAAACTAAAGCTTTCGTTTTCTTTCAGTCAGTCGCGCCATTTTTATCTCGCAGTGGACAGGCTACAGTTCAAAATGGTTTCTCTCCTTATATTCTCCCCTCTATTTTAATTCTTACAACCATTTAATTTTTTCCCATTCAATTGAAAACACTTCATATGAGATAATAGAATGATTGTTCAGGAAACTTTGATGGATCTGCTGGGTTTGGTGGGCCGGCGTCCATGCCTACCCATTGTAGTCTGTTGCAGTACTCGCGATGAGCTTGACTCTGTCTGCTCTGCCTTTTCCAGCCTCCCTTTTATGTCTTTGTCAGTCTTGGTAATTTTTTTCCCCCCCGGTTTGGTTGAGATTTTATTTTGGGGATTCATAATTAGAATATTCTCAGTCTATGCTTTGGTTGCTGGCGACAAATGTTAGCTTTTTCTTTATGCTGATGAAAAAACAAGAGTAGTTCATGTGGTTAGAATTGTAATCGCGGCTTCAGTCTCCCTTTTCTTCATGGCATGCAATCGGTACCTTCTTCTTACTGTTGTTCCTGGTTGTTGTATTGCTCTTGATAATACAGTGTAAAACGAGCGTTTTTGTGATTTTCTCATCTGTACGTTGGATGTCATTTCTGGTATCAGCTCAATGTAGTCACTTTCTTACCGGTCATATCTGCAGTGTAGTATTCAATTTCCTAGTTTACACAATCATGGACTAAATGGATTATTTTCGTTTTTGCGACGAGATTAGCCCTCCAGTAATGTTAAGAACTGAGAAGTCCTTTATTTGTAAAATGCATCTATAATTTGATGAAAAGTGAGTGCTTGGTTTAGAATTCAAGTTTATCTCGATTGATGTTTAGCTTTCTTCAGGTGATTATCATATATGCTTTATGAATATCATTTGTTTGCTGGGACTTGTGTTTTTCAATTGACCAATACTTTCCTTGGGGGGTGTTTGAGGTACCCATTCTGCATGCCTTGTTGGCTATTTGAGCTACACTCCTTGTTTACAGATGCTAGATTTTTGGATCGTTATTTTACTGAACGCTATCATGATTGCTAACCCATTGCTTTATAATCCTTTTCTTTTACTTGCGCATGTCAGTATAGTGACCTTGCTGAAGCAGAACGTGCTCTTATCTTAGAGAAATTTCGGCAAGTGACAGCAAGGTGGAGCCAGGTAAACCATGTGGGAACAGAAAATGAAGATGAGGATGGGAAAGATGAGCAAAGGTCTCATATGATAGTTGTAACAGATGCATGCCTTCCTCTCCTTGCTTCTGGGGAATCTCCAATATCTGGCCATCTTCTGATAAATTATGAACTGCCAGCAAAGAAGGTTTAGTCCTTTTTCTCGAGGCTTCTGTCTTGTTTCATTTTTGCTGCAGACTGTCTTTTAGCAAGTGAAAGAATGTGGTTTGTGTGCGTTGAAAGTCATGTCTATGAGTATTTGGTATTTACATCACACTGTCTTTTTCTCCAATCGATCCTGTGTTTATTTTCTCTTATAATTTTTGTGCTACCTGCAGGAAACATATGTGAGGCGCATGGCAACTTGTTTGGCAGCTGGTCCTTTCAAATTCCTTGTTCTTTAGTTTTTGTTAAGTGGCAGTTTGGATATATGTAGGTTACTAAAATTGCTCAAAAATGTGCAGATGGAGTTGTCATTAATATGGTCGTTGGTGGTGAAGTGGTCACTCTCAAGAGCATTGAAGAAAGCAGCGGCATTGTCATACAAGAGATGCCCATGCAGGTATGTTTGTGTAGGGAAGTCTTGGTTGACTAGCTTCAATTTATCTGGCCAAAAGTGCATTCCTACATGTGAGTAAATCTCTACCAAATTTGTTTCAAAGCGAGGAAGTTCGCCGTTTTAATTGTTATATTGGAGAAACCTGAGATTTGAAAACCATTTTAGAAGTAAATGTTTTCTTTATGTTTAGTCCTCTGTTTTCTTGTCTTTCAAGACTTTCATGATTTTCTAGTTGGCCTTATACGCAGAAATGTTAACATGTTGCAGATTCTTGATATTTTGTGAGCATTTGTCTTTGGCGTTGGGAGAAGACAGCTGAGGGTAATGATACATTGCACTCCTAGGAAAGGTTAAAAACCTTGAGGGCTTTTATTTCTTTGGAAGCTGTGTTGGTACATGAAGAATACGATCACTAACTTGTACAATCTTTTTCTACCATCTCACAATTGCCTTTAATGGTGGAGATCTGCATCTCCTTGTTGCCTAAAATTGATTCCTAGAAGAAAAGAAAACGTAATGGATCTTTGTTTTATATAGAGTATGAGGTGAGTCACGTTGTTTCCGACTTACATACTAATCCTCAGGATCAAATTAAAATTAATTTAGTAATGCAAACTAAAGTCATTCTTCTATTGGAGTCAAGATTGTTCAAGTCCTAAGCTAGCTAAATACAAAAATTACTATTTAAAAAGGGTTTTGTTGATTTTTCAAATTTAAAAACTACTTTGCAAAAGAAATCGGAAACTTCTCTAAATACTACTTTTTGCTTCTTTTTTTAAAAAACATAAAGTGAAAAAGGTAAATTGAATTTGAAAATTTAAGAAAGTTGACTAAAGAGATGACAATTTATAATGAATTCCTTTTTAGAGCTTTAAATCATGTTCTTCTTGCTTTAAAAGATCTACGGAATTTTAATTTCCAAATCAATCATTTAGTTTAGGCAGGTACTTAAATTTAGATTAATTAACCTGTAAAAGAGCTCTTTAACTAAGAATTTAAAACAGAATTAACAATCTTCATTACACACATTGAAAGAGATTAAAACAACTGTGCATAGTCAAAACCAGCAATCTTAATTACCGTGAGACTGACTAACAATTTAACTCAAAAGATTAAACACTAAATTAATTCAATTCAATGTCAAACAATGAAGTCAAGCATGAAACAATTAAACACAATTATTATTCTCAACATTCAAATTCGAAAACTACACCATAACCATAATGTGACAACTCCAGAATCACAATACAATTAAACCAATAACTAAGATTGCTCCACCGAGCTCCGTTGATTTTGCCTTCACTGCAGCGGAGGAAAGAGGTGGACTAAGTGACTCACGCAAGAAGAACGAAAGACGGAGGCGTCACGGCTTGAAGATGATGATTGATGGTGGGGGTGGGATGGAATTGCAATTCAAACGGAGGAAAGGATTGGGTCGCCGTCGATAGTAATGGTGACTATGGAAGGGATCGACGATGGTTCATGGAGTGAGGTAGAGATGTGACGATGGTGAATGGAAGAGGAGGTCAAGGTCGCGACCCTTCGCCTCCTCCTCCCATCTCTCGAAGAAGAGGAGACATTAAAAATCAGATGTGCCCTCAGCTTTCAAAATGGTGAGTTTGCTCTAGGTACTTCTTGGTATTTTCTCAAATTTGTAGCTCCTTTGCTGCCTTTTGCTTTTCAAATTTCAATCAATTAAAATAAATTATAAAAATATCATATTTTTGTCTTTTTTAGTTCTATTTTCATGCAACCATTTTTAATTCAAAATTTCAAATTAATCATAATAAATTAAATTAAGCCCAATTAAATTGATAAAAATTTCAAATAAGATATGAACAAATATGATAAAATGAGGATTTATCACAAACAATGAAACTTAATTACGTGGTTGTTTCCATGATAGCAACTTTTTTTCCTTCTAATTTTTCTTGGGGCCAATCTCTTGTGATGGCATCCTGATCCGAGCTCTTCTAGGTTGCCGGTTTGAGTCTTATTGTGGGATGCCGGATTTGGTTTTTTTTTTGGGGGGGGGGGGGACAAAACAGGGCATTTGAATACCCTGCATCTGGCACACTTCTGCAACGATGAAGTGTACTTTATTATATTCATAAAGTGTATATATATGAGCGATACAAAAAAATTGATGTTTTATTGAAAATCTAAACATTTTAAAACAAAACCGAAACTTCAACGAGCAATCATTTTGAGAAAGAAAAGAATTCTTTAGGATCAAAATCACTGGCAAAAAATATAGGACTTTTTTCGAATAGTATTTATAAGTAAATTTCATGTAAGTGAAGACAAAATTTTTCTTATATACTTATCTCGTATTTCGTAAATTATAATTAAAAAATTACTTGTAATTTATAATATCAATTTCAAGTTGATATATGTGCGACCTGAAGTAAAATAACTGTAGGCGAATGATTCGCCAAAACAATTGTTAACTCTAGTCTTTAGACCTGTTAATGAATAGTACTTCTTTTAAAGGGCAATAAAGACCCGTAAAGATCGGGTTGAGTTTTCTTCAAGTGAAATAGTCTTGCCTCGCATACGTTGACATAAAGTGGGTCCAGTTTATTTGTTTATGAAGGATTACAGAAAGCAGAAGAAAAACTTGACTTAACAAAGACCAAAGATGATGTATGTGCATGCGTGACTTTTGGCTCTTTGAATTGCAAACCGGAGTATTCCAAGATAGTGACAGAAATTTGGTTTATGGAGCAACTTGGCTGCATAGATGTTCTAGATTCGTGGTAATTTAACTACGGCATGAACACTTCATTCTGATAAGGTATTTCGAAAAGCCCATGAAGAGATTGGTTATGTCTTTGGCATGGGATAAAATGAAAGTGATGGCAAGTGATCGACGTGATGTGTCACAGTACTTATTCGACTTTGCAAGTGAGCGTGGTGGTGAATACACGGATTGCCCAAGTGGGAGCAGAACATCCTCCTCCGCGAGACGTGTTCCCACTTTCAGCGTCCATCTTTTTTCCTCCGCCTATCCCCACACTGAACCTGCTCCAATATACATATCCTTTCCATCTTTGATTCCTCAACGCGTAAGAATTATTGATGAAAAGTTTATTCTCAAATCCCAACTTTAATTTAATTCCATAGGATTGAGATAATAAGAACAACTACGTACGCAATCAGATTCCATCAAATCTCCACTAAAAAACTATCCCTAGGGGCGGCTGAGGGAATCCAAGAGCGTCTTATATATTATTGTCATCTCATCTGACTTATCCAAGTATCAGCCATCTTCAACTTCAACACACAAAAATCAAAGTTAGCGTATCCCTTGCATCAGATTAAAGAGGAGATGTCAAAAATGAGTTTCCTCAAGTTTCAACATGGTTTCTCATGGAAGTCCTCCTCTTCCCAGCGAAAAAGCACACCCACCATAAACAGCACCTTCAAGTCATCATCAACCCGACAGATTTCCAATTCTTCTTCGTCGGGATGGAGCGCGCAGCCAAAGTCAGAGGAGCTAAGATGGGTGTTTGCTAAATATGACACCAACAAGGACGGCAAAATAACGCTGGAAGAGTACAAGGCTGCCTTAAAGGCAACAAATAAGAGTATTCCAAACGAAGAGGCGGAGAAATCATTTCAAGTGATGGACTCTGATGGAGATGGTTTCATCGACTTCAAGGAGTTCTTGGAAATGTACAGTGGAGGAGGCAAAGTGAAGGAGAGTGAGCTGAGAAGTGCATTTCAGGTATTCGACTTGGATGGGGATGGGAAGATCAGTGCAGAGGAGCTGTGTCGAGTTCTGAAAAGGCTGGGAGAATCAAGCAGCATGAGCGCCTGCATCCAAATGGTGAAGGGTGTAGATGGAGATGGCGATGGCTATATAGATTTTGATGAGTTCACCAGAATGATGACCAGCGGCAAGAGGCTCATCTAACTCAACCAGTGTCCTGTATATATGCTCTGAGCACATCATCATCTTGTTAAATTTGCGTGTTCGTCCTTTTAGGACCTGTTTGGTTTGAAAGGAGGAGAGGGTAGGGAAGGGAGGGGGGAGGGGCAAGGAAGGAAAAGAAAAGTTTTATCCTCATCTTGTTTGGTTTGATTAAAAAGAAAAAGATGAAAGGATATTTAATGATTTCTTGTTTGGTTTAAAGAGAGGAGGGAAGATAAGATAATAATCAATTTATTATTTTATCCTTACATATTAGTTTATATTTTTTATTGATATATTACATAAATTAATTTACATCTTAATTTAAATTATATAATTTAATGAAAATCCAGTCTTATCATGTTAATATGTACATTAAAAAATTGGTATAGTAATTTTTTATTCTAATTAGTATAATAATATATTAAAAATAATCAAATTAACAAATTTTATATGCTCTGAAAAAAAAAATGAAATTTATTCTCTTTAGGCTATCCTTTTTTCAGCTTTAAAATTATTTAATAAATAATATATTTATAAAAAACAATTAATTTTATAATATTATAATTTTTATTTAAATAATTTTTATTTTTAAATAATTTTTTAATAATATATTTTTTAATTATAATAATCTCTTTTTTATTTTTCACTTAAGATAATATATTTTTTATTTGAAATAAATTATAATAATATATTTTATGGGTAGTGGTGGAATATTAAAAAACCATAAGAGTATAATGGTCTAAAAATTTAACTCCCTCAAAAAACCCCAATTTAAAAAGGAGCTAAAATAGGGGAAGGAAGAAGAAGAGAGGGAACATTTTGGCTTTCCTTTCCTTCAAAATTTTTAACCAAATAAGGAGAATGACTCATTTTTCCTCCGTTCTTTTACTGCCTTCCAACCAAACAAACCCTTAATTTTTGTCTGTTTGGAACTTGTTAAGTAGATCTTTTATAGTATTGTGGAGTTCCGACATGCACTATGTTAACTCAATGGATCAATGATTTTAAAACCGGACCGGATCGGACGGTTAGACCGGTCCGACCGGTGACCGGAGAACTTTTCGGTTCATCTTGCATGGTTTAGCCGTTCAGCTAGTTCAACCGTGTTGGGCCGCTTCAAGCCGGCTGTTAGGCCGGTAGCCGGAGTTCACCCAGAAGCCGGAGCGGTTTTTCAAAAACCAAACGGCCGACTTGTGTTGCCTATAATGTTGAAGAAAAATCGAAATCCATCCCCAGAAAGCCCCCTTAATCCCCAATCTGTGTCATTGTCTCTTGTTCATTGTTTAGTCTATCCTCCCTTCCTCTCGACATTCAACAGAAAGTGAGAAACTAAGAATTCAGAAGCTCCATTCTTCGGATTTTGACAGTCGCTCTCTCGCTCGACTATGAATGTGAAGACGCAGTACAGTATGCTGCCACTGAAATTCTGACCTTCCATTGCTTACCCATTCAGACAGAGTACGCCGTCGAAATTACTACCTCAAACTTCAAGCCTTGTCGTGCGACTCTTCCATTGTTCTCTGCTTTCAAATTACCAAGTCATGAGTTGCAGGCTTGGAAAGAAGGTGAATAGTGAAATCTGAATGTGAAGGATCAGTTATCGGCGATTTGGTAGAGAAAGGGAAAGTTAGTGATATTTTATATTTATTTTTTTGTTTGTCTTTTGTGGGATGTGTGAGCCGAGAGGGACCACCCATTACCTCTCTACTATTAATTTAAAAAGAAGATCAACGGTGGTTTGACGGTGAGGTGCCACTATAGTTTTTCTTTAGTTTCATATTTATTGTTAATATTTATATAATTATATAAGTATATAATATTATTTTTTATTTAATTATTACGTCACCGGTCCGACCATCGGTCTAACCGGTCTGACCGTATGAACCATGACCCGCTGATCTTTCCGGTTCTATGTCCGGTCCGGCTTTTAAAACATTGCAATGGATGTTAAACAGTAGGTGGAGAATAAACGAGATTTTTTGTTTGTCCAATTTCTATTCCTTAACGTTGATAATTGTTACGCCACCCGGTTGCGGGCTATAGGTGTTTATCCCCATGTGGAGAATATTCCGATCGCAGCAAGTGTAGCCTTCTAATTATAATAAAATAATTGATTTTTCCATCCTTTAATTTTCTTGTTATGCACAGACTGAGATAATTAGAAAATGGGACCTTAAACTTTGCAAAAATATTGTCCTCAAAATAACAAGTCTTAATCAAAAGTTAGGAGACTCAATTGAAAATGGTTTTTAATTATATTACTACCTCCGGTTCTATTTATAAGAGTTAGTTGACTAATTTAAGGAGATTAAGAAAAGAAGTTAAGTTAGTTATTTATAATAAATATGTGTTGTCTTTTCTAAAATATCCTTACTAATCAAGTGTATTGGTTCAAACTATTATTATTTTAAATACTGTTTTGGAAAAAAATACATAAATATGAAAGATAAAGTGGATTGGAGTCTTATATTTACGATCAAAATAAGAGTCAAATAATATCTTATATTCAGAACCAGAGATCGTACTATTCTTCTCGCATGCATGTACAAGAAGTCGTTTTCCAGCACTTGGTCATAGAATGGTAAAAAATAAAAAAGATTACCCCCTACTTTCCTTTTCTTAAGAGAATTTTTTTTAGGATTTTGTTGGTCATATTTATAAGAAATAACGACTTCTTATTTAATTTATAGCATTTATTAAAAATTTATCAAGTAGCATGCCTACTTAAAAAAGAGCATTTACTAATAAGATCAATTGTTAAAAGCAACCAACCAATAATTAAACGGGATATTTATGAAAAGAAACATGTAGTTCTTTTAAATATTATATTAATTCGGTTCTTAATATAAGAGTTAATTAATTAATTTGAGTAGATTAAAAAATTTTGTTAAGTTAGTTATTTGTAATAAATGTGTTATCTTACCTAAAATATATTTGCTAATTATATGTATTGACTATAACTATTATTTGATGGAGTCTTTAACGTGTGCAACCAATACAAGGATTATTTCAGAAAAAAAGATAAATATAAGAGATAAAATAGATTGGGATCTTATATTTAAAATCAAATTAAAAGTTAAAGTAACTGTTATATTAAGGATATGATTTAGTACTTATTAGTTACTAATCTAAATAATTTTATCTACCTTTTTATTCTTAAACATTAATTATACTCTTTTCGGTCCCATTTATAAGTTTCAAATTTGGGAATAGGTGTGGTGTATTTCATAAGTTTTAATTTGAGTTTGTCTTAACATTTAATGTATTTTTTACAATATTGCCATTAATCATATCTCTCTTATCACATTTCTTCATACATTCTCTTTCATCTTTTTTGTAAGAATATATTTGGAAACAAAAATTTATTTTTAACCTATTTGTTATCTTAAACTAATTTTAACTAATTATTTATTATCTATAAATTAATTATTTAAAATTTATAGTCATCGCCGGAGAGAGTATATGGCTCATAAAAGGCATTGAAACTCCCATGTGTGTTACCACAAAAGTTTCGCTATTATCTCGAAAACATGAGACTTGGTGAGATTTTACAGTGACGTGGAAGATAAGAGCTCAGACTTTTTTTTTTTTTTCCTTATTAATATAATTTTTGGTTTTTAAAATTTATTCTCGCGTTTTTTTTTTTCAGCTTGGAAGAAACTGAGTTTGATCTGCCTGGCGAAGACCAACTAGTTTTATGGAGGTTTGGCACTTGGTGCAACTTCTTTAAAAGAAAGAAGCAGCCTCCCTCCCCTCTGTCTTTCTTGTAAAGCGTTGCAGTGATTTCCTGTTGTCTAGTTCTAATTTCTTATCAATTTAGGATTTGTTTGGAATTATGATCTATAAACTGCCTATAAGAATAGTCGCGTAACTTGAGATAATACTCATCTTAAATATTTATTTTATATTTTATAAATTATAGTTAAATACTTATTTATAAGTCATTGTAAATAAGTACTATCTTGGTTCTATTTATAAAACAGAGAGAAAAGATTTTTTTTAATTTTATTTAAAAGCCACCTCATTAAAATTTTAGCATCAATGTATTGTTTTGTTTTTTATTTATTATAATATAGATTATTTTTTAGAGGTGTATATATTAAATAATAGTAAAGTTAAAAAGTTATTATATTTTAATTAAGAGGCAATGTAGTTTAAAATTTTTTTTACTCTATATGAAATACATTAAAAATGTCTTATAAATAAGATAAGAAAATTACCTAATTTTCTTCTTGATCTTGATAAATATGACTAATTATTCTTAGCATATTTGAGTTGGGGCCACATTCACAACGTGGGAGCGAGGGAGTGTTTGGTAACCCTCAAAAATACTTCTCAAAAATACTTTTTCGTAAAACGAGACAAACGCTTCTACATATTTATTTTATAAACTGTAAAACCACTTCTAAAACTATAATTTGGTTTCCATTCAAACACTCCCTGAGTCTGGAAACCAATAAAACCAAAAAGGCATCACTTGACGCTTGTTATGGTTGGCGCTTTATTTATTTTATTCCATCCCCTTCCCTTGCCCCCGCAAGCAAACAAGCATGCACTATACTCTCAACACTCCACAGTCAACTCAGCGTAGCTTTTGATGTGATCTGGAATTAATTAAAACTCCACTTGTTATTAAATATAATATCTGAATCATTAATTTACAAATATTATAAAAAAACCAATTAAGTTATTATTTTTATTAAATGCTTGTCAACTTTCTTAAAATATTTTCTCTAATTATCATGCCATTAATGGAAGTTTTCTTTTATATACAATAGGAGTTTCAGAATTAAAAAAAAAAAATTTAAGAGATAAAGTAAACTGAACTAATTACTTACGTTTCAAACCTGGGAAAATCAGGAAATAATAAAAAATGAGTTTTGACTAGAGAAAAAATTAAACGAGAAGCAATTTCATGATACCAGGATAATCCGCACGCGGATTCTGCGTGTTCCCAAATTTATTTTCATTGCTTTCAATATGTCGGTCGGGGAAACATGAGCCGAGGCTCCTGACCTGGTGCTTTAATTTAATACAAGAATTTCTGCTCCGCTATTTTTTTCTGAACAGCAACCAACTTCCATGATCACAGACAAGTAGCGCGTGTGTGGGGTTACTTATAGGAGTATTTATATTATTTTTTATAAATTATGATTAGGAAATTATTTATAAATTAAGAAAAAATAGTAAATAAAAACCCCTAATATGTAAAATTACGATTTGAAACTCAATTTGAAAATAACAAATAAAGTCCTGGTCTCATATTACAAATATGAAATTTTGGTAAAATGTCTGAAATGTCTCTTAACCAAGTGACAAATTAACTATGGAAAATAACAAATTTATTTTAGTGAATAACAAGTAGACCAAATTAAAATTTGACCAAGAAACATTACAAATATTTTATATTTATAATATGAAACTAGATCTTTATTTATTATTTTTTAAACTGAGAATCTCAAATCATAATTTTACATATTACTCCCTCCGTTCCTTATTATAAGAGACATTTGATGCTTATGGCATGTTCCCATATATAAGAGACATTTAAAAGTTGTCTCTAATTTTTGTATTGATTTTCTATTTTACCTTATTTATTTTGTCTCCTACTCATACTCCCTCTCCCTCCCACTTCTCTTTCTTTTAATAATTAATTGTTCTCTCTCATACTTCTCTCCTTATTAATAGGGGTATTGTTGGAAAAAACATTATACTTTTTACACATTAATTGTCCTCAACTAATTTTAACTGTTTTTTTTATCAACGTAATTTAGTTATTTGTCTCTTATAATAAGAAGAGAGGGAGTATCGGTTTTTCTTTACCCTTCTCCCTATAAATTATTTCATACAATTCAATTGGTTTCATCAACCATTTCTTTTCTCTCGGATACCGTGACTAAACAGGCGAAGTCGAAGCCCCCCAAGTTGAACTTTTATCTTTCCTGGCCTTAAATGTAACTACGAGTCCCAATGAAGCTCTCTCTCTCTCTCTTCCCTCTCAGCAGCAGCATCGGCCAAATTAGAGAATCAACCAGTTCGTTCGTACTTTCCTTTGATCTGACATTGGCAAAAGGGCTGAGCTAACCTATGAGGAAAACAGAGGCAAAATGGGAATTAACTAAGCCTAAATTAGTCGTCACACGGCCACTAAAATCGAAGTTGATGCTAACAAGATGGGAGACCAAAACGTCCGCCCAATCCCAATCAACCTTGTACTCTTCAAGAATTTACTCACTGTGTTTGACTGGTCCATGTTCAAAAGGGCTTTCCTTTGTGGGGCTCATCAGCCCCTCCGCGTGTATTAACCCCATTCTTCTGCGCCTCTTGAAACAGCTTCGCCACGTGATGGACGCCTCTGTCCTTTGGCTGCGAATTCAAATTTCTTTTTGTAAAGTACCCTCTGATCCCTCTAGTCCTTTCCTGCGTGCATGTTATCACCAACAAGTACCTCCTCTTCTAAACCCTGCGAACCCCCTTCACTCACGCTCCGCCCCAGAGCCATTAATCTGTATTTGCGAATAACATTAAGTCGATAGCTAACAATATTGAAGCTGCTGGACTCTGCTCGTGTTTGTTTAATTTTTTGTCTCATTGCCTGTGTTTTGACCAGACAAGAGTTGGGTACAAGTCTAGTTTAATTTGTGTCTCCCAGGAAATTTACGCGGATGCGTTGCAAACATATGTGCGATGGTGAAGGGCAGAGCTGTTTAATGTAGAGAAGGATGTGGAGGAATCTGCGGGATGCCACGTGATTCCTTCACGGACCCATTATCGAGGCGCGAGTGCACGAGTGGCTGGGAACAAGGAACTAGGAAACAGCTGATTCAAAAGCTTCATTAGAGCCGGTAAATGTGAGCACCCCATTTTCGATATAGACAGCATTGAAGCCTTGAACCGAACTTAAAACCCCATTAATGGCTCCAACTAGCAAATTTATTGATCCATCTTCTCGACTTGCGAGCTTAGGTGCCCTGTTTAGGAGTTTCTGTCCATTGGAAATCCCTTTGTCCTGAAATTTCTCATTTTGGGCAACTTGTCAAGAGCTCTTAATGAAACGGGTCACGTGGCCACTTTGATCCGTCAGCATCGCCAGCTCATTCCCCTGCCCAGTTCACTTCGGAGTCAAAAGAATGGTCAATGAGGCGTGCTAGCTAGCTTCCACACCATCCCTCTCTGTAACTCTGCCACTGTGCCTCTGTCTCACTGTGGTTTGAGTCTTCTTTAACGTTCAAACTTTGTTCAATCTTTTATAGCATTTTAACGCTTTCGCTCACAAACCCAACACCTCATCCCTTTAGTTGTCACTGCTGTTGCTTTCTGTACCTCGAATGGTAAGCTTGACTAATTTTCCAACGAACTGTCATGAAGAGGATTAAGGATGGACTTGTGATAGTGAAATTTCCATTGACCACCACCAACTCTACCATGAAACCTCAGATGATGGGTTATCTGCTTTGTTTTACAGATACCAAAAAGCAAACCCTATATAATAGTATACGTTGTGTTATTATGCATTGGGTTTTGAGATGACCTAGTTCTTAGAATCTTCCCAGAACTTCAATTTACAAGTTAAAAACATTAAAAAAAAAAAAGAAGACAAAAAACAAAGGATTGGCCCAAAAAGACGAGTTTTACAATTAATGCCCTCCAGGTAAAAGATAAAGAACCCAAAAAAACAAAAATCACCAGGTTCATGGCATGGGTTCACTCGCTTACAACCAAAGGAGAACGGAGGAACTGACAGACAGTATATTTTTGAAGATTGGTCGTCATTGAATGCCAAATTAACAATTATAACGAGTAATGACAAAACATCGTGTCATCATGCCCCTTCACGAAATTGACATTTTAATTTTAGAAGTTTGAAAAAGAAGAAAAAAACACGATCGTCCTGGATCCCTTCTTAGATATAAATAATGGCCTCTATCTACTGGGGCGGGGAGGGGGTCCCGACTAGAATTTATTGGACCTTTCTTTGTCTGCTTTCTTTGAATTTCAATATGCTGTTTTGAAGTCTCATGGCATGCTTAGACATGTATAACAACTCAGAGCACAGCGGTCATCCCTGCACTCCAATGAGCCCCAGAATCTCCTTCTCGAGCGATTTTGTTGATGTTCAGCAAGCTATCAAGCAGGAAAGGCTTTCCAGAGACGCTCCAGCTTCCCCAGACTTCGAGTTTTCTGTCACAAACTATTCAATGATGAGCGCCGACGAGCTTTTCTATAAAGGCAGGTTGTTGCCCTTCAAGGATGAACGCAGCAACCAGATGCAGAGGACCACCACAACTCTCAGGGAGGAGCTCCTTCATGATGATGAATACGAAGATTTCTCGCAAAGGCCACCCAAGGGATCATCCTCAAGAAGGAAGGGGTTTATGGGTCTTAGAAAAAGTCATTTTGGCTCCAAGAAAGCTGATAAAAGTGAAGGTTCTTCGGACGCAATGGTTGGGGGAAGAAGGTCTAGATTAGTGAATGAATCTGCTCGAGTTAATGTGACTTCCCAGGTGACGGAGTCTCTATGTTTTGGTTTTGATTTTTTTCCCTTCCTTGAAGTCAAGAGATTACTGGATGTTTTCTTAGTTTTAACGTGAATCTTGTTTGCCTTTTGTGTTATTACAGGATTCGTTGAATGATGGAAGCTCAGGCTCCTAACATGATAGAAGCATGGTTGGAAGCGTTGAATTCTTTGAGGAAATTCCTTCGGTTTCAGGGAAGGATTGACAGGGTGGGAAAATGAAGGTCATTTCTTTATTTTGTTCTGTGTTTTCCCTGGGTTGAGATGGTTCGACTGATGATTTGTGCTAGGATTTTGCTTTCACCTTCGATTCATCTTTGCTGAATTCGTCCTAGGAGTTAGATTTGGGCTGTTTATTGTACAAATTATTTTGCAGTTGAAGGAACTTCATTTTGGGTTAGCATAAAGAGAGTTTTCTTCTGAATGCTTTTATAGTATCAGTTTGGGCAAAAGAAATGTAATTTTAATAGTATTACTTGCAAAATAAAATGCGAGGAGGGAGAAGGAATGGACGCTTGATGGAGGCTGTGTAAGGGCGAAAACGTTGGCGCCGTTAGGTTACTGATTCTCTCTCGCTGAAGGAAGCTTTATTTTAAAATTTAAAAATATAGTAACAGTAATTGCTCGTTAGTTGGTAAGTCAATGGTCCAACTTGGAATCTACTTCTATTTCCTTTTAGGAAAATCTGAAGAAAATAAATCTTCCTTCTCACAGTTTTAAGTATATGTTCCACAATTTGCAGAAGATGTCTTCAATCTTGATGCAGACATTAAAAAAAAAAACAAACAAACAAACGCTTCTCTTATTTTCAGCGTCATATACTTGACAAGTTGGTTATAAGTCTGCAAATAAGTAGACAACTCTCGAATACAAATATCAAGTGTTCTTCATAAAGATTTCTCGGAGAGCTATGGGAATAAGGATTGGGGAAGACGATGGAATCTTTGACATCAAAGTCCCGGCAATTTTAAGAAATGAAGTCGGGGGGTGTTAATGCTTACGAACCCCCAAAAAGAAACCAAGTACATATGATACGTTATATTTCTACACAACACATAACAAAGATTAACATAGTCTTGTTTAGCAAGTAGCAGTGACCTCATTGGTGAAACTTGTGATGGAAGCGTTCGTCTTTGTACTTCAAACTCTCAATATAAGCACCAAAACCATCACAAGCTTCTTTCAATTCTTCAAGCTTTGTTTCAATATTCATTATTTCGTTATCTGCTCGACTGAATTCAGTTGCGGACGCCGAATACCTTGAAGCCTCGGAGGTATCTTGTGCTTCATATGCCAAGTTGACAAGCCTGCATAACCGGTGTCTTAAAAATTCCACATTCATCCCCAGATACTCAAAGGCTAGCAACTCTTTGTCCCATTTAGCAAATTCAGCGGGTGGAATATGCAGTGAACTAGATCTCAAGGCATCAGCAATGTTGACAACTTCAGATATAATGCCGACAATGAGGTTATAATTGATGCCCTTTATGAGATTCTCGTGCAGAAAGGCCTGCTGGCTATGGCAGAGTTTGTAATACTTATTTCGAAACTCCTGGGGGAGCTCAGAATCGATGGGAATCCCATCAATTATGATACTGAAATTTTCAAAGCTTTTTACATCCTTGAATTTAAGTTCCGTTCCAAGGCTCTCCAGTCCTTCTGAACCAGCTTCATCACTTTCATATTCACATTGTTCAGCACACTGCCGAACCTTGGGGGAAATTCTCGACACACTTGTCTTGTTTTTCTTTTGGACAACTGGAGGTGGCGAGTCAGATTTTTCTTGTTTCCTCTTAGGGCTATTACTCAGTTGAGCATCCTTGTTTGCATTGTCTTCATATTAGAATATCCACAAGCAAGAACGGAGAATTGTTAGGATACTACCAAGAAAGCAAACATTTTTGTTTATAATTATCACAGGTCTAGGAGCATAGATCTAAGGCTTGCCTTTTGCTTTTTGCTTGGTATAATCATCGAGATTCGGAAGGGAAACCGCCCCATCCAGTTCGCCTAAGCCATTTGCTCTCACTATATATACCTGAAAAACAGGCGTAAAGAAAAGTGGAACTAGTATCAGGAAAGAAGAGCATAGAGACTAGAGATAAATCATGACTCCTTTCTCTCAGCATTGTTTTTTGTATCGAAGAGAAAGAGATAACAGAACATCTAAGACTTGAGAGCAGGAAATAGGCAGCAATGAATTTCCAACCACATATATCGCAGCAACTTAGAGGCACGAAGATTGACCGTATTAAGATTCAGAGCAATTCCACCAGAGGATGTTTGCCTTATCAAACCAGATATGCTAGCGAATTCAGCGAGAGAATCATCTAATTCGATAGTAGTCAATACCAGGCCAGCCATTGTATAAACCGCCTAGAGTTTTCTCTCAGACAAATCGAGTTTCTCTCACGGATAACCTAAACCTGCTACTTGCTTATAATATTCCTATAGAAAGGGAAGAAATTAAAGAAGATTGGACCTATCCCTGAACGATGACCGTAAAAGAAAGAGAGAAAGGCCAAAACCTCCACAGCATTCCACCATATTTGATGGTAACTCATTTCACTGAATTTCCCCCGTCATATGTCTGCAACTGTGCTTTGTCTTTCTTCACTCTGCATTAAACATTTAGGACCCATGGGAACTACTAAGGGACACTGACCTCCCGCATTCAGTTGTTATTAGCATCTCATATTGGAGAGAGGTGGTTAATATCAATACTTACACAATAACAGGTCCGTGACTGACACAGAGAACTTACAACGGAATAAGTGGTCACACATGCCATCCTTCTTGCTTTACAATCTAGTCGTCATATTGCCATTGAAATACAAAACCCATAAACTCACAGTATAAGCACTAAAAGAACCCCCCCCCCCGGCGCCGGGGGGGGGGGGAGAATCCAAAGAACGTACCTTAAATTTAGAAGGCTCAACTAACTGGAAAACCAAAACATCTCCCTCCTGCAATTTGTGGACTGCAGAAAACTGCCTCCAACCAGAGCCTAAACCTGTCTTGCAAGCAATGTATTTCAACTGGTATTCTTTATCAGATTCATCTTCCAAAGTAATGGTAGTGTCACTATCCGGTAAGTGTTTTTTACAGAAAAACGCAGGGAGCCCCTGGGAGGTACAGAAGAACTTGCTATATGAATACAATGCAAAGGGGGTTTCCAACACGAGGGCAATTTTTACTTGAGTCTCTTGGAATTCTTACCATCCAAAAACAACCAGCAACATGTGATCTGACCAATGACTTCACAAAGCTAGGGACCCTCGGATCTAAGTTTGATTGGATCATCTCCGCTCGAAACACAGCAGACGACCTGGCCTCTCCTGCTGATAATGTCCTGTCTGTTGCCACCTTAGTGGAGCTTCAAGCAAGGATATGTATCAATGTTCAATGAGTAACTGTGGAAACTGGAAGATGAACAGAATAAATTGCACATCATACTAGGTGATCCACCAACCTTGCAAGCTTTTGTGCCTGATCGGATAAGCCCTGCCCCAGCATTTGTTAGACTCTTCAGTAAATTAGACTATAATTCAAATGGATGATGCCATATAATTTAGACCCCCCCTCCCCACCCCACCCCACCCCACCCCACCCCACCCCAAAAAAAAAAAAACAAACACACACACACACACAAAAGAAATGGAGAAGCCATTTAATTGACATTCTTAACTTCTCAAAGTACTCGGTGTTGCTAACTTACAATTTAAAAAAAAAAAAAAAAGCCCCATCTTATTGTTAATTAAAAAAAAGTTGAAAACACACCAAATTGAATAAGCTCTAGTTAGAGTGAATATTTCGGGATGCTCAGTTGCGCACATATAATGGTTTTTTTGGCCCCCTTGACGCGGATCATACAGTATCATAATATGGGTTCATTCTTCAAATGTTGGCTCATATAATGCAAATAACTTGTTATGAATGTTATATTTGATACTCCTTTGTTTCTTAATGTAGAATTTAATTGTTGAGTAGATTTTGGTTCTAAATATAAAACCAATTTATTATATTTATTATTTTTAAATTACTCCTATTGATACTCTCTCTATCATAATCAAATAAGAGAGGGATGAATGATATTAAAAAAGATGATTTTAAGAAAAACATGTCATATTTCTTATAATTAACTAACATACCTTACTTTTTTAATCTAATCAAGTTAGTTAGTTAAATCTTACATCAAGATCATGGGGAGTATTTATTTTGTTCGTCATTAAAGCAAACATGTATGCCTCCATCCTCCTAGCCGTTGACAATAAAAACTTAACATGGTTATGCAAGATGACGTTCCTAAGAGACTAATTATGCTTCGAGCCATAAGCCGAAAAGGAAGACTGAAAAGGGATTAAAAAAATGGGAAACTCACTTGATTAGGTATAGAAACCAAATGTTTTTTCTGAAGCCTGTGTTGATTCTGCACCATCTTGTTCCGTTTGTGCTGCAAACAATGCAGCGTAAGGATCAAGTAATCAAATATTAAATTGGAAATAAAACCAAACCTAAAGAAAAGCCTTTTTCATGTGTTAGCTTCATCTAGACATTCCCTTGGTTGTGAATTTACGAGAAGTATGGGAAGACAAAAGAATTACAAAGTTAACCCCATTGATAATTAAAGTACTACAACGAATAATGCCTCCCAAATCCTAAGATCTCTACCGGGTAAAATAAAATACTCATAAAGGCGATCGTTGAAGAGGGAGACGCATTTTAATTAACTACTATGGGGAGAAATAAAGAGAGGAGAGAAAACCGTGGTTGAAGGAGGGACTCGTTTGGGAGACTTTGACCAATTGGCCAGGGTCAAGTCATCATCGTCATCCGTATTTTTACCGTGCCTCGGAGGAGTAACGGCTTTTCCGGCAGCCGTAGAAGCACGAGGGTGGTCGGCTACCTCCTTCTTAACGGACCGATCCTCTAACGCTCGGCTACTTCCATGACCCACCACCATCTCAACACAATACAAACAGGAATTGCCGCCTGCCAGCAACAGATTATTGGCCTTCCATGGCCATCACCAAATCCCAATTACAGTTACAGACGTTGCCGGCCAGAGAGGAGGCCAAGAAGGGCCTCCAATTTTTAATCATGCCAACTTCCTTACATTTTTTCGCTAACAAGCAAAACAATATCATATGTATGTAACCTTTATAACTTAACGACGTCGAGGTAATATTTTATAATAATACATTTTATTATTGGGGAAAATGTTATCATATTTTTATTAAATGATTCATAGCTAAATTTAATCCTTGGATCACATCGAGCTAAATTAGCGTTTTCCTGCTTTTTTGAATCATTTGAGAATAGGAATATATAGTAGTCTTCCGGTCCTTAATATAGGACTTATTTAACTAATGTGATTAGATTAAGGAAGTTAAGTAAAATAGTTAATTATAAGAAAAGTGATACATTTTTCCTAAAACACTATAATCATCTTTCTTAATACCTATCTCTCTTTTCTATTTGATTATGGTTGAGGGAGTATCCATAGGGATAATTTAGAGAACATTGATAAATATGAGAAATGAGTCTTATATTTAGGACCAAAACTAACTCAAGAATTAGGTCCTATATTAAAAACCGGAGGAGTAGTATAGGTAGGCATTGTGTGGGAAAAGCTAGGTAGCTAACTTGCAATAATAAAAGAAAAGATTGTTGAGGCAAGTAAAACGGGGTATGAGAAAAGACAAAGGAATGGTGTTGGTTGCAGTTACTACAACAGAGAACAATAATACTTGGGCTGGAAGGAGAGAGCCAGGCCTAAGTGGACGATTAAATTTAAGTAAGTTAATTATCTCTTCAATTAGATAGTGAGAAAAACAATTTAGTTCACATATATAACTTGACTGCATCATAAAAAGCTCATATTTTTAGTTAAAAATGAAAGCGGCCTGCACTTGGACCTTGAATTGCCATGAGCAGCGTACTAGAATGAAACATGAGACTCCAATTAACGAATGCGCACCATAAAAGGGAATTTACGTGATTCCAGGAATACATATTAATGATGGTTTGAGAATGCAACTAATTGACATCATAAACTACCTCGTCGCAATCTTGTGATCCTGTCCAGCTCTCGTGCATTAAAGATCAGATCTTTTCGTGTAATCTTGGTTCCACTTGCTCACTTCTTTAATTATTGTTATATTGAAACTACGAGAGGAACAAGAAGGATGAAGTTGAGTGGGCGAAACAAAAATACAGAAGGGAATGGACAGATTCCAGATGACAGGGTAAGAATAAAAAAGGAATGGAATAATTCTATCGCGTTGCCTTGCTGCCAATTACTGATATTCGACCAGTCTTTTCGTCCGTACAAGTGCAAAAATCATCACTTTTTTGTATTACAAACTAGTTTGATTGATTATTAAGAGGAGGGATGTGCCAGAAAATCCTGATAAAATAGATTTTAAGCACTCGCCGGTTGTCACCAACATATCAATATCGCAAATCCAATTCGTGCTAAGAATAACGACAGGGACTTGGGATTTTTTGGCAGTCTAGGTGAACGGAGGAGCTGGCCGTTGTCTCGTTATGACGTTGGAATTTCTTGCACGCCTTATTCTCCAGGCATTCCTTAATTTTCTAAGATCCGAAGACTTGAATATTTCAACAACTTATATACGGACATTCAAGAAATCCCATTCACATACAGCTAGCTTTAGAGTAAACAAATTGGATATGTGGTTGCAGAAGTTATAGTTAGTTGCTAGTTATCTCCTTTTCTCACATGCTATTGCTTAACGAAAGCGATGAATGAAGCAGCCTGGGGGGTTGCGCTGGATATAAAAAATTTAAACACTTAACAATCACATGAATCATCGTGACCAACATCCCTGTCTTGACCAAGTCAAATGATGATGGTTGGTGCTGCTTGTCAATCTTGGCCGTCCACGTTTCATGCCCTCAAATTACAGAAACAACTCAATTTTCCCACGACCCAGGGTATCAATTAAGACACAATTTTTCAGTGTGACAGCATATGAGGAGCGGAAAATCACGTGATAAATTTTGTCTTCCAGAATGCTTAAGTGGCCGTATCATTAAAGAAACACTGCCACCCTACATAAATATTCTTGTTTGTGATTAGCCACATATAGTGTCACTTATAAATTCAAAAGAACTGAAAGCAATGATACTCGATTTTTCACCCGCAAATTCTGGAATAGGTATGCTTTTATTTGTCATCGGAGTAGAGCATTGATGGAAAAGGGGAACTGAAACTTGTCAAATTAATGATCTGATTCCATAAAAATTTATGAGAATATGGAACTTTAAGTATAATATTAAGCTGACAGTGCTCATGCCAGTGGAATTTATATGTATGTATGTATGTCTATATTGTGTGTATGGCCTTGCCCCCGCAATGGTGTCACCCCAAGACGTTTCAAGTACCTAATAAGGCAAGCAGTTGCCCGTTGGATTGTAGTGCCACAACTGCCGTTAAGACCGTTGTTTTGTTTTTTTTTTTCCCCATTTCCTCTTTTTTCCTCTTTTGGGGAATTGGGGTTGTGGGATAGTAGGGGTCGGAGTTACGGGACTGGTCAATGACAACACAGCCCTCTATTTTTTATTCCTTCTTCGCGCTCTCTCTCCTCCCCTTCTCTCTCCTTCGCCTGTGACATTGTTACTTTTTGGCCCCAAATATCTTTATGATTGATTTTGGCTGAGTTTCCGTTTTCCTTCTCTTCTTTTGTTACCTTCTTGCAGCGCACGCCTCCTCCCCGGTCTTCAAAACTCTTATTTTTAGTAATTTTCCTTTTCTTTCCTCTACTCTTTGAAGTTTGAACCCAATTTATTTTGTAGAACTGTACTCGAAACTTCATTCAAATTCCAGTTTTGTGCTGGTAACGTCTTCATGATTCTTTAGCATGGACTTTCCTGGCCATTTGAATGGTTGGATGAAGGTTGCCTACGTGGTGTTAGCGTTCTGCTCTGCTTTTGTTTGCGGCGCTATAAAAGGTCACTTCTTTCGCCCCTTTTCATACCCTTTCGTTCATGATTCAGTATCTGCTGGTGAATCCAAATACTTATGATTGTTTTTTTTTTTTTTATCCTTTTGTGCTTCAAAATAGATTCAAACAATAATTTCTTGAAATTTCCATGGAATTCTGCAGGCTTGCTTGTGGGTCCTATCGCTGCTCTGTTCCTGATTATAGGGAATGTAAGCGTAATTTTGGGGCTGTTCCCTGCACATGTGGCCTGGACGGTTTATACCCTTCTGAAGTACTTCCTTCACCGTTTCCGAATTCTTTTTCCTCCATGATTATGAGTTTCAGTCTTCTACCTCTTGCGCTTATGGGTTTATGTTTGCAGGATCAATATTTTTGATGCCGCTATGAAAGTTGCTATTTTGTTTGCTTTGCCTGCGTTATTTGGTTTATGGTTGGCTCTAGGCATAGCGGGAAGCGTTCTTGTCGGGGTAGGATATGGCTTCTTCACCCCATGGGTTTCCACTTTCGAGGCCTTCCGACATGATCGCGAGTCCAAGAAGTTTTTGCACTCTTTTGTGGTGATGATCTTATAAGATCTTGTCTTCTCAACACTTGTCTACTTTTTTGCGCTCATTTTTATTTACTTGTATTGAACTTAGGACGGTACCTGGGGAACTATCAAAGGGAGTTGCACCGTAGTTAGAGATTTTGCAGATATGTGTTACCATTCGTACTCAAGTTACTTGAAGGAATTACGTGAGTCACCTGCTTCTGACGAGCTTCAAAGGCTAAGGTGAAGTTCCTATTTTAACTATGTGAACCACTCCTTTAGTAGCAGCATAGAAGTCAGAAGAACTGTAATCATATGCTTGACTACTAGGTTGCTCTGCGATGATGAAAAACATAAGGATGATTATGACAAATGGAGATTTCTGTTCTTTGGTTGTAGGCTAATTCATGTTCCTGCCTGTATCATCGTGGGAATAATGGGGCTAATTGTTGAGATTCCTCTTTTTACTGCAATTGCCCTTGTAAAGAGTCCATACATGTTGTTCAAAGGCTGGTTCCGACTGATTCAGGATTTAATTAGTAGAGAAGGCCCATTTCTTGAAACTGCTTGTATCCCAATTGCTGGACTGACCATACTGATGTGGCCACTCGCTGTCGTTGCGAGCGTTTTGATGGCTATTTTCTCCAGCTTTTTTATTGGACTTTATGCATCTGTTATTGTATTTCAGGTTCTCTCTCTCTCTCTCTCCCCCTCTCTCTAGTTTCCCATTCCAGAAGCTGGGCGATTTTTCCTTGCCTTAATTACTGAACTCACTTTGAAACTTCCTTTTGGGTGAAGGAGAGATCCTTTCGTAGAGGTGTAGCCTATGTGATTGCAATGGTTGCTGAGTTCGATGAATACACAAACGACTGGCTCTATCTTCGTGAGGGAACTTTCTTTCCAAAGTAACCATTCTCTTAATTAGTTTCTTCTCATATTTTCTAGTGCATGGAAATTTGTTCCGCTAACATCAGCAATCGATTTGCGCTCAGCCAGGCCCCGGTACCGAAAGAAATGGGTTGCGCATTCATCAGAGTTTTCTGTAAAAGGTAATAGTGTAGCTAGTGGCATGTCAGTTCCCACTACGGATTCACCTGCAATGTTTATGCCAAACTTAACTCCTTCAAGATCAGTTAGAGAGGCTATTCATGAAGTGAAAATGGTGCAGGTATTTCAAGTTTCACCCTCTCCCTTCGTTTTATGGTTCAGGCACCCAGGGTCATCGTTTGGTCTATAATTCAACCCAACTGATGGAAAATTGTCTTCCTAATATAAATTGAAAATTTGTCATCATTGGGTCAAGTCAACTGTTGGAAAATTTAGAGACTCGAGACGTGATTCTGGTCATATTGGATGTTTTCCTCTGGCTTGAGCTTTGATACTTTAAATTGAAAATTTCTCATGCCCTACTTAATGTGACAGATATGGGACCATATGATGAGGAGTTGTGAGATGAGAGGCAAGGAATTGCTGGATGCAAATGTACTGACAGATGTTGACCTTTATGAGTGGTTGAAGGGCAGGAACAGCAATGAAGCTGCCATCGTTGGAGTTGGCTTGCCATGTTATTCATTTCTGCAAACCATTCTGTCCTCCATCAAATCCAACTCAAATGGCCTATTGCTAATAGATGGTCTAGAGATAACTCATTTGAACAGACCCAAGGACAAACTATTGGATTGGTTCTTCAATCCAATAATGGTTCTGAAGGAACAGATTAGCGTCATAAAATTGGAGGAGGGTGAAGTTAGATACTTGGAGAAAGTAGTTCTGTTTGGAAGCAACGCACGACGCATGGAGGCTTGGGATAACGGTGGTTTAGTGCTTCAGGATCCTCTCAGAGCTGCCCAGATCCAGGGAATTAGCAGAAGGTACGTGACTTATGTTTGCATTTTGACTTGTAAGTTTCGGAAACAGTCTCTGCCTTATTTGTCTCTTTGACTGATAGATATATGCCTTAATGCACTCTTAGGATGATTGGAATGATAAAGAGTGTGTCGAGGTTTCCAACTTACAGGAGGAGATTTCACCAAATCGTGAAGGCTTTGCTTGTTCATTATGTGGATCGGGACATATCTTTACGATCCGGCAGTTTTATAGTATCGAACACCTCAGATGAAATGTTTAGGATAGCCAAGTATTGGTTTTTTTTTTTTTTTTTCCTTCCCTCCATTAATGGATTGCTGTATATATGCCTTTAGGTCCTCAAGTGCTGTAGAGCCAATTCCTTTTTCGTAGTTCCTCATCGTTATTATCTCTTTTTGTTCTTTTGGTCAAAGCCGGGGTGTATTCGCTCTCCCAGGCCTTTTGGTGGTGAATTGCCAAATTGAAACCGAGTGGCTTCCAAAAGTACAAACCTGTGTTGGCTAAAATGCAACGGGACGTACCAAGAATCAGGTATGGCAGTGGGAAAAGCATTCGGTGTCACGTGGCTGGATGACATGACAGAGAGGAAAGGTAAGATTTCACCGGAGCCATTTAGGCACAAGCCCGTTTTGAAGTTTAGACGCATCACTTGGGTTTGGGCCTAAAATATATTTGGATCTGCGAAGACTCTTCTCTCTCTCTTGATACAACAAAGACTCTTCTCTTTAGATCTCTTAGGCCCTTCAAGGCTTCAATGAACATTTGCCTTTTGTAACCCCCCCCCCCAAAAAAAAAGAGGAAAAAAAACACCTTTGCCTCCTTTTTTTTTTACAGCTTGTTTAGTTACCGGAGGCGCAAAAATGGAGTTATTGTGGAGGACGTCAACTTCAAACAGCCAACATCATGATAACATTTTTTTTCCAATTTTGTGTGTATATGAAGAAATCAAATAAATGGGCAGATATCCCTGTCTTCAGTAAATGCGGAGTGGGTATGTCCTGTGCAGTATCATTGTCACATGGCATTCACATTTATAATTCAAATTAGGTAATTCTGTGATTTATTATTGTTGTTGTTGCCCACGTCTTCATTTCGTGCGACCTCAATAAATAGCTGCACTGTAGTCTGACTCACGTCCAGCTGTTTTTTTGGTTGCCCAATTTTATTTGTTGGCAACAGTAAAAAGCACCGAATAGAAGCGTAGAATGTTGTACTTTTATTTTTCTTAGAGGGCAAGCAAAACGTAGATCTTAAAATTATAGTACTCAAAGCACAGTGTGCTTCAAATGGTCTGCCTTTGTAGTTTCCTACACATTATGATCCACGATGTGGACATGAACTGCCCGTTTTTAGTTGTTAATCAATGCGGCAGTTGTAATTGCAGTCCGTTGACTGCAGTTCATCGTATTTATATTGCTGTTAATTAAACAACTTAAAGTACCTACTACTCTTTTATCCACCACGTCATTCCAACTGCTAGAGCGTCGCAATTAGCAATGTCTACGCAGAACGTTTAATTTGACTTTAAGACCATATATTTTTAAATATACCGCTTCTAAATCCATGTGGCTGCAGATTTGGTTGAGTGTTAAAAGGCATTTAAAATCATTGAATCACTAGTATATTATATTCTTATGGTGAAAATTTCAACGATCTTCTTCTCAATGCGAACAATAATTAAATCAGTGAGAATCATCTTATCTTGCACGTTACCGCGTGATGTTATCCTGATAATTTTATATGTAGCCGAAAATGTCTTCTTAATGGTTGTTGTTGATGTGGGAAGAGTCGACCTGATTTTTCAATCAAAGAATGGAAATCAAAGTTTCCATCTTTACAAGTCGTTGACATAATTTATCAATAGTACACAAATTTAAAAACTTGGATTTTTGGCACATAATATTCACAATGCAACAATCCATATTCTCCAGTTATATCATTTGTTGGGTAAAATGTATTGACAAGATTACAAAAGTACGTAATATTAAATGATTTGAAGTAATCCTGAATCGAAATTCCTTGTCAATTTATTAAAAAAAAAAAAACTTTGTCACTTGTATGAATTCACTATTTAGTTCTTTCAACAAATGGAAGGATCGGGGCACCGGGCACAAGATCCGACAATAGTAGCTCGGCTCCCTCATTGTTAATAAGTATGGGTTTTCCGGTAACAGGCCTCCCTCCCCACTCTCTTGTATAATCCGTAATTAAAAATTTTATTACTGAATCAATATATTGTTTTTACATCTTTTCAATTGCCAAATTGTTTAATCAACCTGGTCAAAAAAAAATTGTTTAATCAACACACAAATTAATATTAGCAATACTATGAATGAACAACGACTATTAGCCACTCAACTTCCACGCATAACATTCATATTACTATTAACATTTACTCATATTTAATAATAATTATTATTAATCCCTCTGAAATTACTAAATTAATTGTATTTACTTAATATCTGACTATTATTAAATTTTTTATGCCTCTGATCAGACTAAAATACTGTTATCAATAATAAATAATCTTAGAATTAAATGACTACGGTGTTCTTGATAAAAATCGATTAAAATGCATGTTCTCTCTCTCTCTCTCTCTCTCTCTATATATATATATATATCTCAAAGCATTGTTTTCTTATTTTCGAAAACATTTTTTAAATTATCGATGATATATATATTTTGCTTCTTTGTGGTTGCTGGTTTTGATATTCAGTTTTTCACGTTGATTTGTTGGACGGTTTCTTCATTTTTTTCATCTGGTATGGCTTCTTTTGATTTGTTCACTTGCTTGTTTTCCTTATCTTCATTTCGTGGGGTTGTTGGCTATGAATTGCTTGATTATATCACCAAATTTGTGGTTGTTGTTCTTGTTTATCCTTCATAACTTTTGAACTGCTCCTCTCTATTATGGATACTCTTGTTCTCCGCCAATGGCTATGGTCATGGTGGGTGCTAGCTAATTTTGTTTCTGGTGGTTAGGCCTATGTTGTTTTTTCCGCTTTGGTCCTTTAATGGCGTGCGTAAATAGATATACAAAATAAAAATCATATCAAATTAAAGTCAACGACTTCAATCAATTACTTCTCTTATTTCACTTCTTTCATCTGTCCACACTTAATTGCATCAAAATCTCTCCCAACGTAGGCGTATAAGTAGCAGACAAAGCCTTGTGTATTTATATGTGTGCATGCATTTCTTTATACGCATCAATTTCTAACACCCAAACGAGGCATAAAATCAACTGCGACAACTTCTGATTCTTTCTCATTCTTCAATCCAAAGGCAGATCCATGCTTGTGATCAGTTCCTCCGTGTCATCCAATTTCCCGATGGATCACTGGAAATGTAGGGGAGGGTCCACCGCAAGTACCCCTCTGCAAATTGCTTTCTTTATCTGCGGCTGGTGACCGTTTCGAAGTTTGAGCAAGCTGTTGTGGCTGCTGCTTCTTTACGCGCGGAATTACCGTTTTAAACCTTATTTGCATTTAGTGCCTCCTCGTCCTCCCGCTGTCCCTTCTTTCCATCTATCATGCTCATTTCTAAGTTTTATATTTAATTTAATGTCAGCATTTACTTTCGAATCAAAACTTACTGTTAGCCCACGTTGCATTGTCTCCTGTATTTTTTTTTAAATATCTATTTGTACATGTACTATGTATAGGACTCTACCAATACACACACTTTTCTGGTGCTATTTACATAACAGAAAAAAAAGATTTTTTTTAATCCTATTTATAAGCTATCTCATTAAATTTTCAGTATGAATATACTATTTTATCTTTCATTTATTACAATATATATAGTTATCTCTTTTAAAAAGTATATATATATTAAATATGAATAAAATTAAAATATCTCTATATTGTAATAGAGAGTTAATATATTTTAAGTTTTTTTTAATATAAAATATATTGAAAATGTGTTATAAATAGAACAGGAGAAGTATATTTTTTTTCCATTAAAACCCCCCTCCCCAAAAAAAAGTGTGATGCCCACTTGTGTCCCCTCGGCCTCAGAGATTAAGATCAACCCATCACATTTTTCAAAATACTAGCTCCTGCCCCTACTAGGCGCCACTATTAAACACACCAAGACAAAACCCAACAATGTCTGACGCTAAAATCTTCGAGAGTAAAATTACTGTTTCCTGATGTGAAACTCGCATAGGAGTACAACGTACTCTTGTCGCCGTTCTGTTAATTGTTTGTTAACAAACACGTTCTATGCAGAGATGGACAAGCCGTGCAGATCAGATTCGGGGACCTTCCAATATCTTCAGTACTGTTAATATTGTAAATATAAAAGCAAAACACTCATGGTCCTTTTTTTTTTTTTTAAAGCATATACATGGTTTAAGTTCAAACCTTTAACTAATACTAGATTAAGGTGTACTCAGCACTTTATTTAAATTATTTTTTCAGTCATCTTCAATATTTTCAAATTATTTGCAGTACAATTTCATTCTTGAAGTGTTTAAATTGGTGCAACCTCATCCAAATCGTAAACCTTAAAAACGTATTTTTGAAGGCTGCCCCGTATGTCTTCAGGGCTCAAGCTTCGACCAAATCCAAATACAACAGCTCATAATCACCGAGTTGCATTTCCACGTGGAACCCGAGCTTCCTTGCTCCATTAGAGTATCTCTGTGTTTTCGTTGCCGGTCGTCTAGGATGCATTTCCTGTTTTGGGTCATCGTCGCTGATAGGTTTCAGGCGAGGATGGGTGCTACTCTATTGTCGGAGCTTGCGACCGAGATAGCGAATCCGGCGTGTGCTAATGTCGGGATCTTTTTCTCTTTCGTGCAGTGATTCCTCGCGTGTGAAGCTTACTCCTGAGCGTCACGGGCCGTGATCGTCTTCAAGTAACAAAAATGGGTACGATGACCACCTAATTGAAGAAGAGGAGGGTATCAATACCATAATGTCGTCGTCAAATGCGCTGATATTCAAAGTGCCATATCTGAAAGCGAGCTTTTATTGTAGATCTGGAGAGTTGGTTATGGGGTTTGAGTCTTAAAATTTCTGAAATGAACTTTGCGAACGACGCAAATTTACACGCTTTCTTTTTTCTGCGATTTCTAATTCTAATATTACTGCTTAATTGGAGCCCCTTTTTGATGTGCGAGAACATTTAATTAAGCGAATAATTTGATCTTCATTCGGCTTTGTTGTTTGCATCATGATTTGAAAGGAGTCTTCTTGGTTTGGATCACCTGAGAATATAAATTTTGTATTATTTAAACTGGGCAAATTACAAGGAAATAAAAAGAAATTCATCTGCTTTTGATTCCCTTTCCGTAGCGCCGCAAAGAAATCCAACACCTATTGAGCAAGAGGTTTATATATGAATCGGTTTTTTTGGGCCATGAATTGGTTCCTCCCTGTGGAAGCTGCGTCCACCGTCCCCCATCAATCTCACCCTCAAACCCTCACTCACACCATTCCATCTCCAGTACGTCACACCACTTTCAGCAGAAGGACGGCTTGTGGATACTCGGTGAATACGTGGCAACCTTCAAAATAAGAAAATACCCGGCTACAAATTGGGAGTAACGGACGTTTCTAAAGTTAACGGTTTGGACGGGTATGCACCAATTTAAATGCCTCGGAGATAAAATTGCACCCAAAATAATACCACGTTAACCCATTAATATATATAATGCTCTAATTTATTTAGTGCTATCGATTTAATATATATCTCCCCGCTCATTAATACTATTCTTCTCTGTGTGAAATTCTGCATCATTAATTTTGTCATGTGGCCATAGAAAAGAGGCCCCGCGTTGGCCTACTTTTTATTAGAACGAAGAACTTAATAGCAGCGTGAATTTATTTCTTGTCTCATCTACATTTTCCCCTCCAAATCACTGTACAAATGAGACTGATCGATGGAAATAAATAATATCAGAGCCGCTATATAACCTCCGATCCAATTCGTGATGACGTGATTTGTTCATAGCCTAAGCCACTATGGGCAGGAGGTGAAAAAAACAGTTTTTTCCCAGCTGGCTGGTAAGTCTGCAGGAGATTCCGATCCATTTAATTTCTGGCGAGGAAAGAAGGCCCCTGAAAATTAAAATGATACCCTGCGTGTCGGTAAAGGCAATGATTACAGCTTAACGGAAAGCAACGATTTCTCAAGTGCACTGCGGGGCATAAAGCGATCGGAATAGAGACGCAGGCGAATCTCACACCATGTGCTTCACTACTAACCCACTTCCTAAATATTATGCCACCTAGCCACTACGCGACAAACACGTTCCTCCCACGCCGTGATGCATTTCTCTCGTTGAAAAATACAAACAAAAGAAAACTAAAAATAATCAACCAATGTGACGGCCCAATCATGTAAGTATCGTACTATAGCCTACGCACTGCTGCAGGACCACATTCTATACCTCCTCCTCTACTCCTTCCCCATGCACAAAATTGATATTTTCTCTACATCACATTCGAATTGCTGATTTCAAAGGAATTGGAAGACATTTTAGAATTTAAGATTTTTGTTAGCCCTGTTAATACTTTCAGCTATTTGGGAGATGAGGGGTGGATGTTCAGGGAGAACAAGGAAGATCGGAGAAACAAGGGAGAAACAATGGTGGAAATAAACATAATCCTCCAGTTTGGTGCCCATTTTGTTTTGCTTGTGCGTGAGTTTGGATTTTGTTCCAACCCTGCAGACACCTTGTCACATGGGGGATAAAGGCAGCTTTCTTTCAAAGCCCTCAAACACGTGTCCGTAACTTACCCGCTATGGTGCATTCCTGCTCCTCTCACCCCCTCCAATGAAATAAACAGTCACCACCTTTTATATTATCCTCGCTATTACGCTCATTCGATCCCCCGTTTTAAACTTTTCACCATGCTCTCCCTGTCTTCTCCATTGAGTTTGATTTCTTTATTACTACTATCAAATAAAATCCCGCACCATCGACAGATGTCTCAATTATTAAATGGGAAAAAAAAAGTTAATAGGCAAAATTTTTTAACAGCTATGCAAGGAAAAGACAATCAGCGCTGAATTAAATAAAACCCAAGGAAAAAGACAATAAAGATAGATAAAGGATATTAACATCATGAGATAAGGAAAATAATTTTAAAATAAAAGAAAAAGAAAAAGGAGATACTGTCACTGACTTTTCTCGTACCTTGCAGGTTGTAGAGGAAGGATCTGCAAAAGATATCACAGAGAAACAGACGCGAATATTTGGGAGGTCAAGGAAAATGGACGCTAGAATTCTGTTATTCAAACCGTCTGTTCTTCACCGTGGGAATTTACAATTCTGCGCAAGCCTGCTTGTCCGTACAACCCGTACAAAGAACAAACGTAGGAGAATTCTAATAGTGCCTGACCATAAAGCAATCTGTACACCAAACAAAAGAGGAATTGAAATACCTAAACTAAACGTAAGCATAATGTCAGAAACTGGCGTCGTGGATCGCTATCTTCATTACGGAAGGCTGGCTGCGGAGAAGAGAGTGTTTATGGCTTTAACTTAACCCACTCGTAGCGTCCTTCCAGGGGCACGTCGTTCACAATATCATAATTGTACCTGCACCGAATTTTGGGGAATACAGATGTAAGTTACCGTTGCCGGGAAAATTCATCCGGATGAAAAAAAAATTCAGCCGTTCATTATATGAAGTGGAATGCCGTTGATATATGAACAAGCGAAAAAAAATTTTGTTGTTTGATCAACGTACTTCTCCGCAAACCGTTTTTGAATGTCTTTCTCGGCAGCACCGAAGAATTCTTCCAGCTCCAATTCTGTTGGCCTCTTCTTCCCCTTGGATTTATGGTGGGAATTCGCCTCCGTTATGAGCTTTTCCTTCGGTTTCTCCGCCGACTCCATGTCTTCTGACTTGGCTCGGAGCTCGCTCGTGACGCTCATGTCTCTCCTGCGTAACAAAAGAAAGACGGAGAAAATTCAGATTCAGGGTATTTATATTGAAAGTTGAATATAAATATATATTTTGCGGAAGAATGACCGGATTTTAAACGGAAAGAATTAAGAGATCCCATTTATTTCACGATTTTTCAAATTCAAACAAATAACTGTCGAAACTTTGAACAAACGGAAGCAGTTTAAAAATTTAAATATATATCGACGTTTTAAAACCTTTCGTCGGCGCTGCAATTACACGTCGACGTTTCAACTTGAGCGCTCTCTACCTGCAAACATGTCCAACACCATGCATTCGATCAATTCAATTTTGGTGAAAATTATGAAAGACTAAGAAAGACAAGCAATTATAGAGCGCAACAAATGGATGTCCACTACAAGGCATTGAGAGCGAAAACAAAAAGAAAATCACTGTCATCAAATGGTTCACGAGGCAGCAAACTCTATACCTCCAGATCTAAGAAACCGATGCTCTCTTTGTCTTGCTCGGTGGATCCGTTGCTGGAACAACAAGAGTCCGGGAATTCATAGGTGTGAAGGCTGCTGCAGCGTGCCTCTGACTCCGCCGGCGGCAATAGCGTGGTTTCTGATGGAGTGATGACCGGACTCCTACTGTTAAGCTGAACAAAGGATGATCCTACAGAAAATTTGAGATGTTCGTCGCTGTTAGGCTTCCTCCTCTTGCGTGTAGTTGCGGATGAAGTTGCAGCTAATGCTGCCCGAGCGCCGGCGATCATGCTCACCCGAGCCATCTCCATGACAGCGTTAATCTGCTCAATTTTTCGGCACTTCCTCGTCATGTCTTTCAAAGGTTACGCTCTCGCGATTTGGTTAATGTAAACGAGAGAATGAGACGGGCGCGAGAGAAGAATGTGTGTGCGGGCTCGTGTGTGGTGAGACGAGGAAATTGTGATCGTGAAGGGAGGGTCTGGATTGTGCAGTCGGTTTTTGTTAGTGGCGGTGGCTGTGGTGGTCCAGCCCTGATGAGCCTGTTAACAGAGACGGGGGGAAGGTGGAAACGGGGAATTTGACGGCGCCGTTATTAAGAAGAAGCGAATAGAAGGGGCCCACGTAAGGACGCTGACGTTGGAACTAATGGGACGGAAATGAAACGGGAAATGAGCTTCTCATAGCTTTAAAAGCTTAGCTTGGTTAACAGTTAATGCGGGGGATGAGGTGTGTGTGTGTGTGACGGAGGAGGGGAATCATTTATTTGGGTCGGAGTCCCGTTCGGTGAAGAGCCGGTCTCAGGCAAAATTATTGTGCACAGAACGGAATTACCGATATATCCTTCATGCGACTGCGGAAGCCCCAAATTGCCACCGTCCGCACTACTAGCTGCGCCTCCCTTCCAATTCGTGCAACGCATTATTTTATTTTTGAGAGGCCGAATCAGCACACGAGGATTTGGCGTTTATCGGCCGAATGTTATTTTTAATTATTTTTAACTCTCTGCCGCGCCATCCATTTATCAGCCTTCTAAATTCGCATTTGCACCCTTTCAAGTGGTTAATGATTCTGTGTCTATTTCTTTTCAACCATGCAGTTGTTTGTACTAATTATATTTCAGCATTCAGCAGTACATTGTTGAGTATATATAATGCAAGCAGTCATTTTTATGGGAGAACATTACTATATACTACTCCAACAGTAGTATTCTTCATGAGTAGCGTGTATTTTGATTAGTGTCGTTAAGAATAAGTGGTGATGGATGGATATTAAATGATATTTCCCGCTCTTGTGCTGCGCTAGCTTGTTGGTTTGAAATGAGGATGTGATGCTAGGCAGGAGTAATTCACGTATGGAGGAAGGGGCTGGACAGGGGACACATGGTCATTTAATTTAGGGCCATAACGGGGTGAGAGTTAGGTAAGAGTGCAAATTAAATGTAGAATTATGGGGAAGCCCCATACGGTGGATATATACGCATGTGGCACATGTAGATGTAGGATTTACACGTGGGTCGGGTAGACCCATTGCCAGACAAATATGGACCACTTCCATCATAGTCTTGGCTCTTGCTGGGGTTATCGCCTCCTCCCTCTATATGGTCTATACCTACGTCCGTTCTCATGCAACTCATCCATCCTTCATATCCTTCTCTTCCTCTTTCCCTTTTTTTTCACTTCTTCCCCTTCCTTTCTTGAGCTGCCTGTTTGTCTCTCTCTCTCTCTATATATATATGTATGTCTTTTTGGCTACTTGATGAGATCATCAAGCTCAATTTTTTAAAAAAGATTCACAGTTCCTCTATCCCTCAAGAAAGTTCACTCATATACTATTGGCTATACTTATATGTTGAAGTTCTTTTGGTGAAAATTTGTTGGATGTTGAGGAGGGAGTATGAAAACTGAAGCACAACAGGCCCAGTAATTAATTATTGTCGTATTTTTTCAAGAAATATCAAAGCCAAGCCTTTCCTTCCATCTTTGCCTTCTTCTCCACCAAAAATAAAGAAAATCCTCTTTAAACGTGCTAAATATACAGTACTGGCTAGCTTGGGGAGGCTTGGGTTTGTTCCCATTTATTTATCGCGGGGGTGTCCGTTTCATGCATTCTCATGTGGGGAGTGCGGAGGGCCCCAAAGCACCGTGATCGATATGACGCGGGATCTGAAACAAAAGCGTAGTACCGCAAATTTCTAGACCCAAACAAGAATTACATTTAGACCATCCGTATTGTAAAAAAAAGTAAAAACTTACTGCATAATACTACTTCCTGTCCTTAATATAAGACTTTGTTTGACTTTTATTTTGATCTTTAATATAAGATCCCAATTCATTTTGTCTCTCACATTTATATATTTTTTTCTAAGATAGTCCTTCTAACAATAGTAGTTCTAGCCAATATATTTGATTAATAAGGATATTTTAGGAAAAACAACACATTTATTACAAATAACTAACTTAACTTCTTTTCTTAATCTCTTCAAATTAGTCAATTAGCTCTTATAACTAGAACGGGGGTAGTAATTAACAATAGTTAATTATTATATGAGGGACTGTGTCCACACCTTGGCAAAAACAATATGATATTCGGTAATATTGATATGGAAATAAACATTATCATTCTTTCTTTTGGCCAATAACATTATTATTGGGTCTAGATAGGACGGTTAACTACTGTTGCTTTATGAACAAAAATCTTCTGCTGTACTCTGCATGCATGTTTTTACGATGGACGCCATATGCATCATGGCAGAAGTTTCTGTCATAAGGGGCGATTTTATATATGGACAAGCTGCATTTGGGAGATGGACGGTTTGGTTTAGTACTTTTTCTACACAAATTATTCGCATATTATTGAATAAGGTTTAGGAAGCAATGAAGACTTGTGAATACACACACACACATGACTGAACAACTTTTCAAGTATATATCTCAATGTTAGCTACAATTTCGTGTTTTAATTTGTTGAAATGAGAGATGACACAAACCTATAAAGATAGAGTCAAATCAAAATGCGTTAGCTATAAGTTAATAAAAAAGAATCAATATTACCTAATTAATTGTTTGTTTTTTTTAAAAAAAGAATTTGTAAATAGTGATGCATAGCTTTTCCATCAGCATTTGTAATGAAAGGTACATATTTTGGGGAAAAGAGGGTGTCTTATAAGTAGTCTGAATACCATCGGAATCCTACATAAAATTGCCTACATTAGAGATCAAAGAAAGTACACTGACAAGCTGCCAAAGGAAAGATGATGTAAACTCTGATTAGTTTGGAAAGTAAGGGCGCGACAAGTGAATGAGTTAATAATGTGCAAGTAGTGGCAAGTAGAGCGAATGTTTGCACGTTTCGGTTCAAGTAAAAGGCGACCTAACGTGATAATGCAGGCCTTGAAAGAAAGGGAAATGGGAGGTGGGGTGCATAAAGTGGAAGATTCCTGTGAGGATTAATAAAAGTGAATGGACAAAGGCACATGGTATCTAGGCTCAGTTAAAAGAATGGGCACAGAAAACCAGAAGGCAGCTCTATATTGGGTTGTTTCTTAGGGTTGGGTTCCTCAAGGGCAGCCATTGCCCCCCCCCTTCCCCCTTTCCGTGTTGTGGCTAAGGTTTGAAATCCTTCATCTGAAAGTGCTTTTGCTGTTACTTTACTTCAAGTTTTGCGCCTATAATTACAAAAGCTGATTGAATGATTAAAGGCAACCATGGCCCCAAGCCTTGGAATTTTCAGACACTGCACCGCGATCGCCACACGTAACCTTTCTACTTTCTAACTTTACTTGTTTTTCCTCTCAATCTTCACACCCCCCTCCCCTTTTTAATTTACTTGCTATTATTGTCTTCCGTTAAGGCTTCCTAATTAAGTACGGCAACAATACATAATCCTATTACACTGTCACACTTTCTAATCTCACCTCTTCTTCTTTTTTCCCCCTTGGGACTAATATAATTTCTAGTTCATCAAATTTCCTCTCATTTTGATTTTAGTTCCTCAAGTTTCAAATCGATCTTTGAAATTTTATTTTATTTAAAGTATTGGTTCCTATAATCTAATAAAAACTTGAACCACTTTTTTTCTTAAGGACCACAATCTATGATTTGAAATTTGAGGGACTAAAACTAAAATAAAAGCAGGTTTGAGAGACTATAAATTATATTAACTCTTTTCCTTATTGAGATATTATTTTGTACGATGATCAAGTTTGTATATATAAGATGAGGAATCGAGAACCCCCCCCCTACGGACTGCATCTAAATGTCAGAATCAAGAAGCTTAATTATCATTTTTTGACCATTTCTTCGGAAAAGAAACCAGGTCATAAAACAATATACTACGAAAATCTTACAAGAAAGCTAAGAACGCATTTACGATATTTATTGAATGAAAAAAAATGAAGCAAAGTAGAACGTAATAACAAACAATGATGATGATGTTAGCCAGTTATAAATTTATTAGCAAGAAGGATCGATTGAAAACATATTTATTATGAAGTGTATTTTTTAATTATTATTTATTATTTTATTTATGAACTGATCAAGAATGATACTATATGTTATATATGGCGCGGTGAATGGTGGTTAACAAGATCAATCGAGCAATGCCAACCAACAATTAAGTGATTACTGATGATGATGATGATGGCTATGGGATTGTAGGGTCAAACCTAAACATAGGGCTGGTGGTGGTGGATCCAATGTCACAGAAAAGAAATTGACCAGAAGAAAAAACCAATGCTAAAAAAAAAAAAGGCCATACTTGATTTATCACGGTCAATATCGCAATCCTGAAAGGTCAGTGAGCTTAAGTCACAGTATATGCCTTTGATTTTTTGGGTGATGCTATAGAGTCGATGCACATAATAATAAAAAGAAACGAGGCTAGCTAAAGGACGAGATAACGGAGGGGAAGAGGGGGAAGATGAAGAAGAAAAGTGAGAAGGAAAAAGCAAAATGAAGAAGAATATCTCAACAAGGGGTTGAGTAGTGTGTGTACAAATGAAAAGGGTGATTCATAAATTTCTGAAACTAGAGCAGAGAACTCTAGCCAGGCAGTGAATATATCATTCGGAGAAGAGACACAGCTTTCATGGCCAATATATGATTCCTATCTGAAAGTGCTTAAGTGGTCCTCTCTCTTCCAGTTTTCCCCCTAAAAGCACCTCTTAAGCTTTTCCATTGGTAAGAGAGATCGCAGGACTCTTTCTATTTTTTGGCCCCCTCAGCCCCCTCGCTTTGTAAAAGACTAAAAGCAAATGACTTTTGGCTTTTGCGGCTTACCCTTTTGCTTCTTTTTAAAGTCACCCTCAAACGCAGATTTTGATTGTATGCACAGATATGATACTTTTCAGATTCCTATACATTAACTACTTTACTTGATCCTGTTCCTTAAAAAAAAAAAAATTCAGGTGATACTGCGTATATATCGATCATTCGTCCAATCATCACCAAACACACTCTATGATGAATTTCAAATTATACATCAGATAATTCATTCTCTCTTGAATTTTAGTTATTCCTATCATATAATGAACATCATCGATAAGAGAAGATACTAATTATTAAAGCCTTTCTTTGGCACATGCTCGAATCCGGTTTTCAGCCTTGTGTTTAGATGTTAATTAAAATTTAAAACATGGGGTTTAAAGCGACACTGACGTCTGATTTATACTCAACATCATGAAAGTTTTATATATCGTCACATATATT